TTGTTGTCCCTTATTGAAAAACCCTGTAGTTTCAACTTGCCTATGAAACCATATTGCCAACACTTTGAGGAGAAGGTGTGAACATGCTGTTGACAAGCTGAAGTTATTTATGGATGTGATGTTTTCACCTGTACGCCAGCTGGAAAACTAGCCGTTCTGTGTCTTTTCACTTATGCCAAAATGTTCTGATCTGAGTGTTTCTCTTTGGGTCAAATAAGAAGTGCTTTCAACCTCGAAAACACCCTTATGTCTTTTACTAACTCAGAACTCAAACAGAATGAAGAAAGTACACTGGTGCTGATATCATGCACAGATTGAAACCCCCAAAAATGAGAGGCAAGCTTTTTAACCTCCATGCAGCGTGAAGCCTTCATACAAGCAGTCCCTGTGTCTGATTCAGTGACACAGAAAAAGAGTGTGTGGACCTTTTTAAGCTGATCCTGTATTGCTCTCTTGACCTGGTGTATGTCCTCTGTGAAGAGAGGCTTTGTCGCCCTCAGACAGCTCCTAGCCTTTAACACACACCTTCATAATAGTATCTGTGTCTGTGATTTTCCATTTGGAAAATCGTGAGCTTTTCACCTCCCATCCCAGAGAGAGGGAGAGAGTAATCATCATAGGGCTAATCATACAGTGGTCCACTGTGGCTGCTCTCTGTTAGCGTCAACACATGTGCCAAAGCATACAGGAGAGAGTTAAGCTAATCTTCGTGTCTTCCTGTAACGTGCTAACACCTGAAAGTACTCCGCTGCTTTGTGCTCTGCTTAGAAAACCTCAGAAGATAACTGTGACCTGGTGAGGAAACAGAGCAGAGAGTCTGGACAAACTTTCACTCTTTTCTTGTCTGCTGTTGACATTAACAGATTTTTGTTGTTGTCTGCACCTGCTGAATGTAGGTCCCTCTTTGGCCTTTGACCTGTTAGCTTAGCAGAGGAGTAATCTCAGCAGCAGCTGTCCTCCACACGCCAGGCACGACAAGCGTGAGCCGCCTGCTGTCGCACTGGCTAATCTTCTCACTTTCACTGTAACAGGGGGCCTTTTTAACATCTCCAGGTGTGAAGATCATTCATAAAAATCATGTTGATTACCAATAAGTTCCCCTTCAAAGATAGTAACATTTCTAGGCTGCAAGGGCGAGCTTTTAAATATCTGTCACTATGATTTTCAAAGGGGCTGAGAAATTAACGGTACAGTGTACAAATGTTTTGTGTTTAGCTATGGGCTACTATATGTGCTCCAGCTAAAGGAAGAAGAGAGCAGTTGTTATGCTGAAAATTATTTCTATTAATTTACATTTTTGGGTGATAAAAGTTGACATGTGGAAGACCCTCCAGCAGCCTTTTGTCCTCATCCCTAAAGGCCACCGTAGCTTCACTGACAGGAGGAGTGAGCAAGTGTAGCAGTCTAACCTAGAATCAAGTTATTGCAAAATGTTCATATTTCTATTTACTGAACGTGAGGACAATCTTAAAGTTCTCCAAAACTGTAGTTCCTTAAGTTGCCACTGGAGGCGACCTCAAGAGGTGAGTCATGTTGACATCATAGACTTTATAAAAACACTCAGCATTACCGTTAGTAGACATACCAAAGGCGGGTCTGTAGCCTCCTCCCAAGCCTCTGATTTTAAAAAACTTTTGAACAGTTGGACCTTTGGGGGCCCTGTGAAATTCAGACAAAACCCTTTTTGAACCAGGTTTTAAACATGCTTATTTTGTCTAAAAATGAGTTTTGTAAAAGTGTTTTCCAGTGCTTCCTAAAGTCAGCCTCAAGGAGCTGCGATTTTTGGCATTTCAGTTGCTGAGCTCAACTTCTGGAAATCGTTTCTGGTGTTGGAGCCTCTTGGAGTTTCTTAAATGGACATGCAACATAGAATAATCCGTCCTGCTCTTCTGTTTATTCAACCATCAGATTTGCCCCGCAGTTGTCTATACCCGTATATTTCAGCAGCCTAAATCTGGAGTCATTATATAATACGAGGGGAAATCTGCTCAGTGTTTGTCCTGATATTAATAAATCTCCACACATGCTCTGAATATATGATCCAGACCCTTGGAAGATTCTTGGGGTTTTGGAGTCGTGACTGCTTCACCCATTGTTAAATCACTCTGGAGAGATGTGGGCAAGACAGCAGCTCGGTTTATCACGCCCCCTTTCCTTCTTTAGTCAAATAAATAAACTCCGGTCAGCTACCACAGCAAGTAAACCCTCATTCTGTGGGAAACATGATCGTTTACTGGCTTATTTGCCAGCCAACGTATGAGCCACATGCACATACTGTAAAGCTTTGACAGCTTGGTGTTTGCTTACCCCTCGCTCCTCTTCAGCTCTGCCTCCGTCCAAATATATGCTCACATCTGGTTTCAGAAAACCAACGCTGTGAAGGTTAAATATTTAAACTCAAGACAATCAGAAGAAAATTGGAGATGTCAAAGGAGGAATGTTCATTTTCCATCAAGTCTGTAAGCTGCTTCACAACAATTTTAATAAACACCCACTCCTGACCTCAGAGACATCTGAAAACCTGCATATACAGGAGTTGTCACCTTCCCCAGGTGTAGGCGGGGGTGAGTGAAGATGACTGGATTCAGTGTCTTCTGCTGGACGGTGACAGTTTGGGTCACAGGTTGACTTTACGCTCAGCTCCGTCACTCTCAAAGAGGAGGTTTGATGAGGAGGACTCGGAAGCATCGTGGCATCTGGCAGCAGCAGCCTACCTCCACATCCTGAGGGCCAGAGCCAGAGCCGCTCTGTGGTGGCCAGAGAGGGGAACAAGGTGCACACTGTGATACAAACGCGAACCGAGGGGGTGGGGGGGGCGGTTCAGGTTTCTCCTTCAGTAGGTGTTTGCCACAGAGAAGCTCACTGTGAAGAGGAGAAGGCTGGAGGAGGGGAGACGTTTGGATTTGGTCTCCACATAACAAAAGGAAATTAATCAGTAAAATTAGACCAGCATGTGTTGGTGAGATCTTCGACCTCTCTTTCATTGAAGGTCTTTCTTCTTACTCTGTTACTGTAAATCTTTTGGAGGAGCTCCACATGCTTGTAGAGTGCCAGATGTTGACGCTGACGTCAGAGCACAGTAAATGTGTCAGAGCACATATGAGCTCACACAAGCTTGATTATATTTAATATGATACGTCTGATCCCAGCGTGCATTAAGATGTCTGACCTCTACATCTGAGCTACATGCAGTCATGCTTGCAGGCCTAAAGGCTTCACCTGTGGGACCTTTCTCTTCGTGGAAGTTATTAGTAAAAACCAGAACATGTCTCTGGAGAGGAGGCACCGGTTTTCGAGTCACTGGTGCAGGACTTATGAGAAAGTACAGTTGTGCATACGACATAAATTGATGCCAGACCGCATACAGTACAACATAAACAATGGCACCATAATAATAAGGCAACACAAAGGAACAATCGTTTCCTCATGTTGGTCTGCAGGGCTTTCATGTAGACAAACTTTGTTAGTTTAGTTCAAGTAAAAAAATTAGGAGAAGGTTAGAAAAGAATAATAATGTGTACAAATCACATACATTTAGATGTGAGGCAGAGGTGTAGTCTGGATATCCTCCTTTAAAACCAATTTTAATCTTTGACCCATATTATTTGAGTCCCGTCTTAATTCTGTCATTTTGAACAGATGATAAACAATAACGGTCATAACAAACACAAGTTTTTTGTCTTTACTTCTTTGTTTTATGTGGGTTCTTTTTGTTGTTTTTGTAGTTGCATTAATTAAGCACAAGACAAATTTCTTTCAGGGGACAATGACAAGTATTGTATCGTATCTTATCATATTGTACCGTATTGTATTGTATCTTATAATATTGTACCTCATCATATCATCTTGTATTGTATTGTATTGTATTGTATCCTACCATATTGTATCATATCTTGTCGTATAGTATTATATTGTATTGTATTGTATTGTATTGTATGGTTGACTGGCAGCAGCGAATAAAGGCTAACCATCCTTATAACAGCTATTGCTGGAGAAGAGAACTTTTTGCTCTTGGATAAATTCCAAAACTTCACTGTATTGCTTTGTTGGGAACAAATAAATATCTCTCTGAAACCAACATTGTATAACATGATTGTGTTGTTTTTTTTTTCCAGTGAACTTCTACTATCTTAGGAAGAGCCAAATCCTGGTTCTTCAATGGTGCCTGTGCAAAATGCACCCTGAGGGAGGCTTTTGGGTTGGAGCGATAAAAACACGGGGAGGCGAGCCCTTCACTGTGAAAAGCACGAATCACAAAGAAACCTGTGCATTTGTCTCTTTGTTTGGTCCTCCTTCAACGAGTGCAGGTTGGGATTTTAAAAACCAGAAAAGCTGAAGAATTCAGTTTCAACAGGGCAACAAGTGCAACTTTTACGTCAAGGCTACATCCTCTCAGACGGACTAACTTTAGACGGCACAGAGAGAGCTGTTTACCTCCTTCTACCAGTCTCTGTGCTAAGCTAAGCTTACCACAGGCATGCTGTACTGATTAGATACTTAATCAGGTGATGATATGCAGGGATCATGTAAGGTGGAGCTGAATCAACATCCGACATTGCATGAGCTGCAAATAGTCCATTGTGCACTGAGATGATTCCAGTGTTAAAAAAATGCATTAGCTGTTTTTTTTGAAAGGTTGTTGCACATGACTTTGGCTGAAGTTTAAAGCACATTAGTCAGTGATTAGTCTCTATTGCACGGACGGATGCTGGAGTCCTCCTCTGGTTATTTCTCTATCTGTGCTGTTACCTTCAAGAAGAAAAATGACCTGATCAAAGCTAAATCCTCACATGAAATTATTTCCACCGTGGAAATTGCTGACTCGACATCTCTTTGTCTGCCAGGACTTGCACCAAAAAATCTTTATCTACTTTGTTGTCAAGACAGATACGGGATTACAGGTGCAATCATTCGTACAGTGAGTGGAGGGGTATTAGTGAGTGCATCTAAGCTGGATTTAAGATGGACCGACTGCTCATCCCCACTGGTGGATCACAGTAGTGAACGCTGGAAGCAGAGGAGGGCAGAGCTGCCGTACGGGACTGCAGGTATTCATGAGTTGGCATCGACACACAGGCCATGGAAATAACGCTGAAGGCCATTCCTCTGAAGATAGTCAATATTCCATGGAGGAACAATAACCTCAGCACTCTGCACTCAGACCCTCCTCTGTCTGAGCAAGGAGAGACTATCATCGGAATCTACCTGTTAGTGTTGGGTAAGTTGGCCAGTTGATCCTGGAAAATTGTAAACCTTGAAATTTGTCCTGGTAGGTGATTTAATTTGTGAGGGTTTTGTATATTTGGGATTCAATGGTTGGTTAGGTTTAGTATTTTTATGAGCATCCACTTAAAGAAATGGAGTTGGGGACTTTAAAGAAGCTCATCATTTCCACCTCTGTCATGGTACGGTGGAGAAAGGCACTCAGACCTACTCGACTCTTTACTGCAGTGTCCTGTGCAACAATTTTATCTCTGCTGTTACTTTAGGCTGTGAAAGATGATCAGTGGTTGTGCTGTGTTCATACTCAGATTTACTGCATTTGTCTACTCTAAAGAAGTTCTGAAACTTTGGAGCAAATGAAGCTAAAGTATAACCTGCACTAATACACTCCAATCTACTCTACTGTAGTAAACTCTAATCTAGTGAACTCTAATGAACTCTAAAGGGCACAAATCTGCTCCACTCTATTTAACTCCACACGATTGTACTTCACTGAACTCTACCCTGCTGTACTTTACTGTACTCTACTCTACTGTAGTCTAGTGAACTCTAATGTTCTCTACCCTTCTCTATTCTAGTAAGCTTTTTATTGCACTCTATTAAACTGCACTGTAGTCTACCTCACCAAAGTGTACTCTATATCTCTCCTCTCCAATGAACAATCATCCGCTTTGATCGTCTCTGCTCTACTCTATAGAGCCCTACTCTATAACCCTACACAACTCTCCTCAACTCAGCACAGCACTTCTGTCCTGAACTTTGATCTATTCAACTGTATTCTGTTATGGTGAGCTCTAACCTCTACTCTCTCTAAGTCTCTATTCCACTCTAATCTAATGGACTCGCTTATGTTCCTTTCTCAACTCTACAATAGTCTTCTCTATTCTTTTTACTCTACTCTACTCTGCTTAACTGTGCTCTAGCCTACTCTACTCTAATGTTCTCTACTCTACCCTACTCTTATTTTTTTACTCTACTCTACTGTGCTCTACCCTACTCTACTCTGATGTACTCTATTCTAATGTACTCCACTCTACCCTACTCTTATTCTTTTTACTCTGCTTAATTCTATCTTTTTTCTACTCTACCCTACTTTGCTCTTCTCTACTCTTTTTACTCTACTTTATTCTCTTTATTCTACTCTACCCTACTCTACTCAACTCTGCCCTATTCTACTCCATTCTTTTTACTCTATTCTACTCTACCCTACTCTATTCTTTTTACTCTACTCTACTACATTCTGTTTTTCTACACTACCCTACTTTGCTTTTTTCTACTCTTTTTACTCTACTTTATTCTTTTATACTGTACTCTATTCTACTGTATCCTACTCTATTCTTTTTATTTTACTCTACTTTATTCTTTTTAATCTATTCTACTCCACTCCACCTTACTTTGCTCTATTCTACTCTACTCTTTTTACCTACACCTCTACACCTCTCTAACTTCTCCAGTCGATCATTGGCTCAGCTCTACTGTACTCTATTCTAATGTCCCTCCTTACTTTAGTGTGTAATACTGTCCTGTAAACAATGAGTTACATCACCATCCCTGTATGATGTGTTGTCTGTTTTCCTCTCTGCAGGATGGCTGTCCTGGTTTGGAAACAGTTTAGTGATGTTTGTCCTGTACAGACAGAGAGCCTCGCTTCAGCCCACAGATTACCTTACGTTAAACCTCGCCATCTCTGATGCCAGCATCTCCGTCTTCGGCTACTCCAGAGGGATCCTAGAAATATTCAATATCTTCAAGGATGATGGCTATTTGATCACCTGGATTTGGACATGCCAGGTAAACACCACAACACTGAACTTGATTTAAAAGAGTCAAAGAAAAACAACAGTTTTCTCTTGAGTTATATCTGTCTCATAGTAGATCCAAATTGGTTTATTAAATGAGGGAAATTGTGGAATAATTTGAAGCATTAATAAATAGTTGAATTGCAGTAATGTGGGTTTAAAGTTCTGAATTTGATGACGTTGCAGAATAGAAAAAGAAAAAACGCATATGCATTGATTTACCGGAACCAATCCCCATTAATAAAGTACATTAAAGGAATCTGAGAGTGTATTACCGTAAACTGAGCATGCATGGGTGTGTGTGTGTGTGTGGTGTGTGTGTGTACGTTCGAGGGATTAAGCGAGTAGCCATGTGGGCTGGAGGTTAAATCTGTAATCAGATTACCCCTGTGGAGACCTTTAAACCAGGGAACCTCTTTGAGCAGAGTGGTACCTGTCAACAAGCAAACACGGGACAAATGAGGCTGCAGGGGGGCGTTAGTTGCATCATTTCTCCACGGGGTTTCATGCAGAATAAAGTTGCATTGAAATAAAAGATGAGCTGTTCTGAGAAAAAGTGCTCATTTCGGTGTTGTCCTCCTGCCACAGGCCCAGCTGGAAATGAAATAGTTGTCATACTTTAACTTGGAATTCATCCGGGGTATTTTTCTTGCTCAAGGCTAGCTGTGGTGGAAATGGTGATACCCAGTCTGCGACAAGAATGAAAACAAGCTGGTGTAATGGGAAAACTGGGAAGCAGGAACGACACGGTAAATAGAGTCTGGCTGCACTGTTAGGCCTCTCTGCAGTGATCTCACGGCTGAAACATCCAATCTCAGGTTTTCAGGTGAAGGAGAAATATTGAGATAGCGGTACGCCCCTCTCATTTCACCTTCCCCTGAGAGACAGAGGTGGGAAGAGAAACTAAGAAGCGACAGAAATAGAGGAGGGAAGGAACAGGAAGGTGAAGGAGACAGACAGGCATGTGAGAAGCATTAACAGCTTACTGCATGGAGCATGATGGGACATGAACGGTTGTGAGCTGGGCCAGATCCCTGTGTTTTTCACCCTATGGCAGAGGATATGATTGAATATAATAGAGCCTTTAATGCTGCAAAGAGGACTACAGAAAAAAAGCTGCAAAGAGGTGAGAAAATGTGAATTAAAAAGACACTCCAGGGTTCCTAAAGAGGGGACAGATGCAGAGATAATGCTGTCAGACAAGCTCGGTGGATCAAATGACATATTAAGCTCTAAAGACAGATAATGAACCATTAACTTGTGCTGAATTAAAATAAGACTAGTCTAGACATTTGTTGCCCGGTAATCTACTGAATGTGAGGGTGTAAAAACGTGATGACTGACAGTAATAGGATTAGGACTAAGGAAGATCAACAAATTAACCAGCAAGAAACCTCAACTGATCCTCGTCACCTGGAATCAGCACAGCAGGCCATCAGAGCCTGACCGACAGGACGAGGAGTGACTCCTTCTATCAGCAGCTGTTAGTGCGAGATCAAACTCCTCAAAATAAAACTTGAGGCCAGAAAAGATAGCAGTGAAACTCACTTGGCAGCTCCAGAGCTTTTGTCCTGCAGCTCTCATCAGAGGAAATGCTCTGTGTCTGGTGCACTTTGGCTGAAAATCAAGCAGGAAGGGCTTCTTAGCTGGGGTGTCTCTATCTGATAAAAGTCCAAAGCAAAACAGACTCAGGTCTGGAACAATGAAGCAGGTCTGAATCTACAGCCTGAAGACGTTTCGAGATGTGATGCCGTGATTCACCGGCCTCTTGTCTCGCTGCTTTTCTTTCAGGTAGACGGTTTCTTCACCTTGTTGTTCGGCCTCGCGAGCATCAACACCCTGACTGTTATCAGCGTCACCAGATACATTAAAGGATGCCACCCTAACAAATGTGAGTGCTAAACTTCCTGAAAACAAGAGAGGGGACATGAAGAGAGCCTCAGACCGGCGTCTCTGCCTGCCTCACATTCCTGCAGCTCTTATCTGACTGAACAGTGTGGTTTTGGGTGCTAATGAAACCTTATTACCGACTCCAGCTATGGAAATTACTACCATCCGTCTCCAGCAATTTCATTTACATTTCGCCAACATGTCATTTCGTAAATTTGAGGTGACATGTGCTATTTTTGGATGCTGAAGAATGTCTTAATTACATGGAAATTAGGCCGGGCCTGTGTTGTCAGAATGGGATACGAGTTTTTTTACTGGTTGTGGTTGCACATAAAACACAAGCAATATAAACCTGTAAGTGAGTTTTCAGGTTGGCGTTTAAACTCTGAACTCTGGCGGTGCATGTGAGATATCGACTTCTTTATTATGTGCAGCTGTGAGTTAAGCAAACAGACATATAGATTTATGCTGTGAAGTGAGTGTGTTAGTTTAAGGGGCAGGTCATCGCACGGCTTCAAACTTTGAAAAAAAATAATGATTTAGAAATTATTTGATTGATTTGAAAAGTATATATTTCCAATTTTGGAAAGACTGAATTGAAAATAGTTTGGATGCTGTTCATGGTTTGCAAATTATTGAAACTCAACATTTGATAAAATAAAGTACAAAAATCTATCAAATGTTGAAACTAACATTTTATGTTTTTACTGCTTATTTCAAACTGTTGGCAGCAATAAGTTTTTAAAAAGTAAGGACAGGGACAATGTCACACTGAAAAAAAAAAAAACTTAAAAAGTCACTCAGAAGAAACAGTGAGAAGAGGTTCACCGCTATATCCAGGAAAAAGTTCTCACTGTGGTCCAGAATGAGGGACTGTTGTCATCTATAGCCCATGATATTGATAAAATATTGAGATTGAATATATAAAGAAAACTCATGGACACCACCCTTAAAAGAAATGGGACCACTCGGTTTGTTTTCTACTGCAAATCAAATCCAGCATCCCTGATGGTACAGGGTAGGGCTGGGCAATAAACCGAAAATTTACAGATACCGAAATTTACGTCAATAACAGACGTCATTTTGCCCATATCGGTATAATCGGTGTCAAAAAAAAAAAGTAAAAGTTGGTTTTGGATGTGTGTAGGTAGGCTATGGGCTCATGTCCCTTTAAGACACTGTCCTACATCAGAGACGTGACTCCACCCCATCCAGACCATAACAAAGAGGGAAAGACAGGTGAGGAGATGGAGGACGGTTCAAAAGTTGTAGCAGCTGAGCAGCTTGTGGAGTAGTTATCGTCCATTTATCATTATTAAAGTGAACTGCTCAATATATCGTGATACTGATTTGAGGCCATATTGCCAAGCCCTAGTACAGGGACCATCAGAGTCCATGTCATAAGTATTTTCCACATCTGTGAAGGCTCCATAAATGCTGGACAATATCTCCAGCTTTAGGAACAACATCTGCTGCCATCCAGACCAGGACTTTATCAGGGAAGACCTTCATATGATCCCAAACCACATTCTGACAACAGCATGGCTCTGTAGGAGAAGAGCCCTGCTGCTGAGAAACTGATCATCAGTAAAGCTGAGTAACACAGAGACACAGCGGCGCCTCCTCCTGCCTAACCCTCTCTCACACCCGCTTATCAGGATAAAGGATATTGACATTAGATACGCAGCAGAAATAGACCAAGCAAACTGATTTTATTCCTCCTCCTGAACTTTGGTCAACAGAGGTTCTTTTCAGCCGCAGATGTTTGCAAAGGCCGCTAATCTAAGAAAAGGCTTCATTGTTCAATAAATGTCACGATCCTGACATTCACAACGAGTCAGGAATGTTGCATCTTTTAAAGCCTCTCACTTTTCCGTCCCATGTTCGCCAAAATCATGACATTTAACCTTCTCAAACTGCACGTGCTCAGTTTCATAACTTTGTGTTATATCCGTGTTTCTGCAGCTTACTGTATCAGCATCAACACCATCGCCGTGGCTCTGATCTGCATCTGGACTGGAGCGCTGTTCTGGGCCGGGGCTCCACTGCTGGGCTGGGGCAGATTCACAGGTCTGAGCTCATCCATGAACCCACAGAAGAAGACAGAAACATGTGACATCAGTCTCCTACTAATGTGTCTGTTGTTCTCTAGATCGAGGTTATGGCACCTGTGAGGTGGACTGGGCCAAAGCTAACTACTCCACCATCTATAAGTCCTACATCATCTCCATCCTGATCTTCTGCTTCTTCATCCCTGTGATGATCATGCTCTTCTCCTACGTCTCCATCATCAACACGGTGAAAAACACCAACGCCATGTCAGCTGACGGTTTGCTCACCGCCCGTCAGAGGAAAGTGGAGAGAGATGTTACAAGGGTAAGCAAATATGGACTTTTCATTGGATAGGTACACCGAGAAATCAATAGTGAATGTATTATCTAGAGTAGATGTGTGACAGTACCGCCCTAGTTTGATTGAAAACTAAGATATGTAAACTGTAGCTCCATGTCTTTGTTTCTGGATTGATCAGAAGTTAAAGTCAATAATTCAAATACTGAACCGGAGTATGTGTGCTTTGTAACACCTCTTTGGAAACCAGGAGGGACATTATTACCTCCGCCAAGGAGGTTATGTTTTCGGTAGCGTTGGTTTGTTTGTTTGTCTGTTAGCAACTCTACGGAGAAACTTACAGCCGAATTGACCTGAAATTTTCACCAGAGGTGCGTCTCAGCCCCAGGAGGATCCCATTAAATTTTGGTGGTGATCCGGATCGCCTTCTGGATCCAGGAATTTTTTGAAGGATTCTTTATCATTGTGAGATAGGACAAATTTTGGAATTTTTGCATTTAACTTTAACATGAGTTTTATGAGGTGTCAAAGGTTGATCCCGATCCAGACAAAATTCTGGATACTGTGATCCAGAACACACAAAAATAAGGGTGTCGTTGGAATTTTCAATGATGAAAGATAACCAACGGGCGGCACAGTGGTGTAGATGGGCGGCACAGTGGTGTAGATGGGCGGCACTGTCGCCTCACAGCCAGAAGGTCCTGGGTTCGAACCCAGGTCAGGGAATCTCTTATGATGGAAAAGTTCCTCAAACAAGAACATTTAGACATCTGCTATTTGGGATTGTAGTTATGTGCCGAGTTTGGATGATAAAAACCAAATGCAGACGATCAAAATAAATGAAGTGTTGAATATAATCAAACTACAGATGATGTTTTTTTCATTCCTCTAAGTGGGATTTTCCATAAGTGCTATTTACTCCAAACTGGATCCAGTTTGGTACACAAGCTTCCTGCAGGCCCCTCTTCTCCAAACACGGTGGTGCTGACTGGTCTCTCCTTAAAACACTGTATATTGACAACCACCTCATGCAACCCCACTTCAATAAAATCAAACCATCACGTATCCTGTCTGTAATAACCTCCTCTCATGTAACTCCAGTACTGACAATTGTTCCCTTATGTTCCTCTCTAGATTTCCATTGTGATCTGCACGGCTTTCATCATGGCCTGGTCTCCATATGCAGTGGTGTCTATGTGGTCGGCCTGGGGCTTTCATGTACCCAGCACCACCAGCATCATCACCCGCCTCTTCGCCAAGTCTGCCAGCTTCTACAACCCGCTCATTTACTTCGGCATGAGCTCCAAGTTTCGTAAAGATGTCTCTGTGCTGCTGCCGTGCACGTCGGAGCGCAGGGAGGTGGTGCATCTGCGGCACTTTAAAAACATCAAACCCAAGGCTGACCCCACGCCTGCATCGCTGACAGTTCAGAAGAAGGAGGCGAAGAAGGAGGCGAAGATGGAGGCAAAGATGGAGGCAAAGGTGGAGGCGAAATACATCAAAGCAGAATCCAATCATGACAGCGATTCAGGAGTCAACAGCCCCCCTCAGACCCCGCCGTCTGACCCTCAGGGGCAGATCCACATCGACCTGCCCTCACACATCGAAACATCAGATTACTGGTGTGACAGGCTGTGAGGACTGTCTGCACTTTACACGAACTGATGCTTAAATAACGAGGGGAGATTATTAAACGTGTTTTGTAAGTTTCTGTCTTACCGTGTTGGTGAACTGTGAGTGTGTAACGAATGTTAATAAATTATTTTACCAATTTGAAGTTCGATTGTTACTCTGGTGTTCTTCCGGCCTTGGCAAACCATTTCTTGAGAATAGTTAATACAAAGTGAGTCGCACAGAAATAAATCACAGAAAATCGAAAGTCACTTCACTTTCAGGAGAATCCAGTAGCTAGAGTTAGGGCTTGGCGATAAACCAAAATTTATCAATATCAAAATTTACATCAATAATCAAAGTCATTTTGCCCATGTCAGTATCAAAAAAATAAATAAATCAAAGTTGTTTTTGGATGTGTGTAGGTAGGCTATGGTCTCACGTCCCTTTAAGACGCTGTCCTACATCAGAGACGTGACTCCACCCCATCCAGTCTGTAACAAAGAGGGAAAGACAGGTGAGGAGATGGAGGACGGTTCAAAAGTTGTAGCGGCTGAAGTAGACGAAGTTAATGTGGGAGGGGGTGAGCAGCTTGTGGAGTAGTTTTTGTCTATTTATCGTTATCGAGGTGAACTGATCAATATATCGTGATATTGTTTGAGGCCATATTGCCTAGTCCTAGCTTAAGTAACAGAATAATCAATCATGATTTAAAATGTGCTTTTATTTTGAAGGGGTTGGCTCTTTCATAGGTTAGCTGCAGCTACAACAAAGGCTCGATCACCTCACTGGTTTTGAGGCGGGTTTTAAGTACATCCAGGAGCAGCTGATTGGTTGACTTCTGCGCTCTGGCTGGACTGTGAACAGGAAGGAGCTCATCTAAATGAGGTGTTGCGATCCATTTAAAGCCTTTATTCCTTTATTTGGATCCCCCCTAACATACAAACATACATTAAACACAAAGATAAGTTATGTCAGTCATAGCTGGAAATATGCCTCTCATTAAAACCAGCTCAGATCACCCTGCTGTCCCCTTATCTACACGTCATGAGTAAAAGTACGGCACTAGATTTCATCCAAATGCAGATCGCTGAAACTTCTACAACAGGAAGTGATGCGCTGAGACAGGAGATGCAGAGAAACATCTGGAAACACTGAACCATCCTCGTCTGACAGAAACATGATGGCACAATAGTCTGCTGTTTCCCCTCTGCACCGGAGGGCTCTCATGCTCGATTATCTCCCGTTTGTCCCACATTCCCAGAGAAGATCGCGGGCTACGCTCAAAAGAAGAGCGTCCTTTTCCTCCTCTTTGTGTTTCATCAGAAAAGGTTATCATTACTGCCTTAATACAGAAACTGTAAAAACTTGTTCCAGGGCTGAGGTGAGTCAGGACAAATTTTTCTGTTGACAAGAGTTCAAACTAATGACTCTGTTGAAAGAGAAATGAGAAACCCTGAAATAGCAACTCATAGCATCAATAGGCAATTATTTCCTTGAGCCATGAAGGTTTAATTTAAAGAAAAAAGCTCCTGAGGTGTTTCCTGCGGTTCTCTAAAGACCTTAATCACACGCACAATGAGCTCCTTCTATCGCAGCGCTTAAGTCCCTTAAATCAAAATGGCAATCAGCCTGAGGATAACATTTATACAGAGCGTTATAGCAGCAGCAGACTGTGTGCCAACCTGCAGAAACCGACAGGCTGGAACTGTTAGCAGAGCTCAGGCTGCCATATGACTGTGTGTGTGTGTGTTTGAGGGGCTGCGGGGGTGCACATGAACTGTGGACCACAACAGCAGATGACCCCGCAGTGACGGTGGATGTGACGTGGAGTTTCCCAGATGGGTGTTGATTGGTTTATTGAACAGAGGAGGAGTGATGCTCTGGTGAGAGTTTACTCACTTCCTCTGGTTGGTTTGATCCACGGCTCCAGGGAGCTGGACTGTGAGCACAAGGAGGACTCATCATGGTTCACAGAGTTAAAAATACAAGACTAAGAACATGGATGATGGGATTGTTGGTCCTAGATAAAAGTCAAACTGTTTGTTTAATTTCTAGGATGGACCTGTTACAAATAAATGCATTTTTACAAGTTGGTGCGCCGGATTTGATCGTCCCTCTCCTCCCCTACATATCTATCCTGATGAATAGATGTGCAAAGCCTTTTTAAAAGTCCTGTTTGACTCAGTAACATCAGGTTAGGAGAGATATAATCCTTGTGCACCACGCCTAGATGGTAACTAGCTTTAATGCCGCCTCCCTCTTCATGGGAGTCAACCACGACTCCCCTTTAAATGTACTTGGCCCTCCCAGAATTCTTAACTACGATTGGCTATTTGCCTTGTCAGAAGCAGAATTAACCACTGTTACCGAAGTTTTCTGTCAGCTTTATTGACGCTTAAATTTGGCACTTTTTCTTTGGTTGGAAATGTAAACTTGGATTTGAGAAAATAATCGTTTTAAGTCGTGGCGCTGCAGCCCTGTTATGTATTACTGAATTAGATATGATAAGTGGGCATGTGAAGAGCGAATAGAAACTTCTCATCAGTAAATATGCAAACATACTTTATGCTGCAAAAATCAGTGCCCTGGTCTGGCCACCCCAGTCAAAGGAGTTTGGATGCGCCCCTGGAAGCAGTGAGTAAACCTGAGGAGTCTGGATGCCTCATAACAAACTAACAGATCTGAGATGAAGCTAAGACCATTAAGTTGAAGAGCTGTCTTCTCACTGTCAAGAAGCCAGTTTACAAAAAAACATGGTGGGCGCCTCTCTTCTGGTTTCTACTGTGAATCAGCAGAATTTCAGTGACTGTGTCTGAGTTTTTTCTCTCTTTCATGCCACATTTGTTCCACATTTTCTTACAAATGTAATTATATAAGTTTTGTGAACTTGCCCTTTTTTAACAAAAGAGTTTGAGCTCCTTTCTCTAAGTAGCTTTCCTTAACAAAACAAGATCCTCTAAGTTTTTGCAGAAGTTGAGCTTCTTTTCAAGGCTACTTGAAGCGTTTCTTGCAGATTTCATGTCTCATTTTCCACACTCACATAACAGCTGATGCAGCTTTCTCTCATTAAAGATGTTAAAATTATAAATATATATGTTTTAACCGACAAAGTACGGTAGTCAAAGTGCAGGATGCTCGCAGTGCTGCGTCTTTCTGTACTCTTGGTCTCTGCATCCTCTGCAGACGGATCGCCCCGGGTTACTGATCTCCTCCTCTGCCTGGGTGCAGAGTTTGATGCCTGAAGTGGGACGGGCAAAGAGGGGGAACTCTGGCCCCGTCTCCTGCAGGATCTCCACGTTTAATGAGCGCTCCGATCCTGCAGGAGTAAGAGTCCAGGTGGAACAGTTCCGCGCTCACACACACGCTCGCTCGCTGCTTGTGGATTTTTGGGGAACAGTGCGAAAGGATTTACTTTCCTGAACACCTGGTGGACTGTCTTACCTTCACAGGTACGTTCACTATCTTTACTCGGAGCAGACTCGGATGGAAAACAGAAAGCTACCATTCAGCTGCGCCTATGAAGTGGCGTTTTGTGTCTGCTGCTGCGTGGCATGGATGATTTACCATGATTTCAAATGATGCGTAATTTACGCACGATCGATGTGAAAACGTCCGAGCGCGTTTCTGTGCTTTTCATAAACTTTAGCTGACATGTTAAAGTTTTGAAACTTATTTGTTTACTTTTGTTTAGTAAATGATGAGAGTTTAATTTCAGCTGAGCTCCTCAGATTTGACAGATTGCCCAAATAAGCGAGCTGCTGCTTGAATTCAAAGTTTGTTTGACATGTTTTCCTTTTTTTCTCCTGGTAACACCCTCCCCTCTTCTTTCTTAAAGTAAATGTTTTATCTGAATGAAATCAGCCACGATCATTCATGCTGCAGCCTGTGGAGGAAACTCATCCAGCTTTCAGAATATATTTCTGTCTTTTTTCCCTAACTGGTTATCTTAAGCTTTTATTTTGAAATGACTCATTTGGTTTGTATAAAAAGTAGAAATCTAAGAGGAGAGTTGAGGTGTTTGTTTTTCTATACTGTACATGGTCTGACGTTTTTCTGTGTATTTCCTCCGACATTTCTATACGGTTTGAAGCAGCCTGATTAAGAGCAGGTGGTCTCCATACAACATGTCCAGCAGCAGACTGCAGGCTGTGGCTTGCACTGAAGCTAGTGCCAAGAATTAAAGTAATTCAGCCTGTTCAGTGCTTGATAAACAAATACTGTCCCTGAAGCAGCACCCAAAAGGCTACAGAGCTGACCTTGTAGAGACATGTTGGCTCTCCTCTGCGTCTGATCTCTCCTATGGCACTTCTCTTGGCTTGTTGCTGCAACGCTTGGCACATCTAACATGCTTACAGTACGTTTCTGACACCTGTGAATGCTGGGATTTTACACTCTCTGGCACTGGGTGTGTGCGAATACTGTCTCAGGCATGCATTCACTGGAATCAGCGAGGAACAGCTTGAAACCAGGTTCTAGGTGGGTCAGGATTGCAAATAAGCCTTAAAACTTTAACTGTATTTATATCCCAGAATGAGCTGCTGAGATGGGATGGATAAAAACATCAACAAGGGAAACAACCAGACAAAGGTTACTCCATAAACTTCGCAAATAAGCACGACTGACTTTGGATAGATCTTTTAAAAACTGCTTCTTTTCTCTCACATCGACACCAAAGATAGAGTTGTGTTTTTCTCTGTTTACACGATAATGCAGAAATGAAAAAAACAGAAGGTGGCAATGATGTGTAATCAGACTGTCATGTACATGACTGCATCTTCTTGAGCAACTAGAAACCGGAAACAGTCTGATGTGTTTATTCACCTCCTCACCATTATGAAATGATGAAGTAAAGTTCAGCTTCCTCATTTACCAAATAAACTTAACAGTACTTCCATACATATGAATGTTTAGCCTTTAGTTGGAGCCTTTTGCTGCATGTCAGAGCCAAGGTCATACCCCTCCCCTAGTGGTCCAATCTGTCCACAACCAACTCAAAAGCGGCACCAGATTGATTTATTTTCTGAATACGTGAACACATAAGTTCCATGACAGGTCATTCCTGCAGATGGAGTACGCAGTGTGGAGTCCAAGTGTCGTTATTTTCTGCCTGAAACAGCTATCAGTTAAAGCTCAGCATCCATACTGAAGAAGAAGCAAACATACTTATGCCCACATCGGTCTTAAAATGAGGTGAAGTCAGATGAAAGCAGAGCAGCACTGTCAGGATTTTTAAAAGGTGCATTTGTACGATCTTAGGATGAGTGTAAGGGTTCACAATGCATCCCCAAAGAAAGCTTGGAAGTGCACATGTCTTGTCGCCTTGTCTCTGTGCATCATTATACTTCTCTGAGGCTAATAGTAGGCTAGGTAGGAAGACCACCCCCTTGCTTTCTCCTCATACGCCTGCTTCACCTCAACCGTGCACCGACCAAAAACTCCGGACTAAAACTGTCACTGAGCTCCTCTGCCTCATGCTATCTTCATTTTGTTGCTCCACTGCTGTCCAGTGGGATTGTTGCATCAACCCATGCATTGACTTAACTCATACAGTGACCCGAGTGTGTTTCCAAATTTTTAGGGACACAATGGAAGAATAAGTTGAGGCTGCCGGCTCAATCCTGGTGTTTTTAGGTAACCAGGTGAAATTTCATTATATGAACGACAGTATTTGCTGCAGACACACCTCATTCTCAGCAGGAATTAGAGCAGACACACTCCTGGTAAACAGTGGAAACTCTCTGCACCCTACGCCTCATTTAGTGCCCAGATTGTACACTACTTCAAACGTTATCAAACAAACCCTTATTCAAAGAGCTAACTTCACGGCTAATGTGCACAGTGTTTGGTCAAAGGTCACTTCATTGGTGCCTGGTGAAGATAAAGTTACTACAAATCAGTAAAAACAAGTTAAAATGAACAAGATGGAGAAAAAATGTGAAGTCCTTCTCCATGTTCATTGTACTGAACACCCTGAATATCTCACCAGGTTTCTGCACAGAAACAGCTGCAGCAGATGTCCTGCTGTGAGAACTTTTCAGAACCTTTACCTGCAGGAAACGTGTTCGATCACCACTTCTGCTGAATTTATCTTTAACACAAGTACCTGCATTTCTATTTCAGCTCGAATAAGATAATATGTTGTATTCCTGCAGCTTCTCTCTGAAACTGTGAACAACTCTCTCAGAGCATTATCAGCTCTTATCAACAGCAGCCATCAAACACCCCTGAGACTGCTGCAGCACTCACCCCTGTGTGTGGTCTGCTCATGTTTTCAGAGCCTGTGTATGCTGCTCTTTGAAAATAGGCACATCCAGCTCCTGTACATCCTGTTTGCATTACGGTCATTGTGTACCTGCGACTCTCCTGCAGGTGTGACTTCATCTGCTAATCATGCATGAAAAAAAAACAACTGTGGTTTTTTTTTCTTTGCAGCAGAAAGAAGTTCATAAAGTTCATCTGACTGCAGCAGCTGACAGAAAAACAGAGCCCAGCGTTGTGTAATCCTGGTGGAGGCTGTTTTGTAATCCCTGTTGTAGTGAGAATGTTGCCATGAATTGAATTTCTCATTAAGTCCTAAAACTATGTGACCCGTCTGAGCCGCAGGGTTTAAGATGACTGAGCTGAAGAGGGACATTTCACCGTCTGCAGCCGCTGAGAAAAAGTTGAGCTCAGTTTTTGTGAGGCGTCGCTTAGTGAGTTGTTACTATTCTCAGGTCTTAATATTTAAAACAGTGGGGCAAAGATATCTCAATAAGTAGACATCCTTAAACTGTTATTTAGAGACACCTTGATGGGCATCGTTCTTCTTTCACTGTGCTCATCTTTAAAATACTAGTTTGTTCTCAAAGGAAGTAGTCTGATAGTCAATTATGACCCATTTTTGATGGTCAATTCTTGTTAGATTATGATTTTTAGTTCACACACAGCTGAGACTAAGACAGGCTACGATTTCTTTTTTTTTCTTTTGTGTTTAAGCCGCTTAAATTCAGCTGCTGGGACGTTAAGCTAAACACTCCCGCTGCACTAATGTCAGAGGTTCATATGTCTTTGGTCGAACTTCTGCTGCTGATGTGATGCACGTAAAAATCTCATCATGTACAGCAGGAAGAAAAAAGACTGCTTAGAAGTTGCATCTTAGGAAACTGCTCTGATTAAACCGTTATAGTTGGGTCATTAAGTTCTGCAAATTCACTTACTTCATCATTAATTGCTTTCAGCTTTGGTTTCTCTCAGCTAAACTTTCTGCACTTCTGAACTGCTTGTTGAATCCAATTTCAAGATTCAATGTCAGATTTGGTCAGAGGCTCAAACAACTTAAAAATCAATCACACCCCGTAGACTCACATCAAGTTCTATCAGAATCTCTACAATTTAATAAAAACCTGATTGCAGAGCACATTAAAGACCCGCTGTGATGTTAGCTGCTGCTTTGTGTTTCTTCTGCTACTTCACAGATGACTTGAAAGATGTGTCAAAGCTCGAAGACATTTTTCTTCCTCTCTGAATACTTAAAGCACATGTTTTGCAAATTGCAGCCACGCTATCCTCCTCTGAAGTGGTGAAAAACATCCACAGCAGTGACCCGCTCTGACTCTCGCTAGCTTGGCGTAGCTATGTAGATCTCATTTATACTTGCTCCTATATTGCTAGTCAGTCAATGACAGCAGCTCTGATCAGATGATTTTACTAGATTAGACTGTATCATTAAAACCTCGAACAAAATGAAGGAAATCAAGGCCTGAAAATACTCCCCAGAAATACACACATGCAGAATCAGCTGCTTGTTATGAAGGAAAAAGTTCATATGGAGAACAAAAGAGGGGAAATACAATCTGCTGTTTCACCATCCCAGAACCTCTTGGTGGTCGTTCTCCAATCATTTAGCTTTAGTTTATGTCTTTAAACAGATAAGTGCAGGCAGGTGCAGCTAACATGGTCCATCGTCTCACAACAGAGGCTCCATTCTTGCGTCTCAAGTTCCTGGTCACTTTTTAAATGAAGGCAACAAACAGGAAAGAATGTCTGTTATTACTGATGCCGGCCACACCAGATTCCTCAAGTTTGCCAGCGCTCCCAAAGGCCAAACCGTGGTCAGACGACTGGCGATGGGTGACTGTGTTATTTTTTTAAGATTATATGTTGGACTTCTTGGATAGACGAGTGTCGAGAAGAGAAACGCTGAGGAAGAGAGAGAGAGAGAGAGAGAGCTCGACTTGGACAAAAATCACGCAAGATCAGGAATCATCCTGCTGTCAGTGTCTGTGCTTTGTTCACTGAGCTGATCCCGGTACACTGTGAATAATATCTGAACTATTCCTTTAAAAGAGACTTGCTTTCACCCTTCATTGTGTCTGTCTTGTACACCTGTAGTTTTGCATGATTTGCTGCTTAAAAACCTCCTTATCTATCTCACTCTGGCGCCTGTGAGAACCCTCATCTCAGCACGCTTCGTTTTGGCTGCTTTTACACTAATACGGGTGTTACTTTTTACACAGTCCCTATAATGTGGTTGCTATTGTTCCATCTGCAGCTGTTATAATGTTACTTACAGCTTCAGGTTGTTATGTATGTTTTAAACACAGTAGGTCTCCTTTAAGGTGGATTTTTTTTGTCAAAACTGACCTGAAGCGTCTTTTTTCATCCACAGCTACACAAATCTAAAAATGTACGTCTCCAAAAGTACAGACAGCAAAAGACAGACCTTTAAAAACAAAAGTTGATTTCAGTGATCGAAACATTTCTCTCTGACTGTCTATGGACTAGCTGTAAATTAGAGATGCGGATGGACCTCAGGTTGTCTCAGATGACTCTGCAGAAGCTCTGCCGTTCTTTATCCTGGTAATAACAGACAAAAATGCATGATACAGATACCTATACATTAGCAGGCCACCCTGTTGGTTGTTTATTATAGTTGTATGTCTTTAAACCCTCACATGTATACTGTGGCCTCCTACTGTAGCTACCTGAGCGTTTGATAAGGTCTCTGTTTGTTTATGTTAGTCTTTGTGTGTTTGTGTGGGGCGGAGAGATCCTCAGGATCTATTATCTCCTGCAGAGGAAACTCCCTCCAGTTTTTGTGAAGGGATGTCATTTTCTGTGTTTCACTGCAGGAGAAGGAGGCTCACACTGAAGATGTAAATTAAACAGTCTGAAATTATTGTCTTTTTGCAGCTTTTATTTTGTTCTACAGTGACGTCACGCCTCCTTCAGAAACAGCAGGGTTTCTGAATGAAGGCTCTTTGTGGTGTTGTTGTGTGCTAAACATAGTTCTCTCTCAGGTTCGAACCCCCAGCAGGTGTCTGGTGGATCGAATGTACTTTTTGATTAACCGCTAACACGCTGACTCACCTCTCTCACGCTGCAGGTCTGTCTCCTGTACTGTAGATGTAAATATCTGCCCCAGCTTGTTCCCCGCCTCGGCTTTCTTCCCCTGTGAGGACAAATTGTAGTCCTGACTGTGCAGCAGGGATCTACCTGCCTGTCAAAGCACAACACTGTGGAAAAATCATGTCAGTGCTCATGAATGTCAAATAAAAATGTAGAGCTGCATCGGGGAAAGTCCGATCTCTGCCAACTGTAGCTATATTAATATATGCTTAACATGGCCTGGTATGTTTGTGGTGTGTATTTGCCCTAAAACTGTCATCACTGAATGCAAAATCATGCACTTCACTTCACAGCAAGAACCTCAAGAATGCAAAACTGAGAGCTGTACATGGAATAACTTAAAGAGTCATGTATCAGATGTTATAACGCTGTAATCATCCTGGAGAGCGTTAGCGGCCCACCACAAGGACGCTATTGTTGAGGAGACAAGGCGACTCACTGGAATTAAGCAGAATATCAATGAGATTTTTGGCTTTCTAACATGCAATTAAATAAAATGACTCACTCTGTATCAGATCAGAACTGTTTCCAGCTAATCTGAGCCACTGACATCATTTGCCCGTATCCTAAATGCCTTCCACTGAGTGTCACGCAAAATAGGGCTGGGAGATAAACTGAAAATTTACAGATACCGAAATTTACGACAATTACCAACGTCATTTTTTCCATATCGGTATATTCGGAAAAGACAGGTAAGGAGATGGAGGACGGTTCAAAAGTTGTAGTGGCTGCAGAGGCAGGGTGAGCAGCTTGTGGAGTAGTTATCGTCCATTTATGGTTATGGAGGTGAACTGATCAATATATCGTGATACTGATTTGAGGCCATATTGCCCAGCCCTAAGGCAAAATGATAACATGACCCAACAGGAGAGGGATTGAAAGAGTCTCTAGAAAGGAAAAAAATATCCACTGCACTTTTCAGCAGAAGCTCAGAAGGAAAAGTTTGTTGAGTCATGTTAGGGCTGGGTGAGGAACCTTTAGCCAAGTTTCAAAAGACACGACAAATAGAGCCGAGTAGAAAAGTAGGGTTGCTGCTCCTTCACGTCAAGAGGAGTCAGATGAAGTGGCTTGGGCGTCTGATGAAGATGGCCTGGGAAAGCCTTGGGGTCCCTGCTTAGGCTGCTGCCCCTGTGACCTGACTCTGGATAAGTGGTGGGTGGATGGAAGTAAATCTCCACCAGAGATTAGCAGGTTCAAAACAATTCTGTATCGGCTTTACTTTGGAAACCAAGAGACCAGGACCACCTCTGATACACAGTATAAGGATTAGGTAAACAATAAGTTTACTGGCACTCAGCTCTTGGATGTGTGACTTTGAGGAACTGCTAACCCTCTGAGGTGGTTACTCATAATTTTTAAAACCATCGTTCATGACAGGGAGTTCAGTCGACATAATGTGCTTTCACACTCAGAACAACCCCCGTCTAAAGAGTTTGGCTCTGTAGCTCCAGGACATCTAAGTAGTTCTAATGAGGTCTCCACCAACAATTATCCTCTTTTTTTCAGGTAAACCAGGTGTCCTCGTACGTTTAGTTTTCACTGTACTACATAAAGTCTCAGTCAGGCTGAACTGCTCTGCACTGTATCTGACCCTGCCTCAGATCTCGCCGTCCGATCACTTGATTGAACCTGCTGGTGTGTGGCGAAAGTGGCAGACGTGACGCCGCCCTCCTGGGAGGTACAACATTCCTGCGTTAACAGGGAGGCCTCAGTCATCGCCTCCGCGGTGAGGAGCTCCGTGCTGCCGACCGCCCCCGCCTGGAGCGAGGACTGTGGCAGCTCTTACATGCAGATCATCCTGCAGCGAGTGTCAGAGTGTTTGTAGCTGTCTGTCTGGGCTCTGACTCTAACAGCTCAGTTGTAGTTATCTGCTGCGCTATCATTACCCCAGCGGAGTCTGGAATGACGTCTCGGCGGCTCACTTCTGTTCTTGTCATTGCAGACTTCACCTCTGATTTATGTCTTTACATGTGTTTAACTCGTGGATGAGGATGACAGACACATCCTCAGACTTTCTCTGCACTGTAAACGGACTTTACTTCAAACAAACAAAGATCTGATTGAACACAGCTCTCCATTACTCAGACGTTAAATTACATCTGTGTGCGCCCTCTAATCGAGTCTGATAGAGCGAGGACTGACACTATGTTTTGTCTCAGCTCCCAGATGTTCACTTCAGAGCCTCTGATTGGCTAATACTCTTGACCTTTAGTGCCCATACAAAGCTAAATGAGTCATTCAGCTGTGTGTGAAGTTACAGTCAACAGTCTGTTTCCTATTTATCCAGAAATCTCTGGAAAGTGTTCCTCAGTGGCATTCGGTTTACTCTGTCTTGTTTCCAGCTGACATTTCACACTCGGGACTGTTTATGAAAGTGTTCAAAGTTACTTTCAGTGAGTGAGCAGGATGGGGAAAATGGGTCACAGAGGATAAAAGTGGAATTGTGCTTCTTCTCCTCTCTCTCTCTCTCTTTTTTAAGGTTTGAAAGTTATAGAAGAAAATCTGGCGGAGCCGCTGAACCTGCACACCTCTCATCATGATCAGAGCATCACTCACTGCTGTCTGCCTCGGTGAGAAACACATCTGTCTCTCTGCTGGTTTTAAATCTATCAACTTTGACTACAGGGATCTATATTTCCAGAAGTAAAGAAGGCACCAAGTGAGAAAATAAGATCTTAATACACCTGACCAAAGCAGATGGAGCCTGAAGGGACTTGAATCCACCTAAACCATCGATTCACTTTGCATTAAGTAAATAACCGAAGTAAATATGATCACAGATGGTACAGAAGAGAATCAAATTAGGACTTGGCGCATGAAAATTCAATTTTTTTACTGAAAATAAAGTCAATAAGGTAAAGTTGAAAAGTAGCTAAAAGGTAAATTTAAATAAAAGTGAGTTTTCAGAAGTGAGACGTCTCTAATTCTGCACACAAAGGTCATTCCAGAGTCATTCCTCGACTCTGGGACGACCAGCAAGGCGTCACCTGAGGATCTCAGACTGCGGGACGGCTCAAACGCTGTCAGCATTTCTATATGTTGACTCGGAGAAAGACCCAGACGAGTTTTAAAAGTGATCAGTAAAATCTGAAAATCAATCTGAAAATCACAGGAAGTCAGTGAAGGGAGGCGAGGACGAGAGTGACGTGATGTCGTCGGTTAAAACCAGTAAGAATAGAAACCAATAGTTAGAGAGCAGGTAAGCTTAATTAAAAAAACACATTAGAGCACAAACTGCTGAACTTATGAAAATAATCATCAGCTCTTTTGTCGTTGCACAGATTGCAGGACAGGATATTGACACTAATGTTTTTACCACAGCATCAAAAGGCTGAGGAAAGTTTCCCAAACTCCTGTCCATAGATTGATTTGACTTGACATCTGTTGTTGAGATCTGGTCATTGTGAGGTTCTGACCAATCAGAATTGAGTATTTAACACAGTCAGTGGACAAATGTGTCTGTACAGTATTTCAGCTTCTGATACTCAGCTAATATTTACTGAATTTAGGTGCATCCTCAGAAATAGTCTCTTTTTTTGACCACTCTCATGTGAATCTCTCTTCCTCACCACAGCACTCCTCCTGTCCTGTGTCTGCTGGGCCAAGCCGAACGGGTCAAAGAACAAGAAACCAAAGCAAGGTACACTCCATCAACAAAACCAGACTGTAGTCCTCCTGTATCTCAGACCAGAATACAGTTTCTAATCCAGTCCTCGTTAATGGAGCCTTGATTTTGGCTCCATTAACGAAAAGTGAAAGTGAATCAACACTGAAGGCCACAAACCCAAAAATCAAAAGCATAGGAAAAGTCTCTTGATTCTGTTGTTAGAGTTGCATAACGCATCATTTATCTTTTCTTCCACAGTTGTTCCAGCCATAGAGTGTGATGTCAGAGCTGGGAAGATAAATCTCCCAGAGTTTATAGTCAAATGTCCGGCACACTGCAAGGAGACGAAGCAACAGGTTTATGGAACGAGCGTGTTCGCTTCCATCTCCAGCATCTGCAACGCAGCCATCCACAGGTCAGTAATGAAAGCTCAATAAAAGTCATGTGATGTTTTTATGGCCGTCAGACTTGAATTGAACATTTTTATATTCTCAGTGGAGTCATCACAAACGCAGGAGGGAAGGTGATCGTGAGGAAGATGGCCGGACAGAACATCTACAAAGGTAGCAACTCGTACGGAGTGCGCTCGCTGTCTTTGCCGAAGTGGAGGGAGTCATTTGTTGTCTCAGGTATTAATGATCAAATTAACGAGGAACAAATGTCTTTCTTTTTAATAAACATTCAAACCAACAACTGGCTCTCTTGTATTTCAGTGGGGAAACCCAAAAAAGGAGTAATCTACCCATCCACCCTGGACTATGTGCCCTCAAGGCCGACTTATGTAAAAACAGGTGAGCTGAAGGTCGATCCTTCACTTTAATGTGGTGCATCACTATGACTGGAGTGTGTTTCTGCGATTAGGACGGAGTAGAGAGTGTTTTTGTGAGGTTGAGATATTAGGTCAATGTTAATAACAAAATAATCGACATCCAGATCAAAAGACCCCCACGTGATGATTACAGGACAGAACCAGCAAAGAAAAGGACACGAAGAGCAGACTAAATTTGAGGTGGTTCAGGTGTCTGATTGGGATGTCACCTTTGAGGGTTTTCTGAGTGCATTCAACTGGGAGGAGAACCGAGGTTGACCAGAGCTTGCTCAAAGGATTATGTCTCCCATCTGGCTTGGGGTATGGATATTTGGGTGGATTTGCTTAAAAGCCTGCTGCCACTGTGACCCAACCCCAGATAAGACGGTGAAAATAAATGGACTTAGGCCTCAGTACAATTAAGACCAATTGTTTGATTAGGTCAAGTTAGGGTCATTGTTATCGAAGAAGTGTCTATCCTTAAGATGGTTAGGGTTACTTTTGTTTGACTCGTACATAAATGTATTTGGTCTTTCTTCGCCTTCCTGCGCTCTTATCTTTAAGTACCTCAATGCCTCCATACAGGCTGGGCACCACCTTGTTGGGACATGCCAACTAAAATAAACTTTACAATCTCAATCAACAAGTGACTGAGTGTAAGAAGCAAAAAGTATTTTGTACTTTGTTTTGAACATTTTTGATTCTGTGAAAAAGTTTGACATTTTAATTTGGAGCTTGATGGGGATTGACTCATTTTGGACAGCAGCCTCAAGTGGACAGTTTAGGAACTGCAGTTGTTTTGCACATTTGCTCCATTTATGAATCCCTACACTTGTCGCAAGGATAGAGTAAAGATTTTTCCTCATTGAAATGCTTTAAAGGTAGAGATTTGAAACCTCTCACCTTCTGACCAGATTCAGTCCGGTTTAAACTCAGACCTGGAGACTCCCTCTGATCTACAAATCACGGGACCAGTGTTTTCAGGGGACAAGAGGTTGCCTGATAGACATCCTTGCGCTTGACTCTGGCATGTTGAACTTCGCTCAGGTTGAACGAGGAGTCAAAGCGCTGCAGCCTGCTAAGGAATGCCAAGAATGCATGACAACACAGCCGTTACTGTAGACGTTCTTCCTCCCCGTCCATCCGTCATGAACATGACCGCCTTCATCTGTCATCTCTTCGCAGGTCAGAAGGAGGCCAAAGCGCCTGCGGTCACCACGGTGCTGCCTGCTACTACAGCACCTGAACCCACCACGACAACAACACCTGAACCCACCACCACCATCGCTACCACCACAACACCGGCTCCCACGACTACTACGCCCCCACCCACCACGACCAAGGCTCGAGCTGCTGTGCACAAAGTCAGGGATGCAGGTGATTCAAACAAACATCATCTTTCATGCATACATGTAAGAAAAGCTCAGTTTTTCACTGAAATCATGGATCCATGTATGTCATGTTGAGGATTGTGTTTTCACTGGGATTAAGAACAAACGATCCAGTAAAACCGATCCAAACTGTCGATCCAGTGACGTAGAAACTAACAACGTTTGAAGCTTTTGACTCGAGACGCTGCTCACCAGAACAAGTTTTGATTTGTGTGAAAATGAGTGATGAAGACAAATCGCTGCAGTGCTAAAATCCACAATTATGACAAATTACAGCCGGTCTGTGATGAAGTACAAACTGTGAAGTTGAGTGATGAGTCGACCATGAACAAGTCAGGAACCTGCAAAAGTCAGGAGACTACTGAGAGCAGCTATGTTCTCTATACCACAACCTTTTTCCTCAAACACCCATAAAAAGTTGATGATCTCTCTCTACTCTGAAATAGTGTCTCCACCAGCATCAGGAATCACTTGTTGTGAGCTGAGCATATCATTACAACGAAGCCAGATTTATTCATATTAAATACTTTGAGTGATAGATGTTCACACTGACCAAACACAAGCCAAAAAGTTTCTAATTTTACCCCAAGAGCAGCTCATAAATGAGGCATCCTTAGAGGGGATGAAGGGGCTGTATTTGCCCCTGACATGAGTCAAATAAAGCGGCCTAATAGACCATCACTACTGACTGACTGTTCACTTGATCACCAGACCATTCATCACTCTTATTAAATGAAAACATAGCGAGATGTTAATCACATTAAGTCACCCACCCGGCCCTGGATATTAATGCAGATACAGTGAGTACACAGAGCAGCAGTATCTCCAGGTATGTGTGTAAATGAGATCGGCTGTGCGCCAGAAAACCTCCCCACTATTTCTGTCGCTTTCATTCTCTGTAACATTATCTCTCCTCCCTCCATATTGGCACACGTTTGTTTCTTTTTTTTCTATCCAGGCAGCAGTCACCCGTACCTTGCCTCTGTGGCAGCTGCAAGTTCAAGTAAGTGAAGCAAAGCAAACAGGTGTGACACTGGTTTCAGGCTGGTTTTGGTGGCATTAAAGGGATATTCCGGCAAAAAAATTAATTCAGGGTCAAACACACTGTTAGAAACCCCCTCTAGAGATGAATGTTGCCGACCACTTGCTTCTCTAGTTATACCAACTTTAGTAACGACCACAGGATAGTAATACACAGCGGTCTGAGGAGCCTTAAACACACCTTAACCAAAACGCCACTCTACAGCCACAAATAATGCTCAGAACAGCACTTCATCAACAGGACATATAGGGTCACTGCTATGGCACTAGCCACCAAACATCTTTTTAACTTTGCCTAATTTCTTTAGCAAAGAGACTAAACACAACTCACCTACTCTCTTCCAGCAGTTGCTTGTTTGTAGTGAAACCTCAGGCCAGTCCATTATGGACTACAGCGGGGTGACGCAGCTCAAGGAAGGACATTTATGATCATTTCTTCATGGAAATACAATCAGACTGAGACGCTAAGGTAGAGGAACTACTGTGTCTGCAGTGCAAAATGATTAATATGGTGATTATTACTTCAAGGAAATGATAAAAAATGATCATAAATGTTCCTCCTTGAGCTGCGTCACCCCGCAGCAGTCCGTAATCGTCTGGCCCGAGGTCTCGCTACAAACGAGTGGCTGCTGGAAGAGAGTAGGTGAGTTATGTTTAGTCTCTTTGTTAAGAAATCAGGTGATCTAGTTATAGTATAACTACAGAAACAAGCAGTCGGCAACATTCATCTCTCGAGGGGGTGTCTAACTCTGTGTTATGGTGCGTTTGACCCTAAATTAATTTTACACCGGAATGTAATTGTGAATTGTGCAGGGGTCTTGTTATAAGTTTTTCTGCATGTAAGTGTGCACTCTGGCCCTTCAGCGAGCTCCTTCTGTGTATTTTTATTGGAGGAACACATTCAGTTAACTTATTCAAGGTGGAGAACTTAAATCAGTCTATTAGGGCTGTTGGTTTTGACCCTAAACTTCTTTGAATTATGCCACATTATTTCTGCTGAGATGTGCCCACACTCTGTTGTTCTCAACACTGGTACAGGACAGTCACAGAGCAGTCAAGCCAAGAGTCATGGCCAAGGTAAGTGCCTCATTCTTTCATCTAGAAAGTCTTTAACGCTCTGCTGAGTCCTCTTCTTTGAATTAACCCTGGCATCTCTTCAAAGTCTTCAGAGGAGGTGCCTATCCCAATAGATTCCCACAACGTGCCAGTGCAGGTAAACCGAGCTTCCTGATGAGTCTTTTTTTACTCTATCCAAAGTCTGCTGTGACGTTCCCTCTTTCTTTTACTCGCATAAACACTAACTGTGCATGATCTGTGTCCAAACAAAAACACTAACATAGAGATTTATGACTCTGACTCTAACTTTGTGTAAACTCTTCCAGCTGTCGTGTTTTGGTGAAACTGACTCGTCTAGTCATGCCGCTGTCTCTGTGAGGGTGTCCTTGGGCATAGTGGTGTTTGAGCCTCAATAGTGTGCAGAGTTTAAAAGATCGTCTCATAACGTGTCTTTCTAAATGTCGGTCCCAGGTATACGCAGGCCAGAAGCAGGTTCAGCCGTCAGGAGACAACCTTCCTCTCCAGTTGGTCCAGGTCAGCCTCATCACCAACACACACACACACACACACACACACACACACACACACACACACACACACACACACACACACACACACACACACACACACACACACACACACACACACACACACACAATCAAAGGTAGCGTGACACACAGGTAGACATGATGGGATTGACAGGCAGGGCAGGTCAAGGGCATCAGGGGTACAGATGTCGTCGCTGGGACGAGAATCCTGGAGACGTAAGTCCAGGCCTTGTTTTTCCACCCATAGGCCCCTGTGATCATCACCCAGAGGTCACTGCTAATCCTCTCGATCGAGCAGCAGCTAACATTCCTCTCATGATAACCGCTGTTCTCTGTCATCAGGCACATCCTCTTACTCGTGTTTTCACTTTCTGAGATGAAAAGAGGCGCATGAAGCCCAGTTAGAGCCTGCAAACACGCCCCGCATACACCCTTTTGTTTTTGGTACCATGCTGGGCAGAAGTATGCCTTCAACTTCACCCAAAAACTCTGCAGCTGGGCTGCATTTGTGGATGCTGAAGCTCTTCTCTGCCTCCTCTTCTTTTTCCCTCCTCTTCCTCTTTTCTACTCTGTCTGCCTGTTTCTCATTGCTACAAACAGCTTTTAACAGGGTTCAGCCGGCCCAACCAGAGCGGTCTTCAACCACGAGCCAGTCCAACCCGGGTAAGTATCTCCAGACCCCGAGCGAGGGTCCTCACACTACATACACACACACTCACTGACGTAGGGGAGCAGACAGTCCTGATCACACAGAGGTAATAAAAACCACGGTCCAAATGTTTTATAAAGCAGCACTAATGTTGACCCTCTGTGGGAGTTTCGATGCGTGGGCAGTCCTCTGCCGACAGGCGGAAACAGTTCCTCTGTACTCGGAGTGAAAAATGAGCAGGAAGGTCTCTGTTATTCTTCAAAGATGAGAGATGACGTGATTTCTGTGTTTGAACTCCTGCAGTAGTTTGTTTGGAGTGCAGTAAGAGTCCCCCTGCAACAGGTAATGTATCTGACTCTACAGTATCCTAATGGAAGACAGCATATCCTATCATCTCATCAGTTAGCCTGCCATTCCCGCCCCTGCTTGTCTTGTTAGATCTGCAAATACAAAAAGACTTTGAGGGTGAGAGTGGATGCCAGTCCATTGACAGAAAACATCTCCCTTTTTCTCCTGCCGACAGCATCAGACTGGAGCCAAACGATGACAAATCTTGTAAGACTATTAAAAAGTCATAGAGTGAAGTAGCTCCTTTGTTATATTAATTTATGGATCCCTGTTAAAGAAAATTACAAGATCCTCTTGAACAACATTTGACAAGCTTTACAATTTACAACCCTGAGTTTTTGGCGCCAAGGTTTGACAAATAACAAATCTAAATAACGTCCAATGCAACCTGATATATTAATAATTCTGATATCATCCATGTAGCTACACCTCTTTTATATCGCACTTCAGATGGAGAGGTACCATCTATCTACATCATCATCACCTTATCATAAACCTCCAACTGTAAACGTTCTCTCTCAGACCAGGTCACTCCGATAATCCCGCTCTGTCAGTGCAGCTCTACTGTAGCACCTCATGACAGATTCCATCTGCTCTGGCCTCTCCTGTCTCTTGTAAATGTTTTCAGAGACAGACAAGGATGAAAGCACCGGCACGGTAGGCAGCTCGGTGCTGCTCCCAGAGAGACCCGGTCTGCAGCTCTGCAGGATCTGGGTCGACTCTCCAGCCTGTCAGGAATAGAAATCTCTTGCCATTCAAACCAGGCGAGGTTTTGGCTCGGTGGGAAATGTGCTTCTGTTTTTGCTTCTGTGGAATGCAAACCAAAAGGATCCCTGAAATTAGTCAAAAAAACTACAGTAGAACTGCTTCAATCATGCTTGATTGTATGATATAAAATCTAAAGCTGGTGCATCTTCTGTCTGACCTTTCCCTGCAGAGATATGAGACTTTGTAGGTGTCTGATCAGTGCAGTTTCTGGATAATTATGTGATACTTTATTGATCCCTTTAGGGAAATTCTTTGTTTGAGGTGAAGGGTCAGAGGTCAGGATCAGGCAGGACTCTTCAGCAGGGCGGATGCTTGCTGTCTTTGGCGCTCTGAACTCTGATTTATGAGTCGGAGGCTTTTCTCTCCAGTCGTTTGCCACCCGTCTGCCCTAAACAGATGTGTGGATTTACTGCTCAGCTCTGTGGAAATGTCCCGATGCAGTTCAGCCCCACTTTCAAACGAGGTCTCCACTCTCATTCATGGCATGACTGGATAATGCAAGAGAGTTAGAGTATCCCTGTTCGTCCTCTGACCCCCTGGCCGTGGTGATTACCGGGGTGGCTATGATTGGGAGAGTTAACCTCAATCCTCATAAAGCACTCATTTTATCAGAAGTAACAACACTGCTGTCTGCTGTGCAGCACTGTACCTTTGAGCAGCAGCAGATTAGGCTAATCTCTGGGTCCTACTATCTACACTGCCCCTGGTTTGACACCTACTTTAAAATAATACTCCCACGCTTCACTTGGCTCTCCCACCCCGTCACCGTCAACAAAAGGACCTGCTCGCTAGCTGCCACTCGATGGGAACCTCAGAGCCCGGCCTGAGTGTTTGTGTAAGCTACCCGTCCACCACAGGGAGGGGTTAACAGGAGTGTGTTGACGTGGATTGGTCAGTTAAACAGATGAAATGCTTTGTTATGGTTTTACTCAGCTGTTGGGGCATCTAGTGGTCAACCACTGAGTCTGGTTGAATAAGCTGCCTGGTGTTTTTGCCACACTTTAAGTTCAAACTTTGACTCGGTGTGAATCGTGATCTCCAGAGCAGCAGGTAGAAAAACAGACGATGCTTTCTCAGTTTCTCTACCCTGGAGGTAAAAAGCATTACGCTTAACTTCACTGCAGCAACCTTTAGTTGCTCAGTCACCGTCTGTCTGAGTGACTCCTGAACGTTAAGTGTCTGTCTCAAGGCTGAACATCTTGTGCATACCCCACTAATAACCCAGCAGGTTCAGTGGAGGTCACAGGTATGCTTCTGTCCTGAACATAGCTCTCTAATCTCCCCCTGCACAGCTTTTCCGAGAAGGGAGTGGGCGCCTCCCTCAGGTCCGCGTCCTGATTGGTTCCCAGGAGCTCGAAGACCAACAGGTACAGCTTCAATAATCATGCATCATTTCTCCCCTTCAAACCATTCATAAAACATATCCTGAAATATGTTTCATGTAAGGGTTTAACAAAGGGAAGAAGGGTATCGCTGGAATATCTGAAAGTAATAAAATGTTTCTGTTTTGGTACATATGCTCTTTAAACTTCCTGTTTTTGTCCTACAAAAAAACGCCAAATTGAGTACTAAACGCTGACTTGACCTCATCAAAACATAGACACAGGGAAAGAGTTGGAGATGAGGGACACAGACCAGAAGCAGTTTTTCTAACAAGACTGAAGGTTTAATTTTCGGACATTTTCACATCAGACTTAATGGAGATTTGTTGGCTTTTGGAGCCAGCCTCAAGTGGAGGCTGAAGGAACTGCAGTTTTTTTGTACTTCTGCATTGGCTTTATGGTTGCCACTTAGTTATGACAGGAAAAACATCTTTGTTATCTTGATAAAATAAATCAAATCTCAACAAAACTTGTCATATCAGCACAAGTGGATAAATAAAATGTATGGGTGCATCATGTCAGCTAAGGGTTTTAGTGCGCCCTGACTGTAACCCTCATAGTCCCTGATGCCTCCCCTTCTCTGCTGTGCATTCAGATGTAAGTTATGGAGCTCCAGACTCAGGATATACGTGGAGTGAGACTGATGCATCTGAAATGACAGGTAAGCCAATCTCCCCCCTGAAGGCCACACACCAAGAGGGCATGATGTGTACTGCCCCCTGTCACTCAGGCGGGTCAGTACACATTTTGATGCCTCTCTGTTGCATGCACATACACAGCATGCTTGAATTAGCCAAGCAGTTTGGTATCTGCTGACCATGTACGTGTTGAATTGGCTCCATATGTAAGTACATGCAATGTGTCTCTCCAAACGTGTGTTTACATGCCATCTGCCTGCCATATGAGTGGGTCCCGTGAAGTGTGGAGACGAGCACAGGGCAGGATTATTGTTGGTACATGTGTGTGTGCGTGTGTGTGTGTGTGAGAGAGAGAGAGAGAGAGAGACATTGTGAGGTGATAATTCTGCACAAAGCTGTTCTTTCATTGGTCTGGGATTGGTCAAGGGGTGCAGAGTATGCGACCAATCACAACCATGAAAATGTGGTTTCCTCTTGAGTTCATTGTGGGAATACTAACGGGTTTCACAACATCCTCCTCTAGCTCGGGATCACAGGCCTGATATGTCAGAATATGAGCGCTGGTTTTATAACTTTGGACCGTACCGTAAGTGTGTTTTTATTCTATCAAGTGGGATCTAACAAGTGTTGGGGTTCGGGTTTTATATGTACAAACTGTGATGCTGAAAAGGTTGTACATGAGTGACTGCATGACTTTACATATACAAACACACCCTCATCTTCTATGTTGTTTTATTGTCTTATTTATGCATGAACTTGTGAATTTGAATTGTGTCACTCTCATTATACATATTTAGGGTAATGCATATCCTGTGTGTCTTTACCGAACCTGCAGACTGCCTCATTCAGCCTGTCAGCCCTCAAGAAACAAACTCTCGTCACAGAATCATTAAATGAAATAAAACTAAAGAATTCATCTGAATACGCCCGCTGAAAATCGGTCCATATGACACTCATAAGAAACTGGAAAGCGTTGTTCGACTTGTTAGGAAACCTGCTTCTGTGCGCAGGAGTTACAAAAGAAGATTGATAGCTCCTGAAAGTTGGTCCAAAGACGCCAGTTAGCGTCGCTTTGCACCAAGAGTGGAAACGTAACTGTTGGCTGTCTACACATGCTATAAATCCATCTACTTACATATTACTACTTTTGGATTATTGCACATAAATTTCAAAATGCATTGGTGGTATTCATAGAGGGTGTGGAGTGAAGGTAGCTCTTCAAAAAAGAAGTAACCTGCTTTGGGGCGTCTACACATTTTGTATTAAGGCACAGTGTTGAACGTGAGTCACACGTCTTATACTGTCAAGGGCCCAAAACATCACTATTACTGAAAAATACCACAGTTATACTCTCAGGGTCAGGGCTACACATGTCAAACATCAGCTGTTGGCATTTGTACAGCTTCACTGAATAAAATGGAGGTGTATCTGTTCTCTTCAAAGAAGTAAAATACAGCCTGATAACAGGAAGATACTGAATCTATCAAGGAAGGACAAGAGTGCAGAAATCTCCATGTTAAAGTTTCTGAAAACACTATTTACTGCTTCAGTGTGCAAAAATGCACTCTGAGATACTCCTGAAAAAGGCAAAGACGGGCTGAAAGCACCACTTTTACCCAAAGATATTCAATCAGCAGAACATATCAGCACCAACGTAATACACTCGGATTTAGTCACCATAGTTTCCTGCCCAAAAAAGGAATAAAACCATTAACCTGGTGATATGATTATCAGAGATATCTCCCCCTGAGTTGGCTTATAGGCCGAATATTTCAGAGCAAAACAGACAGTCCAATGCACAAGGATGTGGTGCCAACAATGAAGTAGATCAGTACTGCATAGAGAAGTTTGTGTTCTAAAAACAAGGAGAGGAAACACCCTCTGAGCAGACTGTTAGTCCTCATACTAAACTAGGCTAGGTGGTTTCCATTTTTGCATCTAACCTTTGACAAAGAAGCTATCCGGTTTCTCAGGAGAAAAACACTTTTTGCGTAACTTAAACAGCAAAATAAATAATAGGGCGTTTTCACAACACAGCAAGCCCTCACTGTCAGATTACAGGATTTGGTTACATCTGTGAGGGAACATCCACATCCAAGTGAAAGGGAAGTGGTTTGGAGGAGAAAGCTGGCACCACAGACATAAAAATACCACAACACATCCAACCAAATGAAACCAGAGGAGCTGATGGAAGCAGACTGTAACACCATGCTGTGTTTATATCAAATTTATACCATTTCTCTCACTCTGACTTCATTTATCTCTTTCCTTTTAGCGCCTCGCTCCCCTGACTCAGACACTGTCCGTAAAGTACCACTGGATACCCACACCAGAGGTGAGCAGAGTCCTGTTTAGAGTACAGAGGACATACTGTATTTCTGCCCTGCTTATTAGTTGGCGTCGCTTTAGCTTTCTGATTCATGTAGGACTGAAAAGTTTAAGATAAAAAAACCTCTTTTTGTAACTCAATAATAAATCCTAATGTTTGCTAACACTCAGCTTGTATGATATCTGTGCAGTGGAGCCAGTAGATGCCTGGAAGCCCGACGCTAACCTTTATGAATCAGGTGAGATGGCTTGCACATAGCAGCACCAGCACCTCTGCCCTGTTTATGGGATTTGCTTTTTTTTTTTATTTTTTTTTTTTAAATAACAGATTAACAACATTATCCAGAATATTATCCACATACCTGTCGGTGGGACAAGAGATCCTTGTGTTGTGGCACAGTTAGGGTTAAGGTCGGACTGAAGTTGTGGTCCTTGGTGGTCCAGTGGTTGAAGTTTCATCCTGAATATGTAGCCTCCACCTGCAAACACCATAGATATGTAAACGATAGACGGCTTAGGCACGCTGTCAGCCAATGGAGACCAAGGTCCGTGCATGGCGGCCATCTTGCTTCAGGCAACTCGCCCACTCATAACATTACAGTTTATGGTGCATGTAGCATGTAAATAACCATAGATTGCTTAATTTTGAACCGATTTTGGTTTGGTTTGTAACAAAGCTCAGTGTTTTAGTTATGTTCCTGCATACTCAAAAATAATTTTTACCATGGATTTTCATAAATAAACATTAAACAGATAGGTAGAGCAAAAGGTATAGGCCTACACACCCAAGGCAGTTATATAAAATCATTTATGTATACAACATTTAATCATTCGATGTATTTTATATTAGTTACACTTCTAATATAGGAATAAGTATAATAACATATAGCAATAACATATGTAGTCATTTTCAATATAAATATCTGTCTAGACTATCTGCCAGAATGGTATACTGGAGTAAGATGGCCGCCGTGGAGGGACCCCAGTGATTCCGCCTCGAGTCATCTAGCCTTTCTTATGAATATCTATGGCAAACACTTTATACTCTCACTTTTAGAGAGCGGCCACAATGTCTGTCTTTATCACAGTCCTTGGAAACAGAAAGAGTCTCTTTTAAAGCTAAAAATTTGGAGCTAACACGACTGTAACAGCAGCTACAGTTGAACAGCCAACAGTCCAGCTCCTATTCGGACTCTACTCGGGCTAGCCAACCAACGGCTAACCCGTTTACTTTTAGCTCATTAAGCTAACTAACAGTACCGATGCGGCTCGTTTTCGCCTTACTTCTTTAGATTTTCGCTCTCGTCACGACGTCTTAAATCGTTTTAGAAGTTATCATCCTTATCTCTGGATGGAGCCGTCTGGTTGTAGTAAGTTATGTGCGTTAGTAGTGCTCCACACATCCGGTCTGTGACGGTTAGCCGAACCATTCAAATGAAGACCGACGGCCGCCATTGGTCGCCCGATTTTAACAACATAACATAAATTAAATAAAGTTTTATCACTTTTTTCACTCAAATAGTCATAATGTTGTCTCATTATTCATATATTTATACTCTATTTAACATAACGTTAAAAAAGTGTATTTTTTGCCTGAAGCATTGTCAGTAAATTCCCATTCAGACTGTAATTTCTAACCAAACCCAGTCTTTTTAATGAAAAGCATCTGGTTTATTACTCAGGCTGTATTTTTAGAGATTTCTACCCCAGTTTAAATGGCATGGTTGCTTGAGGTTAAAATCTGTGCCTGTTTGGCGTAGTTTTTTTCTTTTTCTTTGCCACAACAAAGATCACAGCTGGGGTTTGGGATCTCTGGAAACTGGATATCAACATCTGCGCAGTTTGAAACTTTTAATCTGATTCTGGAAAAGAAGAGGATTTTTAGGATTTATGAAGACATAATTCTATCACAACATGTGATTAAACTGTCTGAGATTATGAAAGCTGTAATGGGACACTGGATGGGACCCAGTATTGCTAAATTTGATGGTATGAAAACGATTATGAAAGGACACAGGGAGTTCAGAGGAATTGTGTCAAGCTAAAGAAGTATATTTTACTAGAAAAAGTGCATTTTTCCTATGGTGAATATTTTTCTGTTTCTTGATTTTCAGGCTTCAGCGTCAGAGAGCCAGAACCTGCTCCCAGAGCACCTGAGCCCGTGTCACAGGGAGATCCAAGTACGGCCCATAAAACCCAACCATGCTTATGATTTATATATGATGGCTGCACCTTTGGAATTAGTGCTTAACATTTTTATTCACAATCCTGCAAACAATTAGTATAAAGAAATTATTTCAGTTCTCCCATATTCCAAATCTGTGGTTCATTTAAAAAAGTATGTGGATACCTTTTGTTGTCTGCATCTGCAAAGACATTTTTCTGGATTGCACCAGATTGTTCTCATACTGTACATTTTTGACACCAGCTACAGTATAACCTGTTAGTGAGGAGGCATGGATTAACTCAGAAATAAGTGTTAAAATTCACACATGTGCTTGTATGATGTGAACCAGGCCTGCCTGTTCACTGATGTTTTTAGAAGATGCTAAAGACCCAGGCATGTGCTGGTGTGACAGACCTGTTCAGTCCTGCTTCAAAGGAGCTCAATTTAACACTGAGATGGTCGACTACAAACAATGATATTGATGTTAAAACAGTCCATAAATCTATCTGCTTCTGCATCACACAGAGTGAAATCTGTTGCCAGGAAAAACAAACTCAAAGTTCACTCTGACAACCAAATTTTGCACTACAGCGGTAAAAAACTATTACCTTTCTGATGAAACACAGCTGATTTAGACAATGATCTTCTTCTTGTTTATACCTCAGCTGTAGCAGCAACTAGACTCTCAGAATAAACAAAAATACAATTAAATCATTACATAAGAAACCTCAAAGTGCCTCTTTAAATTGGCAAGTGTATGTGTTTACCAAACAGTCACCTGTTTTTCTAAGAAAATACGTTTATTTGCCACAATTTTGCTCCAGTGAGCCGATTGAGATCATGTCTCCTTTTGGGATAAATTATGTATTACAAACATACAGGTGAATCTGCTATAAACTTGTTACTCGTGTGTTTTTTGCAGATTGTAAGGTGGACCTGGTCTTCCTGATGGACGGGAGCTGGAGCATCGGGAAGAGGCGCTTTAAGATCCAGAAAGACTTCCTGGCTGAAGTCGCTCAGGTCATAAATGTGGGCGTGGCCGGACCTATGATGGGAATCATCCAATACGGGTAACTTCCACTGGTGTCACCTGAGTGAAGTGTGCAAATATACTTAATATACACTTACTTTACAAATCTGTGCCCACAGATTAATAATCTCTGCAAGGTCGTTTTTAATCCATCAGCATGGGTTTGTAAACTGTTGGAAAGTCCAGTAAGAAATACATTATAGTATTAAATCAACCCCAAACTTCAAATGAATTAGATTTACTAGGCAAATGTGCTTACCTTGGAAATACTCTGTTTCTCGTGCACAAACCTGTGCCCACAGTTTACAAAACAGTGCCAACAGTTAACCACAGTTTATGAGGCAGTGCCCTCAGATTGAAATAATCTGGTATGGGTTATAAATCTGTGGGTATGAGTTATGAACTGTGCACAGATTTGTAAACAGAGCACACAGCCTGTTGAACCACCTCTGTAAAAGTTGAGTTTTTCTCCAAGTCCACACTGAACTGGTTAGTTTGAATTTATTGTTAGTTTGTTCAATGTTTAGTCTCATAACGGAGGAGTAAGAGCGAGAACAAAAGCAGCCACAAAGTGCCCACGCCTTATGCCTGCAGTCCAGCTGCAGATGCTGATGGTTCTGTGGGATGTCACTGTGGCGAGCCAATAGAGCCATTCAGGGTAATCAATAACAGATGACATCTCTGCAGGTGGAGACATTAATAACAGGTATTTCCTGTAGGTAATAGTTCCTATGATGTGATTAACTTCTATTATTGATTACTCTGACTGGCTGTGGTGGTGAAGAAGATGCCATCCAGTTTATAAACCACCTGCTTACCCTCATCCTCCAGATTATAGCATACCGCCTTTTAAACCCATGCAAACAGGTATTTTACAGAGGGATTAATAACTAGTATAAGTGTAAAAACTCGGTCCTTGTTGTGTGTGCAGGGATGACCCGGTGACAGAGATCAGTCTGAAGTCCTACTCCAGCTCCAGAGAGGTGAAGTCGGCCGTGGATAAGATCGTGCAGAAGGGAGGTCTCTCCAACGTGGGTGAGTGACCCACTACAGTAAATGCCAACAAGCGCAAGTGTGAAAGTGAAAGGGCAGCAATTATCGCATGGTTTACTAGCCAGGCACATATTCACATGCAAGGATGGAATTAAATCTAAATTTGCTGTGAGACACTGTTAGCTAAATTACAGTCCTGTGTCTGTCAGCCTTGTTTTTTCCCTCCACTCTGACGAAAGTGCATTTTGGTTTTAGCGGGCCGTGGGGGTCAGCTTTGGAGGAGAAGTGCTGTTTTTCTGCTTTGGTTGGTGCGTCAGAGTGCGCCCGCTGCCACGTGTCTTTATGACTTGCTAAATTCTGCATTCACATCCACATAACTGTTTGTGTTTGCCCAGAAGTGCTCTCTAATCATACAACACTCCTAAGAAAGGCCTCAGCTGTTCTGCTATCACACTGACCACCACCAACAAGACTGTGTTTGTTAGAGGACAGCTCTATTTTTGTGATACACGCTGTCGGAGCAATGCATCACATGAAGACAGATGTGCATGTTTTTGGTTTTTATAGCATACGGTCATTATTTCAAGGTTTTGTTTCTTCCAGAGGGCATATGGGGAAGTGATGGCTGATCATGCACATATTTTTGGTTATGTCCCTACATTCAGACCTCTGGGGGCCAACAAAAATCTTTAAATGTCATGATGTTTTTAGCATTTCCAGCCCTCCATCTTTCACTTATCTCTGACAGGCGTTTTAAAAAAGCACACTGTCCCCCCAGAGAGATTTTAAAAGCTGTAAGAAAACACTGGCTCAAAAAACAAAAAAAAAAACACAAGCCTCGTAAGTAATTTTTGTTTACGCTTACAGCTTCTGTAAAATAATGCAAGATTTTTTTTTACTTCCAATATCAACTGCTTTGTAAAATATACAGTACATGAAATTAAACCAAATAAATATGAACATTTTTTTTCATTCTCACCACACTCCAAATCAGATGCTAGTTCTGCACAAAGTTAAAAGATGGAATATGCTTTGACAGTTTATAAAGTTTTATCAACAATAGTGTGTAAACTAAATATGACAGAGGTCATATCAGCTAAAACAGATCAATATTTGAATTTTCAATCACTTTACATGCACCAGTTACTCTGTATTTAGCCGATAAAGCTTCATTTCACTGCATCAAAGTAGGAGATGTGGACGTAACAGTTATTTCTGGTTATTCTCTGCAGCTGTTCAGGATTTACAGTTAAAAAGATTCTTCACATATTTCAGGCTGCTGTCTTTGGCTGGATTCTTGAAGCCTCCTTCACTGTTGCCAAACAAAAAATTTACAAAGTTGCCCTTTCTGCTCATGTACAGCACTGACACCCAACATTTTATCTCAATATTTGTTTTCAAAATAAAATAATCTGATTTCCTGCTTCCTAATTTAAATTTGCCATTCATTACCAACGGAAAACACTCAATAAACTAAACATGTGAAAAACAGAAAACTGCCTCTCCAAACAGACATGCAGCTGGAAAAAAGGAACTCAGTCCATCTTAGAGAAGATTTTTTCAGGCTGTCTCTCTGTTTCATGTCAAACACAGTCCATGTGTATTTTAATCCAGTTTTGTGAAAACCAGATTTCTTCAGCTTGTCCTCCCTGAGTGACTTCCTGTATTTGAGCCGCAGGCTCGTTTGTAGCATCATTTTAACCGCCTCTCTGCTGCCCCCTGGTGTCCTGACAGGGAAAGCCCTCACCTACATTAACAGACAATACTTCAGTGATGCAAACGGGAACCGAGGAGGGGCTCCTAACGTGGCCGTGGTCCTGGTGGACGGATGGCCCACAGATAAGGTGGAGGAGGCGTCTCGGCTCGCTCGAGAATCTGGTATCAACATCTTCTTCGTTACCATCGAGGGTCCTGATGAGAACGAGAAGCAAAACCTGGTGGAGGCCAACTTTGTAGACAAGGTGGGCAACATTCAGTGGTTCATTTATTTACAGAGTCCAGGCAGCGTCCCGGTCCTTCTGGATCAACAATAAGTCTTTCTCCTTTCTCCTCCTGCAGGCTGTGTGTCGCACAAACGGCTTCTACTCCCTGCCGGTGAGCAGCTGGTTCGCTCTGAGAAAAGCCGTGCAACCACTGGTGAAGAGAGTGTGTGACACAGACCGCCTGGTGTGCAGCAAGACCTGCCTCAACGCCAACGACATCGCCTTCGTCATCGACGGCTCCAGCAGCGTGGGGACTGGAAACTTCCGCACCGTGCTGCAGTTCGTGGCCAACGTGACACGGGAGTTTGAGATCTCTGACACGGACACACGGGTCGGAGCCGTGCAGTACACGTACGAGCAGAGGCTGGAGTTCGCCTTCGGTCAGTACAACCACAAGATCGAGCTGCTCAACGCCATCAAACGCATCAACTACTGGAGCGGAGGGACCAGCACTGGCGCCGCCATCACGTACGCAGCAGAGCAGCTGTTCAGCAAATCCAAACCCAACAAACGCAAAATCATGATCGTCATCACAGACGGACGCTCCTACGATGACGTCAGAGCTCCTGCACTGGCCGTGCATCGCCAAGGTCAGAGGTCAAACACAACACAATCTGAAAAACAGGACAGTTTGAGGCAGATCAGTTTAGATTGAGGTGTTAGATGCACTTTTGTCTTGGTCACATGTGATGAATCTACATTATTTACAGTGTGATCAGGCTCTGCTGTCCACAGCGAGGTGTTAAACAGTGTGTTTGATGTGACTAACACATGTGAAGACCGTATATCTACATGTGTGTGTGATCCTCTCTCACCTCCTGTTCTCCAGGTGTGATCGCCTACTCCATCGGCATCGCCTGGGCGGCTCAGGACGAGCTGGAGTACATCGCCACCGACCCCGACAAAGAGCACTCTTTCTTCGTGGACGAGTTCGACAACCTCTACAAGTTTGTCCCCAAGATCATCCACAACATCTGCCAGGAGTTCAACTCACAGCCCAGGAACTGAGGACAGACGGGGTCGGGGGGGCGGGTTAACGTCTTAACAGAACTCTGATTGTAAATTTGCTCACTCTGTCGCACAGATGGCGGCGCTGGATTGGCTGCAGCACCTTGTATTTGAACAGGGAGGGGTTTGAATTTAGGTGAGGACTGTGGGATTGGACTAAACAAATCTTAAAGTAAAACAGCATTTGGTCCCAGATTTACAGATCGTACCGGGGTGAAAGGGTTTCTGGACACAGCGGCGTGTGAAACCTGCTGTGGGGCCGTTTAATCTCAGAGCAAAATAATATTCAATAGTAATAAACAATAAGCAGAGCTTTACGAAGGGTCAACGAGCTCAAACTGAAGGCTTTATTCATGTTTATGAATTTATATATGCTTCCAAGTCAAGGTAAAGTCATTATGTAGAAGTTTGAGCTGAGTAAACACTATTTTTGAAGATTTAATTAATCAATCACTCTGGAGTATCAGACCTTTAAGGGCCTGTGTCCACTGACAGCGCCGTTCTCCTGTTCGTTACCAATTTACTGTGTTGTGTTCAGCACTCGGGCTGAAATAGCTTAACTTTTGTGCTTGTCAGTGTCCTGTCTCCCTCACTGACCAATCAGCATCAAGAAAGGGAGGGACTTATGATTTCAACCTTAACAACAGGAGTGTTGGAGGAGATTTTGCTGTGACTTCCAGACACAATGGCGCCCCCTTATGGTCCAATGGATAGGTGAAACAGGGAGGGATGGGTCTCAGTTTGTAAGAGGGCCTTAAGAGACCTGATGGAGGTGTGGTCCTGCTCATGAAACTTTCCCATATAGCACCCTAAGTGGGAGACAATCACAGCAACCCTGGAAGCACATCGTAAGTGGTTAAAGCTGTACAGCTAATGTGGCGCTCTGGCATTGAGGTCAAAACGGTGTTAATGGACACAGGCCCTTAATGGGACTACACATTACCTACTCTGCACAAATGTAAAGATCCCTGATGAGTAATGTATAAACCTGAATAAAGCCCTCACACTTTACAGCTCTAAGACCCTTCATCGAGCCTGCTGTTGAAGAAAGTGGTGCCAAAGTAAATAAACATTAAGCTACTTTACCGGGACATGGTGCCCGCAGAGAAATGTAGATTTAAAGCATGCCTAGCACTTCCTTTTATGGCTTAACATCCATTAACCTCGTACTATGGTGCCTTAAATACAGCTATCTGTAAAGAGGAGGAACTTTCTTAGAATCGGTGCATTTGGATCTCCCTAATAGGAGAGATTTTATAGTTTGGGACGATATTAAAGTTCCCCACAGAGACAACAGCGCTGATATTGCTGTTAGCGTGTGCGGGAGGTAAAATGGGGCTGATGTGCAACCAAGTTGACGTAAAAAGCAACAACAAAGACGTGGAGCTTGAACATCAGAAATGTGTCCTCTCCGGCTTGTTGTACAACATTTTGGTTGCTTCAAACATCACAGGCATTTTTTTAAAGAGTATTTATGATTTCTCCCTGTCATGTCCAGTTTGTACATATGCATATTAAAAAAGAAACTTTCGCTAATAATGTTCAGATATTTGATCAATATTTTTTTGCAATTTTTAATAAAATAAAGAAAATGAAGACAACTCCAAGAGGCTGTTTTTCCCTGATTCTTATGTTGATCACAATAGAAACACACAGAAAATACACAATACAAGTCTATAAACATGACTTTTACTCTCATTGTTTGTGGTTTATCTAAAAATAATCAACTCTAATCAAATTGAATATTGCAGAGAAACAAACTTGATCTGCTAATCAGCACATTTTAAGAGTTTCCCTAAAAGAAAAACAGTAATACAAGTCTATGTAAATTTAATATATAGTGCAAAATATAAATGTGCATATCTACTTTAGCATTCCTTTAATGGATTTTAATGGTAGAAAAATCTATGAAATCCAGGATTAGGGGTTGTTCATTTCTATCCCTAATAGATCAATAAAAATAAATAATAAATTACAATAAATTCTGCAATAAAATGACCCAAGTCCGAGCCCAGTTCTTGTTTTACAGCAGGTTTTATTTTGAACATACTTTCATATACAAACCAGTGACTGAGAAAATGGCTCATTTGAAGCTGTACTCCACACGTACAACATCTTGATTGATTTCAAACCCAGGATTGTTTTCTTCCTCACAGTTTTACAGCAAACCGGAATATCTCGGACATTTCTCCTCGTTCAGTGTGTGATGGTTAACTCATTATTTCAAACAGTCCTACAGTACTGCACTAATTTCCTGCTAAAACACTGGACTACTGTAAATATCCGGACATGATACATCACGTTGTAGTCGAGCATGTCCACACGGTTGGGAAAAACTACATACAGTACAAGCCATTCAATTCAAACGAGCGCAAACTGGCCAAAATCAATGAGTTATTCCTAAAATGGACATTTAGAACCAAGTCTGAATCATCGTTATAACCAAGATGGTTTACTTTGGACACTTATGTTTGTAATCTGAAGTGTACACTGACTCCTAATGAACAGACATCCTATTAAACGGTCTGTGTCGCTCTACTAGCTTCGCTGTGAAATGCACAAAGTTGATTCCCCGACCACACTTATCAAAAAGGAGCACTCAAACTCACGCTGCACAGTAAATTTTAAGACTGAATATATATTTTGTTTATTATAAGCATTTGTAATTTTACATCCAATGTTAAAATCGACAACATTGTGATAATAACCGGCTCCATTTCTCCGTCGCTGTCCCCTCCCTCCCTGTTCCCCGAAACAAAGCTTGTTAAAATAACATTTCTGAGACCTTTTTAAAGCAAAGGCACATTTTGTCGAAACGTGTGTTTAAAAGGAAAATAAAGGCAGGTCAGCGAGCAGAGTCCGTCTGGGAAGCAGAAAAAAGAAGTAGAAGAAGAAGAAGAAGAAGTAGAAGTGAGAGGCTTCCACGACAGCTCCAGCCAGCCTTCAGTACCCCAACATTTCTGGAACAACACAACACGAAACCTGACTTGGAGTAAAAGGACTCGGACCCGGTGAGCCTGAGAGGAGAGGTCAGAGGTCAGGGGGGGTCTGGGCTGAGTGTGAAGTCAAAGGGCAGAAGACCGGCGTGAAATCTCATCTCTCCACTCCACACTCTTTAACACTTGTCCTGAGCCTCCTGACTGCGGAGGTTGTCTTTAAGTCTGGGGGGGGGGGTCTTGGGGGGTGCTATGGGGGTCACACCCAGGCCTGCCTGGATGGAAGATGAGGGACTCGAGAGCAGTTCTCCTCCTCCCCGCCGACCCTTTCATGGCCCATTTGAGGCTACGGCTACATGGTCTACCAGTCAGACATGAAACCAGAGGGCTGTGAGAGGCGAGGCTGGACCCGTGCCTGAGGGTCCCTCCCCTCCTGTGTCTCTATTGGTCCCTGATCGCGGGAGGCAGAGTCAGTGGGCGGGGCTGCAGGGAGAGACGCAGCTCCACGTCATACAAACACTTTGGCGAGAGCGTCTGCCCCGGCGCTGGCGATGTAGCACTTAGACGGGTGAAACGCCACGTCGTGGATCGACTCCTCGAACTTCTTTCTGTGAGCCGTGAACTCCTGGATGCAGGTTTTACTCTCCAGGTTCCACAGGCGGATGGAGCAGTCGTGACCTGCCGAGGAAATGAGGATTAGAAACTGTCGGAGTACGTGGTGCAGAGTGACTGCGATGAACCCAAAAACCTGGATTAGGAGTCAGACTAAGACTCGACTAAGAAAATGTGATACTATGATTCTGAGTCAGGGCGGTTCTTTGGAGAAAAAAGGTGATTTACAGGAGATTAAAAATGTGCATCAGTCATGTCAGCGATGTTAAATATCAAACCCTGACATCAGCTCATGAAAATCTGTTTTCACCATCTTTCTTTGATGTGTCTTAATATATTAAACCTGCATACAGGTGAAAACAGCTCTTGAAGTAAATCTACAGCAGGAGAAAAAAGTTAAACTCATACAGACTCAGTCACTTCCTCCTACAAGCTGCTCGACTCTCTGCCAGTTTGCGTCGGCAGCAGACCGCCTGTCAGCGAGCTAACACGAGGAGACGGTCACGAGGGTTTTACTCACTGCCTGACATGAGATAAAGTCCGTTCGGATCCACGGCTAAGCTGGTGACGGCGTCCAGGTGGGCCACCATGGAGTGAATGAGCTTCCCGCTGTTGTTGTCAAAGAACTTGATGTGTCTGTCCTCCTGAGCCGTGATGGTGATGGGGAGAGTCGGGTGGCTCAGGATCTTGTTGATCTGACAGGGAGTGCCTGGACAGAAAGAGACGACGGCGTTAGACACCACAGCCGGAGAGAAACCACTTCTTTTTTCATCATCTACATTGTTTTTCTGTCTCCAAAATTCCTATTTGTAGAATATTTTTTGTATTTTTGTTGTCCAGCACAGGTGAGAGAGCTGTAACTTTGAAATAAGTGTGAGAAGAGTCATCATGGGTCGTATTCTCTTCCCTCCCTTCATGAAGGTTAGTCTGGTGTTTCCTCTGCTAAAAAAGGACATAAAGGAAGCAGTGAAGCTCCTCTCCTCATCACTCAGAGAACTGGAGCAGCTCTCATCATGGCTGACACTCGCTTTTACCTGCAGCTGCCACTAGATGTCACTCTTGAGCTTTAGTGAGACCTGTCAGACCTACCCGGCTCCAGGTTGGATTCCAGATTGAGGACAAGCTGACGGGTCTCCATGTTGAAGAGACCGATCTGTCCGTTTGTGAAAGACGTGACCAGGTGGGCGGGTTCACTGCAGACCAGATCCACAGAGGAGGGAACTCCAAGGTCTGAAACAGAAACGTCAAACTTCAGCGCTCTGTGTTCTCGAAGATAAAGAGAGAAGAAGTCATGAAACAAGCCTGAGGTGCGTACTTTTGTCTTCGTTGAAGACTGCGAGGGCGGGGGAGGTGGTGTTGGCGTCCCACAGTCTCACGGTCCCGTCTGCGGAGCAGGAGAGGAGGCGCTGGTGTGCACTGCTGTACACGAGACCCCAAACCGAGTCAGTGTGTCCGCAGAGAGCCCCACGCAGCATGGAAGGATCTGAGACATAAAAACACGTCATCAGGTCTGCGGTTCGGTTTCAAACACCCTCAACACTCAAACAAACACAGGACTCTGTTACCGTAGGAGTCGTAGGGGTCGATGTTGGGGTTGGGGGTGTTCCAGCACTGAATCGTCCCGTCGACTCCTCCGCTGAAACACTGCTCCCCTGAGGTGCTCATCACCACGCTCAGGACTGCCCCCCTGTGGTCCAAATAAAAACCTCTCATGAAAACAGCCCGTCTGCTGGACCTACAGGTGAATCTTTCTCCATCATGTGTTTATTCTTTTCTTACCTGTGGGCCCTGAAGGTGTAGATGGGTTCCACATCTAAAGACGCACTCCTGTGGACAGACATGGAGCACATTTATTAAACAAACGTCATCAAACTCTGGATTTGAGTCCAGAGTCTCCATTAAAGTCAGATCTCTGCACTCTACTGTCGTCTTTTTTCACAGTTCCCTCTCCTCTGAAACGACTGCAGCAGCGTCTAAATATAAACACGTCACTACAGACTGTGTGTGTGAGAGCGGAGATGAGACATAATGAGTCTTGGGAGCAGAGTGTTGTCAGCTCTCTGTCACATGGGGACGGTTTCCTGTTGGCGAATCGTGAGACAGCAGCAGCGACAGAGACGAGCTCTGATCCATACGGGGCTCTGATCCACAACAAAGATCTCCTAACTCACAGAAAAACTGAACCAAACACGCAGCTGTGTGAGTCTGAGAGTCAGCGACAGAGAGACTGAAGAGAGGGCGAGTAATCAATAATCACACTTTTGGGGGTAAACATGATTCAGAGGTGTTCAACGTGAACCCAGACCCTCTTACTTTTTGGCCGGAGCGGTCTTTTGCAGGTTCCACATCTTCAGCGTGTGGTCCTCTGATGCAGTGATGAGGACAGGCTCCACAGGGTGAAAGGTCAGAGCTCTGATCCCGTCAAAATGGCTCCGCAGAGTGAACTTGGGGTTCCACGTTTTCCTCATGGCGTCCTTGTTGTTTCCGATCTGAGGAGAGGATAACGAGGATTCTAGGTTCAAAGTTCACGTCAAATTCCCGACATGTGTCCACCTCCAACACTGATTACGTGTCGCTCTTCTTTCTGTCTCAAAAACGACCTTTTTAAAAATCACCTCTCTGCCTCCTCATACTCACATCGTACGCCAGACTGTCCGCCTCGTTGGCCACCGTGAGTCCGGCGAGTTCCCCCAACCCGAGCTCGCTCTCCATGGCCTCATCTGCCCCCATGATGAAGGACTTCCCAGAGGTGGGGGGGAAAGTCATCGCCTCGACTATCGGGAAAATAAAAACATGACGTCACTCTGAATCCACTGAACTTTAAAAAGGACATAAAAACAAGTTTAACACTTTACTCCCACAGTCTGATAGTCGGGGTGTCACGATAACTGACGCATAAAGTCTTTAGCAGTGGCGGTTAAACTCTAACAATGACTTTCTGCGTCCTGCTGCCGCCAAAACAGAAAATAATCACATTTATTTTAGAGAGAGAGTGACGGTTGTTAAACATGGGATTAAAAACTGGTTGAAATTTTAAAATTAATCTCTCAATTTCTGCCACATGCATCTCCTAATGATGCCCTGAGAAGACACGCTGTAATGGTCTTTAACTGGCAGGGGGCGCTATCTGCCTCTCTTGTCCAAGTGAAGACCGTGCAGTCCAGAGTCTACTGTCTTGTTTCAGCGAGGTAAGAAGATAATTGAGGAGACAGAAACCGTCTTGATCGAATCACAGGCAGAGAGCTCATCAGTCAGGATGCAGCACTTAAAAACATCACGGAGCCCGAGACGCAGAAAAACAGACGTCCTCATCAAAAACAGACAAACACAGAGAGGTCGATTTAGGAGCCCTGCTGTCACGATGAGTGCAAGAGCCACAGGAGTTCAAAGAGCATCAGTGTTCGGAGGATTTGAGATAAAAACACAAATCTGTTTCTGTAAAGTGATTTTATTTCTCTCTCTAAAAGTACTAAATCAGCCTCCTGACCTGATAGTCCAGAATTCTGCCACCCGCCTCCTTACCCACACCCGCTCACGAGACCACTTCACCCCCATCCTCCTCCGTCTACACTGGACCCCCATCTCACCGACTTGCTCCAGCCTCAGGCCCCCCCCCCGTAACCTCCGATCCTCCTCTGCCCATCTCCTCAGCCTAAAGTCACGGCCCAAGCACCGAACCTAGGGGGAGCGGGCCTTCTCCACAGCTGCCCCTACCCTCTGGAACTCCCTACCACCCTCCATCAGACACCGCCCTGACCCCACTACTTTCAAATCCCTTTTAAAAACTCACTTATTTAAAATTGCTTTTAATATTTAACTGTTTTATTCATTTTATTTCTAATGTTTTTATGTCTTTGTTTTATTACCTTGGGTTTTATGTTCTATGTAAATCGTCTGAGTGTTTTTAAAAACGCTCTACAAATAAAATGAATTATTATTATTATTAAATGGATGCAGTGGGATTGGTTTTTAAATGTTTTGTTTGTTTTATAAAAAATGTTAAAAGAAAAGGTAATAAAAAATATTAGTGATTCATTCAAATCAGCTTTTTAGAATCAGATCCTGAACCTGAATCTGAACCACATCCTGAGTCGAGTGTATCGTACCTTCATCGGTCCTGTTGGGCTCGTGCTCGTTGAAGCGGACTGCGTTTGGCCTGGACTGAGGTTGGGACGGAGGCTGCATGTGGGACAGATCCTCTGCATCTCTGAGGTTAGCCAGCATGTCCTGCAGCTTGGACCGGTTTGGCCCTGTGTGGCGAATCAGGTCAACAGAGTCACCAAAACAGACAGTCACGATAAAGAGAGAGAGAGAAGGTAGGGGTAAAAGAAAAACGAGTGAGCGGAGTGCAAGCTGAAAAAGAGAACTGAGGATGGGAGAGAAGCACTGAAAAGGAAGAGCAGATGTTCATAAGAAAGAAAAAGAGGAAATAAAAGGTGAAGTCGGCTGAACTAGAGTCCTGATCAGGTGAATTCAACAGGCAGAGAAGATGTTAAATCTGTAAATGTGGAGAGAGAGGAAAAGACCCTTCGCTTATTCTTTCTGAATCTAACAACTGAAACAATTGTTATAAAAGCTTTCACCTGAAATCACTAAAGAAGTACAACACTCTCTTTTTATTGTCCGAGCAAAAAGACGCAGAGGAGCTGAAAATAAAACTCTGACAGATTCATCGTCAGGTATCTCAGTTTGTCCTTTTTTCACTCGCTGTTTCAAAAAGCTCCAGTTTAAGTCGTTTGTTTGATCCTGTTAGAGGTTTTTTTTTTTGTGCCTTTGGTTTCTGAAACTCTAACACTTCTCTAGATGATCTCCTCCACACGCCCACCGAGCAACAACGTACCGCCGCGGTGTGAAGAACCAAAATAGACAGCCAAGTGTAAAGAGTGGAGTCGTGATCAAATGAGGAAGAGAGTGAGATGAACCGAGCGAGCCGTGGAGCTTCATGATTCAATCACAGTTTGAAAAACAGCAGGAGCGAGTGCAGAGCTTCAGCCTCATGAATCTGAAACAGGAGAGCTCTCAGCCGCTGAACGAGGCTTTACCTAAAGTGGGCTGTTACACTCAGAGCAGCTGAGTCACTTCACTCAGTCGCTGGAAAAGCTTTTAATTGCTCTAAAACAGCAGCGAAGAGGCTGATTGTTACTGTAGTACTCACACAGTACATGAGGATGACTGTTTTATGAGCGGATAGAGACGCAGGAAACAGATGAAGGTGGAGACAAATGATTGTTTGTGTTTGACGGGACAAACAGAATAATGAGGTGAATTCAAAACAAGACAGAAAAACGTGCGTTTGGCATCGCAGTCAGGGCCCAGCTGTTCAAACGTCATCCGATCAGGACAAAACAACCAGATTAGATCACATTTATGTTTATTTTTCTATTTAAAATTTGCTCTCAAACAAAACGACAGTGAATAATATCTAAAAATACTGGGTCGGCTCAGGAAACTACATCTAGTTGAAGAATTTAAGGTGGGTTTTAGAAATATTAAAAATCGAAGCATCAACTTTGAGTGTTTAAAGGACGTTTAAAAAACTGCAGTTCCTCAAGTGTCCACTTGAGGCAGCCCCTCAACACCCTCGTTAAAATGTCCCTTTTTACAAGAGAATTTCATGTTTGCAGCCTGATACAAAAAAAGAGTTTTTGGTCTGAATTTGAGGCCGTCACAATGTCAGATTTTCACCCCTTTTCAGGGTTATAAAATATCACTATAACAATATTATTGCCATATTTTTTATCCACATCAGCAGACCTGTGACTGAACACATTAAACTGTTTGTCGTGCTTTTATTTTGAAAAAATTCCACTCTTGTATTTTTAAAGTTGCTTTATTTCCAACATCGTTAATTATGCTTTTATTTTGAATTTTTTCTGTTCTTGTTTTTTAGTTGCTTTATTTCCCACATTGTAAATGATCATTTTATTTTGAAGTGCCCGACTACAGAACAGTAAGAGAGCAAAAAGCTCAAACGTTGTTTTTAGGATTCACTGAAACTCTTTAAATGTCAGTTTTTAAAAGTGTTTCATCTTTTCTCAGATGGATGCTTAAAGTTCGCTCACTGTCAGTCTGTTACATCTTCTTCATCTCAGACACTTTGATTACTTTGAGCCCGATGGAAATATTCGCTTTACTCAAAAAGACGCCTACTGTCGCCATGGTAACAGCCCCATTCCTGTCAGAGAGTAACTTCTCCATTTCTCATTTGTTTGTTTAGCATCGAGGCTAACAGTTACGCATAAATTTGCAGAATTAAGACTTTGACTGAAAGATGGAAGCTCAGGGCCTATTTCAGCTTCACCTCTTTGCCTGTGTTGACCTTAAGTTAAGTTTAAACGGCATTTCCAACATGGCGGCCCCATCGTTGTGTTCCAAAACTCCTCAAACTGACGACACTTTAAACCGTCCATGAGTATGAAGGATGATTTTGGTTTGGTGATCTACAGTCTGTTAAGGAGGCTGATCCAACCCAGTTTTTCTTGGACTAAATTAAATATTCAGTTTGTTCAGGAGTAACATTTTGAAATCCAGACTGAACATTTTGAACCCTGGGCCCTGAGGATTTACAAGAAGACAGAAGAGACATTCAGTATGAAATGAGACAAAAAGGACAGAGCAATGCCAGTTTTCAGGCGTCGTATAAGGAGCAGCTGAAGAAGTGGATGAGAAAAACAGCTTTTTACTTTTTGGTTGTTTTTTTTTTTGTGGCTGAACTCAGAAAAGTCGGTCTCAAGAAAGAGGAGGAGGAGGAGGAGGGAGGGAGGCAGCAATGCCTGACAGGACTTACTCTTCACCCCCTTTTTCCCCTTGCGCTCCTTTTTGTACTGCTCCTTCAGTTTGGTTATCAGGCCCGGGTCCACGTCCCAGGCCTCAGAAATGGGACCTTGCTCGTCCTTCTCTACACAGAGGGAACAAAACCAGACCGAGAGGCTGCTGAGGAACTGCCCTGGTCCGGGCGAGAGAGGCCCGGCACAACAGGGTCTCTCCGACTCTCCTGGAGGTTCCTCAGACCTCCAAGAGAGTGAAAGCAGAAACAAGAGCAGCGTGTAAAGCCAGATCGTTTGATCTTTTCAGGATTGATTTTGAACAGGAAGTAGGAGAGGGGAATTTTTGAGAATAACAAATTTAAACCTCAGAATTTCTGTGATTTAAAAAAAATAATTGATTTTTTTTTTCGTCTTAAGTCTGAGGACCAATCAGATTTAAAGGAACCCTGCTGGTGTGATGACACACAGGAGTGGGAGACACATTGTGGTCACAGGCTGGCTATGGGGACACACAGTGGAAGAGATCACACACTATGGGTTAAACAGAGACACTCCAAACATCATGATTTATGAACACAGCATGAAATATGAATGACAAGAACTCTGTGAAACTCTAGAAGGAGCCAAAGTTAGACAACATTATCAGATCAATCTTCACTGTCTCTAAATCTTCGACGTTAAACTCTCAGATCAACATCAGATCGTCTCATCGTTGAGTAAGAAATTCAATAAATCTGATATTTTCCCTGGAAATGAATATTTTGTAGTTCGAGTTGGTTCCTTACCCCAGTCTGTGCCGTCCCCGTTTCCTCTGGACTCCGGCGAGGTGTCCATCTCATCAGGGCTGGACAGAAAGTCGAAGCCCTTCAGTGCCTCCTCTGTGTCGGGGTCCTCGCTGGTGTCCATACTGGCCGGTGACGTTGAAGACGAGGGAGGCTTCTTCCTCAGAATCTGAGAGGAAAATCGAATTTATAAACAAGAAGTCGTCTGCTGTGAACTTCTGCTTCTCTGCGGTTGTTTACTAACTGTTTTCTCACCGTCCTGGACTCCACGTTCATCCTGTCTTTCCCCTCGCTATCATCCTCCTCGTCTTCGTCGCTGAACTCAGCCGCGGCGTTCTCAATGAACTTGAAGGCCTCCAGTACGGCGCTGCTGTCTGACAGCTCAGCTTTCCTGAACAAGAATAACAAAAACATGTTTAAGTTCATGCTTCGATGAATTATGTGTATAATAGTGAACAAAACTGGAAACACTTGTTCCTAATGTAAACAAAAATCCAGCAGACACTCACCCTCTGGAGCCCTTCGCTGTCGTGTCCGTCCCGTTGACCAAAGGTTCAGTACCGGTCCGTTCACCTGTCCTACCGCCTCCATCTCCGGCTAGACCCAACAGGGCTCTGACCCGCTGGGACTTGACGTCTAAGATGGTGTCTGTGTAGCCCACCTCCTGCAGATACCTGGAAACGAGGTCAAATAAACTTCATTACATTTACAGCTCATGTGTCTCTTTATGGCAGTTTATTCACGTCGTAAATACTTCTGTTTCTTTGACTCAATACTCAACGAAAATAAAGAAAAACTTGGACCTTAAGCTCCGTCTTTCTTTACTCCATCAATAAATTATGTTCCTATTAATAAAATGATGGACCAGCTGGCTGTGTGGAAACTTGACGGATCTGCATCCTTGTAAACTCTGCTGATTTCCTCTCTACTTTTTATTTGCTTAAATTTTACTAAAATATTTCCTAAAAAGAGACACATGTTCAGGGTATACTGTGGAAATGTTGGGCCTGAGGATTATACTCTTAAACGACTGGGACGTCAGAGGGTTTATAGTCACGTCACATCACGTCAGTATTTGGTGTCATGAGAGTCGTCTGGTTGGTGCATCATCTCTGAACCGCTCATCAAACATCACACCTCCTCTGAGTCTGAGGGGATGGAGAGAAACCTCCGGCTCTCTGAGGGAGGGGTATGTGTGTGTGTCTGTGTGTGTGTGTGTGTGTGTGTGTGTGTGTGTGTGTGTGTGTGTGTGTGTGTGTCTCCGCTCATTATTGATCCGTCCCTCCAGAATAAATTGGCGTCCTCATCAGACAGCATGTCAGGACAGATGATGTGAGAGGCAGCCTGACGGCGTCTGGGGTGATTAACTCTGACTGAGCCCAGACTGATATGAAATCATAACCAGATTACACAGAGGAGACGAAAACACAAGGAGGTAATGACGTCTGCTGCACATGAGAGGGCGCTCTTCTCCACAGCTGCAGGAATACACAACTGTCTATCAGACACACAGGAGACCAGAGCGGGACAGAAGTCTGGACCTTCAAACATCTTTAATTCAGTAAATTACTGTTCTGAAAACTGTCCCAGAAGAAGAGAGGGATGAGAAAAAGACTGAGAGGAAGAAGGGATGAGAGAGTAAGGAAAGAAGAAAGATTTAAATAGAGGGAAGAAAAAAGAGAAAGGGGGAACTAAGAGAAAAAGAAATAGAGGGATAAACTGGAGAGAAATAAGGAAAAGGAATTATGAGAAAAGAGAAATGAAAGGAGTAAGGACAGGAAAGACTGAAAGACCAAAGGAGGAAAAGAAGGATGGAAAGACAAAGGATGATAAGAGTGGAAGGAAAGGAAAGACTGAAAGACCAAGGAAGGAGGAAAGGAAGGGGTGTGAGACAGAAAAAAGTGAGGAAAAAGAAGGAAAGAAAGAAAACAGGAGAAAGAAGAAAGATGGGACTGAAAAAATAAAGAAGGAAATAAAGAAAGAAAACAGAGGAAGGAGGAAGGAAAGGAAAGACTGAAAGACCAAGGAAGGAGGAAAAGAAGGGTGGAAAGACAAAGGATGATAAGAGAGGAAGGAAAGGAAAAAAGGGAAGGAGAAGAACAGATCAAGGAAGAAAGAAAAAAATCAAGAAGGAAAGACAGAAGAAAAATAAGATGAGAAAGAAAGAAAAGAAGGAACTGAAAAAAAGTGAAAAACAGATAAAAAAGGAGGACAAAAGTACTCTAGATTGGCAGAGGGATGGATGTTTGTGCGCACACACACACACACACACACACACACACACACTCACACACACACACACACACACACACACACACACACAGATCTCTTACTGTCGGAGGAGCTGGCGTCCTTGTTTCCAGGACAGCTGATTGTTGAGCGACCCTGTGGACTCGTTCTCGTTGGCCTCGTCTGGAGAAGGAGGAGAGGAGAGGAGGAGAGGAGAGGAGGACAGAAATTAGGGCTCAGCAAACAGCTCGGCCTCTGACATTATTTCCGCTCCGCAAACACGACCAGGACATTCCTGATTCACGGCATCCTGGCAACTACACGCACCAAGAACTCAGAGTTTTTTTTTTTTCTCAGAGACAGCAGAGGAGAGGAGCTCATCCTAGAGGGAACAGCTGCTCTCTGAATCAAACCAGAAAAATAACATTTAAAGAATTTAACTGTAAAAAAAAATGAACCAAACTCTCCTCTAGTATTTGTCAACATGAGCTCTTTAATAACTCACTTCCATCTAAATATGACATCCCAGCAGGTAAGAAGTGTCGTGTTAAAACTGTGAACAAATCAGCGCAGGAATAGAAACAGAGAGCAGGTTTATCACTCAGGAGGAGCAACGACTCGTTCATGAAGCTAAAATAAGACGCTTGTTATGAAATGACATATTGAGAAACACCTTTAATACGACCACCACGTCTCATGGTATCTTAGAAAGAGTAACGACACGAGCGCGTGTGCCAGAGGAATCCAGAACAACACACTCACACTCACACACACACACACACACACACACTCACACACACACTCTTTATGACTGTCTAAACGTCGATGACAGGCCGAGCTCACTCTGATATTCAACAGCGTCAGCACTCGCCTCGCAAGTCAGCTGGAAAATTTTGTAGAGGGTAGAGACGTGTTAATAAGATTTAGATAGGGTGAGTGTGTGTGTAAGTGTGTGTGTGTGTGTGAGTGTGTGTTCATGGGCTGATTTGGCAGGGCAGCCAGTTCAAGGGTGTCTCAAAAAGTGGGTCATGCCTAATTCAGGAGGGTGAGGAGCGGGCAGGTGTGGGCGCCACCGTACGAGCGACACCTTCACTCCTCGTGTGGTGCTCTCTCTCTCTCTCTCTCTCTCTCTATCCCCCTCTTCTCTTCACACCTCCCCTCCTCCTCCTCTCCTCATTCATCAACACTTCTTGGGCTGAGGCGCTTTGAAAAACAGCCCGCATGAATAGAAATGAGGAGGGGAGGTGTCGCAATCTGACTTCATGATGGCAGAAAACTCCAACATAAGGGGCCAATTAAACTACAGGATTCTAACCACAGACAGGAAGTGCCGTACCTGAGTTTACACCTGAGTTTAGTGCAGTACTGAGCTCTGTATACTTCAAACAAATATTTAAAGGAAAGATTAGAGTATCCATTAAGCAGTTTGATCCCTACAATGTATGTTTTGTTAATTTTTGTCGTCAAAGATGGATGTTTTCAAATCTTTAAAAAAGGCGGGAAAGAAATCTCGGTAACACTTTCTTTTACGGTACACTTATTACCAGGTAATTAACAGGTAATTACCTAGTAACAAATCATCTTAATGTTATAGCTTTAATATTGTCCAGACAAACCATTAAAATAACATGATTATCTCTTTTCATACTGAGACAGCAGCTTTCTCAGGATCCACGTCCAGTACAACTAGTCCCTTTAAAAAAAAAAAAAAACAACAGCCCACACTTCTTTGAATCAAATCAGAAAAAAGGACAGTTTCTGCAGAAACAAGTGCGATTTGTTCAACTATTTATAGACTAAAAGGAGTTTTTATGAAATCAGAAAACCAACAAAAGATTCTGTTCTCTGTCAAACCTGAGACTAAAACTCGGGTTTAAAAGGTCAAATTTGTTTTCTTTTTTGTTTGGATGTCGAATTTTTATCCCCGTTGTCGCAGCTTCATGAAGCAAATGATAAAAAAACAATCATATCTTGTGTCACACTTGAGACATCAGCTTTCAATCAAACAGTCAGACAAACAGATAACCTTTTCTTGCAGCTGTGAGTTTGATCTGAAATGTTCTGAACCTCGTAAATCCGCTCCAATCTCCTCCAGTAAATTTTGATGGACACAGAAACATCCAGAGAAGATATCTTTACCTTTTGGTGAGCGTAATTCTCGTTATTTAAAAGTCTACCTGAGAAGATACCATAAAATACGTCTTTTCATTGACTAAACCCGCCTCTTAAAAGGAGACAACTTTTGTTTTCTGACCATCTCCTCTCTACTCGTCTGTATTCAACGTTGAGTGAAAAGAGAGCTATTGAGGCCAACAAGATTCAACATGAGCGCATCCTCCACATGCGTACCAGTCCTGTCAGTGGCGGTATGTGAACTCGACAGTGATTTAGTGTGAGGAGGGGGGAGGAGTCTGTTGTTTGAGGACTTACCAGAGTCGTAGCTCGGAGGCTTCATGTCCCCTTGGTTTAACTCTGTCCCATATTTTAACTTGTGGTACTTGGCTCTGTAAGAAAAAAAAAAGAAGGACAAGAGATGAGGAGGAAGTCAGACAAATACGAAAACAGGGCTTATCAAAAAGGTCTGAGACGGAGCTATTTAAAAAACTCATTATACCAGAAATCTGCAGGACGCTCTGACAGTCGACGTGCTCTACTTTTTACAGACACGCTAAGACTGCCAGACAGACTCGCTGGCATGCAAAGCTGCAAGGTTTATGTCTGAAAATAACATCCTCATGATGATAAACATGATCTGGAAAAAAGTAAATAACGTTTTCATGATCGGACTGAGTTTTATGAGCCAATTCTGATCCACAAAGATTCAAAAGAGGGTCCTGACAAAGACAAAACAACTCTCTTAATGACCAACAAACAATAAAGAAGACAAACAACAAAAGAAAACATTACAGCGATCAGAGAAACAGGTGAAGTGATCCCTAATCCTGGTGTTTAAAAGCTTCAGTTTTATTATCATTATTATTATTATCATTATTAGAACAGCTGTTGTTGAATCAAACATGTTCAAACATAAAGTAATTTACATATAGACACGTTCATCAGAAACGTCTCCAACAAAACCAGGGAACAGTTAAATTGAGCGTTTACAGCTCGATTAGGTGATTTGATTGGACTCTTGACCATGTCCCAGCATGCAACACAGGACCAGGATCCATTTATTGACAAAAACATGTCACCCTCACTACACTGGGTGGTAATTCGCCTTCTCTCAGCAAGTTACTGTTGGACCTAATTCCAGCTGGCCTGTCGTGTCACAAACTAAAACAACTGAGAAACGTGTTTAACTGGAGGCAAACTGTGAAAAGATGCTCAGAACATCAGTCTGGGTCCGATTGAGGCTCAGCAGTATTATCTAGGTATGTTGGTCCAATTTTAATAACACAAACATGTCAACATGCATTTTGATTTTAGACTAATGCAGTAAATACATTCATTTAGCGCTGAATAAATGCACTGATTACAGTTTTTAAGACAAAATCACATCCAACTCTTCTACCTCTCATGACTCAAAAATGAAATTCTACATGTTCAGATTTACCGAGACAGTTCAGATTATGTCGGGGCAATAATCATAGACTGTATACACTATGGACAACTTGGTTCTGATGCGCGCATTCGGACGCGCAGTCGCAGAGAGTCGCTGTGATGACGCTCGGCTCAAACAGCGTATCCCCCGGGAGAGCTACGCAATCCCTGAACACCCATAGGCTGTATCAGGTGTCAATCATGGAAAACATGAACCCCCTGATAACTTTTAAAAACGGAGCTTCACAGAAAAAAAGAGGACTTGAGCACAAACCAGTCTGACAGTAACTACATGTCAACATCACAAGCAAATTTATATTCTGTGTAATAAATTTCTAAAGTTTGTCCACAGCTCCATAAGCTTCGCTGGCGGAGGCGGGATTTATGACCTATACTGCAGCCTGTCAACAGAGGGTGCTGTTCTCGGAGTGGTTTCACCCAGCGAGGAGGCAGACTCTGTCCATTCTTTATACAGTCTATGGCAATAATCCACTTCTTTAGATTGATTTGTATTGGGGTGGAGAAGGATTTTTAAAACCAAGTAGCTCCTTCCTACAGGGAAACACCACAGCATGGCCTCCAGCATTACTGAAGAGGCCGCCGCTGCTGCTGCTGCTGCTGCTGCTGCTGCCAAAGGGAACAACATGACCACTTTATTTCAGCGCGAGAGAAATGTGTCTGACTGTGAGATGCACAAGATCTGTATGACTGTACAGATGCTCCCCTGATGACCACACAGGTGAGGTCATCACCAAACCTACTTCGAGTCATTATTTTGTTTTTGATTTTTAAGGAAGTAAAAGGAAAATAAACAACAAAAAAAAGTAAATCAAGTAAATAAGAGCAATGAAATAATTCTGACTCTATCTGTTGGATTTTGGATCAGACAGCTTCAAATATCACAATCAAACACAACATCTTGTATCTTTTGTTTTGTTTTCTGTAAAATAACTGAGTCTGAAATAAAGTTTTACAACACACTGAAAAGATGACATATTAAATCAGGTAAAGACATGAGATTTCACGGTGAGGTTTGGGTTTTGACTGCGTCATCGTTTGTAAAAGGTCGACTCAGTCCAGCTCTGCCCCCCCCTCCTCCTCCAGCACACGCCCTGGTCAGAGCCAAATTCACTTTAAATTGTGCACACCCTAACATTCAGACAGCCTGATATTGCTTTCAGATATCCCCCTGAGACATGACCTGTTGCTTAGCAACCATGGAGAGTGGTAGTTATGCCAGGTTAAGTGTTGCACCTGTGGTTGAGTGTGGGGTGATCTCAGCGGAGGAAAGTGGATAAATATACACACCACAAACAGACGGAGGATGATTCAGGGCTGGACTAACCTCATGATGATCCTCTGGAGAAGCAGAGCGATGACCTGTATTGTTACACTGCTGGGTCTAATACTGTGATCTCATTGGCTGACAGTGACCTCAAACCTTTGCTGCATGTCATCCCCCTCTCTGAACTCCTGACATTTACTGTCCTGTGTCCTTTGAAATAAAGGAGTAAAATGATCTTTATCTCAGGGAAAGTAAAAAACGCATTTCTGAACATCTCTACTCTCAACCTTTTAAGTCATATATTTCTTCGCTGTCACTCCAATCACTCGTAGACGTCGAAGTCACTCAGCGCCTTCACACAAACATCTGAATTCTTCTCCTGGTGTTATTATTATTGTTGAGGGAGGAGGCAGAGACTGAGGCTCTACAGAGACAGCCTGAAAATTACACCTGATGGAGGAGTAGTAAAACTGACAGCTACAACTGATAACGTGATTCATGTGAGGAAGATCACAACTTTAATCTGAAGGAGCAGACTTAACCAGCTGTCAGATGTCGGATGAACAGACGAGTTTACTAGGAGGGAAGAGGAACAAGAAAACCCCTGAAATGGTGGAAATGATCCCACATTACAGAAGAAAACATGGTGGAAAGTTTTTGGTGACTTTATCGAATTTAGACACCGAGCTTTATAGACGGACTGAGAGATGCTTTACATGGATCCAAAATAAAAAAGGCGACTTGTTTAGATTTTCCAGAACGCTCCATCTGCTTGAATGACCAGCTTTACAGTTCATAGAAATGACAAACTTATCTCTGTTCCGGGGTGCAGCCATGCGTTACAGAGGAGAGGAAATGCAAAGTGTGACAGCGGCGCTGCCACAGGGACCTTTTGTGTGACGCTGACGGGCGGCTGCACACGAGAATGAGAACAATGTAAAACTTCAGGTTTACTGAAGAAAGAGAGAGAGAGAGCGGTCTCGCCGTCTCGTCCTTCTGCTGAGGACGATGCAGAGTCATCAGCATCCGACGGCAAACAAAGCCTCCGTGCCAACACATGCCTCCGTCCGCAGACATCACACCAGCTGGACTCGGGGGAATCTCTCTGGCACTCTCGCTCTGTTGTTACTTCTGCTGACACCGGCGGAGACATCCGAGTGGTATGCACAGAATATAAACAAGTGGACGCTGGCGATGTTCCCACTCTCTATTTAAACCGGCTCTACAGTGTGCAGACGCTCCGTGCAGGTGCAGCAGGTGATTTGTTGACCGATGCAAATCTCACGCTGCCGTGTTCTCTTTTTTTTCTGTTTCCCACAAAGGAATGTATTTTTAGGAGTGTACAAAATGTGGAAACACTGCAGTTGTTGCAGACCAGCTGATGTGTTTGTGTGTTTTGTGGGTGGGCTGAAGCAGCAGTGGGTGGTAAGACACTCACCTCTCTTGCTTCAGCGCGTACTCCAACATTTTGATCCTCCTCACGAGGTCTTTTTTCAAGTTCTCCTGGCCTTTCCTCTCCCCCTGCAGGAAGGCGATTTGGGCCTAAAAGCACAAAAATAGGATCGTCAGGAAAAGACATTTGAAGAGTGTTGGTTTTATAAATAGAGATAACATCTCTGGAGTTTTAGCAACAAAGACTCCTCTACAAAGTGAGAGTCACATCAGAGAGCAGCTACTCCTGTCAGGACTGAAATAGGACGATGTCAAATCAATACATGAGGCATGATGGGAAATAAAAAAGCCAATCTGTTCTATTTTAATCTAACCTACTAACTCTCCCACACATCAGCCCCCGCTCCTCTGAACCCCCCGCCCCTCTGAACACCACTGTCTGTCCTGCAACAGCAGCTGTTGACGCATTTGGTCTGAGTCAGCAATACATTACATTGCGATGCGGGGTACATCACACACACACACACACACACACACACACAAGCTCGTAGTGGAGCACAGAGGACGTGAGCTGCATCTATAGTCTGTTTGTAATAATGTCAGATATTTAAATCACGACATCAAATAAGAAGTTTATTGATCCCTTTAAGGAAAATTCACTAATTCAATATTTAATTAGATTTCCTACATTAGTTATAAATCTGTGTTTTAAAGCCTAACCCTTCTGTCAGACACGTAATTCATGCAGAATTAGAAAGTGAACCTGCAGAGAGGAAGATTACGATATCACACGACACGTCCGAAACAAGCAGAAGTAAAAACAGACTGATAAGCTGGTTGGTATGTAGCTACAGTCCACTTTGCATGAGTGGTTTATGTTGTTTGCCTTTCCAAACCGTTGTTAACTTTGAACACGAAGCAAAATAAGCAGAAACGAAGAGGACTGGAAGTCTCCTCCAAGTCAACATTCTTGTATGATGTCCAAAAACTGCACATTTCTCAATCAGGAAACTCAAAGCAGTTCTCAAAACGGTCTTTAGAGATAAAAAGGTAAGAGACTGGTGATAGAAGTCCACAGGTCCTGGATTTGAAGGGTTACAGCAGGTTACAGACTGCCAAACAGCTCTAAAGGCGGCTAAACTCTCCTCGGCCTGTGTTATTTTCAGACAGAGGGATAAGCGCGCTGTTGTTCCCGTTTCAGGACTTTGTTAAAGCTACACCCTTTATCTGAGTCGGGCTTAGCTGTTGCAATTCTCCAGGAGAGATAATGAAGGTTTGAGGCTCGTTAAGCGCTCTGTAGTAAGCAGAGTGTAACTAAATAATTGGATCACAATATTCGGTTGTAACTCCGGATCTTTGCTAAGGACAAGCTGAATCACAGAAGAGAGAGAAGTGCTCCTGTCGAACTTGGAAACAGCGAACTCCAGCTCTCTCATCAGGATGATTAAATAATCCCATAAACACACATTAGCATCTCACAGGGACTGAATATTGACTTGATTCCCTGCGTTTCGCTCCACATGCAGAGGATGGTGCGAGTTTGAGTGGGCCGGATCACAGTTTCACATGGATGGCAAGTAGCTCTGCTGCTGCTGCCTGCAACAATGAGTCATGACAGCTCTTCAATCTGCCTCGTATTAATAACAGCATCCCTCAGCATCTCTCAGCATCCACGGCTCTCTGCAGAGGAACCCAGAACAACCCGCCCGCCAGGGGTCCGGTGCCTTCAGGGTTCTCGGTTTAAAAGGAAGAACGGCGTTGAGTTTTCTGGCACCGAAGCACAAACATCACTTTCCCCATTACGTCTGCAGAGTCTCCGATTCCTCTTCAATCATCATTTATGCGCTTCTTACCCACAGCTGGATCTATACTAATGCATTTAGGATTGACGACAATGTTAACGACGTTTAGCGTGCCTCTGACTCGGCACATCCTCCAGACGGTATCACTGAACACTCAGACACAAAGGCCTCTGGTACATTTTTACGTTCAGTGACCAGAGACTAGTAAAGGGAGAGTGGGTAGTTTTCTCAACTGGAGTTAAAAATGGACGATTCCTCTACATTCATTGAAGCAGTAAATAACACACTCAAGAGTTCGGGAGAGGAAAGCATTAGAGAAATATTTCATATGGAAAATTATTACTGATTAGATTTGGCCTGCAGACATAATAGCTTATTCCTAACTAACAAAACTCCGATCCAAATATAACAGAGAAGGAATAAAACTGCACCACATGCAACCAAAGTCTACAAAAACCTAATCAGAATAATTACAGACATATTTTGACAAAATCCAACAGTGATGTCAAGCAGAAAATTATGATCTGTTCTGCTTCAATACCAACAGAAAATTGAGCAGAAAAGAAAAACAAGATAATCAAGATTAGACGATTACTGGGTCACCTGCCGTGTTCGGCTCATATTGTTAGATTTAGTGAGAGGAGTGTGTCCCCTCCCTTCACAGCAGAGTATGCACTTTACTCTTACCCTAAAAAAACCTCTCGCTATAAGTGCTGACGCTGACCGGGGAGCAGCAATCTGGCATACTGGGCGTTTTCCAGGTGACCCAAAGCACCGAGGGGTCAGCAGGTTAGAATTAGTCATCAGGAGGAGGTACAGGTGTGTGTATTCTGGGACAGAGTCAAAGACCGGAACAACAAGGGTTCACGAGCTGACAACGGTCTGTACTATAACAAACTATAAACCCAAGTCTGGAGGTTGGAAAGATGACGGCAAAGTGTAAAATGCAACCATTGGTTATACAGTGTAGCTGTGGACGGCGTGTCTCCATCTCTTTCAATGTGTCGGTAAGTAAAGCCATAAGAGCTCCAGACCTGAAACTTTGGTACGAGTGTGAACAGCTTGGACACAAATATCGTAAACTAACCAGTGGCGGAGATTTTAGAGGCTTGAACCTGGTTTATGTTTCTGAGTTTGACCCACGAGGTGAGAAAGATGCAAGAGAGATATGAGAAATGAGCTCGGAGGACCAATAGTTTACTTTATATGAGGCGGTATTTCCCTGCTCTGAGGTCAGACATTTTCACATGAGCCAACCTCTAGTGGCGTTTTGAGGAACTGCAGTTTTCAGCACCTCAGACTTTGACCTCTGCCACAGGCCTATTTTTCACTGCGTAAGAAAACAGTCCATCTGCACTGATTGATATATTGAGTGACTGTTCCCCTCTTTATCCACACGAAGCTCTGGCCTCCAGACCCCTGGAGTCCCGCGGTGCCAGAGACAGAGAAGAGTAAAGCTCTGTGAATCCCTGGCTCGACATCTCTTCTCCATCAAACATTAACCTTGGGAGGAATGCAATGAGTCAACTCGAGCCATAAAGAGACACAGGAAGCATTTAATTCCCGGCCTCACACTGCCTGCATTATTGGGCTGCTGGATAAGGGCTCCTTAGTGTGTCTGAGTGAGAGACATGAAGCATGGGGCGTCTATCAGGAGCACGAGGAGGAAAAAGGAGGAGGAGGTTAATACTTGGAGGGGAAAATAAAGCAATAAATCAGGTTAGTTATAGTCAGAAGAACGAGGAGCAATATTTCCAGCTTAAGAAGGTGGTTGATGCCAGTTAGAGCCGACTTTAATCTCCAGGAGGAGGAAAAACAGACAAACAGAAGCTTCCAGTTTCACTTAATCACAGCGAGGACCAAAACAAACACAGCTGCAGGAGAGATAGGAAGGTCGTAGCTCTGACAGAACATTTCCACTTATGATTAAATTAGTGTTAGAAAGGGTTAAAATATTGTAGTTTTTGTTTAACACTTTTATCAGGAAGAGATGAACTATGTGTGGTCTTGATTCATATTGAGCTAGTTTTATATTATTATTAATTTTTTTTTTACTTTATATTTATTTTTTTATTGTTTTTTAATTTTATCTTTTATTTTTATTGCATTTTTTTCATTTTTTGCTTTAACAACTATTCGTTGTTTTTGCCTTTTACTGTGTGCACTTCAAGGTCTGTTTTATTTTTATTTTATTTTACTTTTTATTATTATTATCATCATTATAATTGATTTTATTTTTTATTCAATTTTTATTTTATTTTTTATCAGGAAGAGATGAACTATGTGTGGTCTTGATTCATATTGAGCTACTTTTTATTTTTTATATACATATTTATTTTTTATAATTTTTTTAATTTGATTTTTTTTAAATTTTTTATTTATTCTTTATTTTTATTATTATTTGTTGTTTTAACCCTTGCCTTTTACTGCGTGAACTTTGAGGTCCGTTTTATCTTTTATTTGTTTTAATTTAATTCTTATTATTATTATTCATTACTAATATCTATTTTATTTTTATTTTATGTTTATTTATTTATTTTTTAAATTATTTGTTGTTTTTACTATTGCATTTACTGTGTGAACTTTGAGATCTGTTTTCTCAGATATAAAGCACATTATCAATAAAATGTATTATTATTATTATTATTGTTATTATTATTTTTATTATTATTATTATTTTTGAGTTATCAGGGTGGAGTTTTAAGTGTTAAGCATGTTTTAATGTGACACACAGTGGCGACACCACAGCTCCATAAGTTCTCTATTAGGGGAGCAATACACTGTTTACAGTCAGAGCAGAAATGTTACACATCTATGTCTGTATATCTATAGTAGCAGCACTGGTGCTGTCTGAACATGTGATTTTTTTATGCTTTGGCTAAGAAGTTAAAAGTTCATGTATTTAATGTCTTTTTCCAACATCATGAGGCTTCTTGTCAAATGTTGTTGTTGCAGATTAAAAGTGTAAATCTGAGCTGGAGAACATGTAATTCTGTTTTTTTACAGTCTTGGCTGGCGTGACCTAGACTCGGTCAGACACTGATGGCAGTTGATTACACCGACAACAGCAGGAGCAATGAAAACCTCAAAGTTGGTATCTCCTTTTCATCTTCATTTTTAGTCAATGAACGTTTGGTGAGTTGAAATGATGTCACCTCTATTTATATTTTGAGGAGACCGTGTCGTCTCAGATTTGTGGATTCCAGACATGTTTTCCTCCAGACTTGTTCTGCGTCATCGCCTTAGACATCTACAACACAATGAGGCCATTTAATCCAGACAGAGTGAACACTGTGAGAAACCCGGTTCATCTGAGCGGAGTGGATGTAGGACAAACTCACTCGAACATTCATACGGGCTCGCTAACAAAATGGTCACACATGCCGGGGCTGAAGAAGAAGGAAAAAAGGAGGCTGGGCTGGTGTAAATCCGACATTTACGACGCAAACATCCTTTTTTTTCCCAGTGGACACAGAGATTTCTCTCATAGTTACCACAAACCAAAGAGGACCATGATGGCCGACCCGACAACCAGCCAAGTGCATTCCACACATGCCATTAGACCAGTAACAGGAGGAGAAAAAACAGCAGAGAAACAACTGAAGCAAGACAGAGGGGCTTTAACGTTACTATGGCAGAGTGAGAGCAAACACCGCAGATCAGACAAACAGCTGATAAAACAGAATATTTACAGACTGTCTGACGATAAAAACACATTTACAACAAACTTCTGTAGAAATTTAACGTCCCTCTAAGTGATGATCAACACTGTGGGTTCACATACTGACCGCGTCATACTGACTGAGGTTAAATCCTGATTTATGCTGCCGTCAGGAACTTAAATGCCCGATTCATGTCCTGTATCAAATCCATGAATTTCAGAACTATGGGATGGTACTTGGTTCTCAGGACCCAAATCTAATGGGGCGCTCACATCAAACGTGAATAAAGTCATCTTCTCGCTTAATTCTCGCAAATCTAGACTGGTGAACGAATAGTGAAAGAAAAGGTAACATGTAATTCGGGGCACCCACACACAGACATAATCAGTTCGTCCTCCATTTTAGATACCAGTGAACAACTGTACGTTTTCATATGTCACCCGGCACCCTCTGTGTTGATTAGTTATCAAGACGCGAATATCTGCTCAAGTTGAGACATTTCCAGCTCCTGCCAGTAGGAGCGTCTTATCGCATCTTTGCATTGACTAAACATGTAATTCTTGGTGTGTGGGGACAGTAACGCCCCAATCCAGTTTTCATACCAGACTGTGAACATGTTGAATTGAACCTGTATACATGGGTCTCTTTGGGGCAAAAACTCATTTGGAACGAGCCTCAAGTGGACACTCAAGGAACTGCAGTTTGTGTCATTTCTGGTTTGTTTCTACACCACAGAGGTTGCAGTTTAGCTCAGGTACTAGAGGGAACTTCAGAAATGACCAACTCATTAACATCACTACCCTAGTGAAGCTGTCGGCGGCGGCGGCTCTTTTCAATTATGTCACACAGTAAGCGTTGATGCTGTAGCAGTAATTACTGACAAACCCACAGCATCACAGGGAAACTATGTCAAAGTCTGTGTTATGATCTAAAAGTAAGTGACAGTCAGTCCAGTTAAAATATGACGCCGTTTTTACACGTTGGTCTTCTGTCACTCTCTGATCGGATAAATCAAACCTCAACAACAAGGTCTTTAAGAAGTGACACGCTGACTTTAAATACAAGAATGACTCCATCTTGGATCTGATTTGGTGTAGGTATCAAACAGAGTGCACAGCATAATCCACTGCTCCACTTTTCTGCTCTAGTGCAGTGAGTCATATTGTGAAAACTGAGGATATGGAGCTCGCTCCTTCAAATGCAGACACTGCACATCGGTCCAACCTGCTCACGTCCACGCTGGGCGAAGACAAAGTGAGAAAACCTCAGTTTTATAAAGACTTCAAGCTGTTTTCTTCTGCTGAAACAAAAGAAAATCCTCATACTGTCAGAGTCGAGAATAGATCTTCCCTCATCTCCTAAACCCTCACAGACACGCATCTGCCGTTCACACCTCATCACAAGTTTCCACTTGAGCTTCATTTTACACTTTACCGTCACGTCAGGTCGACACGGCGGTGCTACCTTACAGAGATGCAAACAAAGGCAGTATGCTGTGCTCCGTGAGGACATGGGCGCTGCATCCCATGTAGCTGCATGAATATTACACAAGGCTCGATTTCTCTACATCAGCATTTTCTCTGACTACTATGTTGTCTGACAGAAAGGCGTGGTCCTGGCAGAGACATGCTGAGCAGAAACACTTACCGCAGCCCTGCGCTCAGAGAGTTAAGATGTGCGGCAAGGCCAAAGACATTTGAAACTGGAGAAATTTCTTGGAATAGAGAGCGGACGTAAGGAATAAATCATCACCGTCAAAAGATTAGAGGCTTGCACACGAATTCACCGCCACAAAAACTCTGTGGTCTGTTTTTTTTTAATTCCCCTGAAGCACATAAAACCACCGACCTCCACCAATAAATCATCGAACAATTCAAATGAAGATCAATTTTTACTTCCAATGCCTCAGCGAGCTCCAGAAAAATCAGTGTTGTAGGAGATCTCGACACAATTTCAATTATTTAGCATGCAAAAGCACTACAAGAGAACTCCCTCGTTGTTATGCAGAAGTTCGGTTTTGCAGCGTTCAAGCAACCTGCTGTCAACTGTTCGGTTTATGAACAAAAAACGTGGAAACTCAAAACAGGGGCATCTCAAACAGAGGCACCAAACAGGACGGGAAAAAGGAGACACTGATGGGAATCGTTCATGTTAAACTCGGATGATAGAGAAAGACGAAAAATCTTTGTGGCATGGAGCCTTGACTGCATGTCATCCCTGCTCTCTACCTCCTATACTTCCTATCATGGAGGGAGAGCTAAAATCTGATCAGCCAGCCCATAATCCTAAATCGTGACTGTCTACATGGCCTCGTTTTCTTCTACATTTTCTTCTGTTTGTTACCTCGCACATAATCTTTTTAAGTCCTTCAAGATTTTAGCTCGAAGGATTTATGTGTCGCTGTTACTTCTAAAGGTTGTTGCTGTTGAGCAGTAATATACCTGTGTGATGAAAATTTAAGTATTTAAGGTGTTTATGAGGAGAAACAAAGAGTTAATGAAAGTCATTCTTTAGTCAAAAAGGTTTGGACACCTTTGGACACCTCAGGTTTTAAATTTGTCCCTAGTTCCCAAACCAGAGTGTCCACTTATGAGGGCCTGTGTCCACTTACAGTGATCTTTTTTGCGGAGGCAACCACCACCTCCTCCACTTAAGTCCACTTCTCACCTGTGTCTTTAGTTGCTAAGTTACAAAAGCTGTCCCTCTGCATCCATTGCTTTCCAAAGTGACTGTTAAATCTATTTTTAATAGCTCTGTTTGCTTCTATTCACTTTTATCCAGGGGACATTTAATGAAGAAAACGTCAAAACAGTGAAAATAAATCATGTTGTTGTATTAGCGGCAACTTCAGATTAGAAAATGAACCCCAAGATAATTATTTTCACCCGAGAGAGCAGAGACAAAATGCTTCCAGTGGACACAGGCCCTAACAAAGCATCAAGGGTAAAATACTGCAGCTTAATAAAATAGAAATAGATTACAACAAGAGTTTGGGTAACATGGCAAAAACCCAAATCTACTGTGATCCTCATAAATCTTATAAAATTTTATTCAATATGATCCGGGGAGTTTTTTCCAGATGTAAAGGAAAAACTTTTTTACAGTTTGTACAGGTTACGATACAAACATGGTATCAGTGTAAATAACATTAAAGACAGCTAAAAATACCCGTACAAGACTGGAGCTGTAGGATGCATTACCCTCAAACAGGAAAACGCTGCGGTGCAATCAGAGAGAGGGAAAACAACATTTCTATTTTCACCATTTATCTGGTGAGTAAACCAATTCACGGCTCCAACAGACTGGTGACCTCCGATTTACTGTAAAACTCAGAGAAGGAGGCAACTTTGTGGCACAAACAGGCAGCTGTCCCACACACCCACACAGACAGATGAAGGCTGTAAGTGAGAATTAACAGGCCGACCGACAGCAAGAAGAAAGGATCTGGTGTGACCAACAGGGACAGTGGAGTAAAGCTCAGAGGAGCAGATTCTGCTTCATAAACAAAGAGTCCCTTCAGACCGGCTCTCAGCAAAAACACAAACTCCTTTAAACCAACGACTGATTTAACACGTACAGAAAGATGTAAGCTGACATGACGGTCTCTACAGCGCCTATACAAAGACAGCGTGATATATTATTGATCATAAACAGTGAATTATTTGTGTTCTGGATGCACGATAACGGGGAAATGTACAGGGAAAGACGGCATAAAAACATAACGGGGGGAACAACAATACACATTAAAACTTCAATATGATAAGCACATTTAAAATTTAGCATCAATAGAAAATATGCACCTTTCAAAAATACCAAAACACACTCAAGATTAGGGCTGGGAGATAAACCGAAAATGTTGCCCATGTTACTATATTCGGTGTCAAACAAAATAAATAAATCAAAGTTGTTTTTGGGTGTGTGTAGGTAGGCTATGGTCTCTTTAGGACGCTGATGGAGGACGGTTCAGAAGCTGTAGCGGCTGAAGTCGACGAAGTTAATGTGGGAGGTGGTGAGCAGCTTGTGGAGTAGTTATCGTCCATTTATTGTTATTGAGGTGAACTGATCAATATATTGTGATATTGATTTGAGGCCATATCGCCCAGCCCTACTATGAATATTATAACTGAACTATTTTACCTGTTTAATTTACACAGAATAAACTAAACATGTATTCGAGGGGGAACTGCAATAAGTGTTAAAATGTTTTGATAAAAGTTAAATATGATAACCACCTTTAAAATACTAAAACACACTTAGGACAGAAAAATAAAGTGTCTTTCAGATACAAATGCAAAAAAATATCAGATTATACTTCAGGTATAATAAACATCTTTACCACAAGAACAGATTTAAACACTGAAGAGACACAATAAATTAAATATTAAAAAAAGGAAAGCAATATTTCAAAGCGTAGCTCTTCGTTGCCTGTTTTTCAAGGTTTTTCGGCTGCCCACCTTAAACTCTACGTGAACTGCTCGTTTTAAACATTTCACATGAAGTTTCCACGTCAGTGCCTGAGAACGGCATCATGTAGTAAGCTGTACTTATATTCTTAGTGAAAAAGCATGTACTCTGGGTTTCTAGTACTTTCCCACTCTAAGGCACTCGCTGTGTGAGGGCAAACAAAAATAACTGCAGCTCGGGGGCGGACGTACAACGAGGAATGATGGCGACACCCTTTTCTGCATGCCACAGTATGCACTGCTGCTTAGTAGTGCTTATTGCTGCACCACTGAACTCAACGTGCCTCTGGCTCTGCCATTAGTGAAAGTAAACATGAGATCGAAGCAATAAGTCATGGAGCCGAGGCGGGATAACTCTACACAACATGGAGATCAGTAATCCAATCACATGAGCCATACACTCATGGTAGAAGCTTTCTACACATACAGGAAACACCAGGTGGCGGAAAGTGGGTCCACGTTTCCACCCACCCACCCGGAGCCACCTTACACCCTGAGTCACCTTCAACCTTCTCCTGGTGTCAGATTCTGGCTGCTGACGGATACTTCTGGAAGCAGATACTCTACGGAGCAGGGATTTCCCCAGAGCTGGAGGGCTGGTGCAGAACTCTGGAGCTCTGCCCGGCCTGAGCGGGGAGTAACTCGACTCAACCCCCGTCATCAGGCCTGGAGAAGATCATGGCTGACAAGATCTGCAGGGTTACAGTTTTACTCCATCAACATTGTTTTTTTTTTGTTGTTGTTTCTTTCATGTTGTTTAAAAGGTATAAAAACCATAACAATACTAATTTCCACATTTATCACAAAAAAAAAAAACTTAAATTCTAACTGACTGAGTGCAGAGGACAGAGTGGCCAAGCACAAAATCACCCATGTCAGATTGAGTGTGGCTAACATTAGCAGAGCTATCACCCCTCGTCTTTGGTCCTCATGTCAGTACTGGTTACACATTGCTCCTTTTAAGTGCTTTTGAGGCATTTTAACCAAACCTACACACAGCTGAACTCCATTCACTGATCAAAAACACTGACAAACCTCACCGTACTTCATCTGTGCTTGTTTACATCCAGGTAGTAGATCATTTACAGTATAATAGCAGCAGCCTTCAGCAACAACATACTCTGGGGCATCAAAATACTCGATGAATAATTCTGGAGACAACATTCAATCATCAAATCATTAAAAAGTGACCATCTCTTAAGCTGCTCACTGATTTTCAGAAACTTCACGTTATCATTATTTGATGGTATGAGTCTGTAATTATGAAATGTCACTTGATTTCATGACCCGTCTGAAAGGTGCTCTGAGCGCTGACATAATAAACCAAATAACACTTCAGACATCCGCCAGAAAAATATTTGAAACTGTGTTTGATGATGAAATCCTTCAGCCTGAATTAATAACTCTAATACATAACAGTCTGTTCACTCCTCTAATCACTTAAGTCTGTTAAACCAAAGTGACACGTTCTTTTGTTTCACTTCCTGAAATGTGAGTTTTTGTGGTTTTTAAATCCTTTGTAGTTTATTTTCTAGACAAAACACGGCAGTTGTAAAAACATCTACATTTACAGGCAAAACAATGATTCCTTTTCTCATTAAATGTAAATATTGGAGTCTTAGTTATTCTGTGATTTGTCAGCCTCATTAAAACTGTGCAGTTTTTATTGTATTTTCTTTCTTTCTCTACCTTATCATGTAACATATTTAAAAATCATTTCCTCCATTTTCAAAGAATAATCTGCTTCACGGGTCATTTGATTACCTCTAGTACGAGTCACTTTAACTCCAGCGTCTACTTTATTTTTATCCAGAGGAAAATTTGATCTGGACTTTGATCACATTTACCAACAAACAGCAGTCCAACCAGAGCTGTACCCTTCCAATATCAGCCTGAGAGGGTCAATGAAGCGCCTGTGAATGATCACTAAACTTCAGCGGAGTCCTCAATGGCAGAAATCAGAGCATTCAACTCAAACTGGAGGACATGTTTGGTTCAGTTTCTGAGGAGAGGAGCGGCTCCGAGCATGACCTAACAGGCTGGCTGGACGGCATTCCTGTGAACACTGAGCTTTACCTTCCTGTCAAACAGAGACACACAAGACACAGCTCCAACTGTCTACAGTTCAACGTCTGTACGAGCAAGAAGACGAAGAAGAAAATCCTGAGAGGAGAGGACTCACTGAGCTGTGAAATCACTTTGTGTACTTTGTTAAACCTTCTGTGGGCGGCCGCGGGGTGTTTTCTTTTTACATGATCCTCAGTTTAAGCTCCACACTTCATTGTTCTGCCTTACTGTCTGTGAATTCGTGTAATCAAAGCAGCGTTGTCAACAGCTGAGGTAAAGCTCAGGGTAGTGTCGCACAGGTGAAGCCCTGTGATTGTAAAAAGGTGTTAACACGGCTCCTGGATTCCAGATAGTGTCCTCCATATCTGCTCTCCTCTGTGCCCAACATTGTCCAGAGTTGCTTGTTCACACACGTCCCTTACAGGTTGAATTTTCCTCGTCAGATTAAGGGAACGAATCTTTGGATGCAGGACATGACTTCAAAATTACAAAAAGTCACAGTGTAGTGTTTACAATAGGGACGCACCGATCTGATATTTGGATCAGATATCTGATGAATGATGCCGATCCGTTGTTCCGATCTAGTCTCTTTTTTTTTCTTCTTTTAACTAATATCAAACACAGCAACACAGCGATTCTGTTCGCTGTATATTCTATGTCTGTCTATCCTTTTGCACTGAATGTTTACATGGAAGTCTTACTTCTTTTCACTGTGTGCAAATGTGCAATTTGTTATTTGTTAACAAATAATATTAAGTAAATTTAGATCTGTGTTAATTAGTGACCTTTTTCTTTACAAGGCTAATGTCAAGCCTGATGCCTTCACTCACAGGGAAAGGTAAACAGTTCATTCATTCAACAGTAGTATTGGATCGGAATTGGATATCAGCCGATATGCTCAGCCCAGATATCGGTATCAGATTCGATCGGGAAAAAGGGGTCAGTTTTAACGCAATGGAGGATGAGGAAACAGAGACCTGCAATATGATGACAGTCTTTACTTTTATATCATCGCTAAGAGTGAGAAGCATAGACTGTATATACTGTGGACAACTTGGTTCCGCCTCCCGCCTGTATACGGATATTTAAATGAAAAATACCGCCACAGGGCCGATATCACTCCTACTCCTCGGTACTTCGGTACACACTGTTGGCGTTATCACATGGGCTCTACATGCTGGACCCGGAATGGAGTCTGGAATGGACTGCTTGTATCGGAGTGTTGATATTGGAGATTTTAGATGCAGTCCAATATAATCTGATAACGGACTGATATCCAATATCGTATTAGGACACCCCCAGTCACCATTCAGAATTCTGTTAATAACTTTATTTTGGTTTGACAAATGCCTCACAGAAAAACGAGGCATTGCAAAATGTACGTGTGGTTATTATAATTTTTACGTCTTTTGCATCATCATGTTTAATGTTTAGTTAAAGCGTCATGACTTAACCTTAAAAGTATTAAAAGACAGAAAGGTGTCAGACATCAAAACGCGGATACCTTATTGTAAACCTTATTTTTTCAACAGACAGCTACTGCTATTATTAATTACCAACGATTATTTTAATGTATAACCTTCCCATCGGGTTGCAGAGTCGCCGGGATTATTAAAATCTCTTTCCGAGCAAAAACAGGAGAGCATGAACTGGAAGAGTGATTTCCTTGTGGGAGCGTTAATGGACTCTTCTCAAACAATGTATGTGACCTTCAGGGAACATGCGAGACAACATGTCCGCTTTAATTCAAACACCGAGAGTGGACATGATGCATGATTAAAACGATGAGCTTCGTGTGAGTGTACGCTGCAGAAGGATGAAGTGGACCAAAAAGAACATGCAGAGGACGCTGCTGCTGCTGCTGCACACGGTTTGTTCCATTAATACTCCATGTCCACTTTTTATTATTCATACATGTCTATTCTTTCCATTTAAAGGTGCCTTAACTTGAAGTACAGCTTCTTCACTCAGGAGTTTGTGCACTACGGAAATAAAAAAGCCTCAAATTTTTGGCACTTTTATCAAAAATATAAAAGGTGCTCGACACGTAGAAAGAAAAAGCAGGTAAGAGGTGGCAAAGGTGCTCATATAGTCTAATATATGTTTGCTGTTTTCACACATCCAACGTGGATTTTTAAAGCTTTTCATCACCTGATTCACAGCTGTAACTTTCAATAAAGACACTAAGCTGCAGGCGTTACAGAATCATGAGAAGGTCAGATTCGACTGCAGGTCATATTATGCTCGAAGCAGAAACCTGCCTCCTTTCTACACACTGCAGCCAAAACAAGAAGTCAAATTTGAGCGCGCTCAGTTCGCCCGCCACAAACAAACCACCCAATCAACCGTCCTGCAGCCTCTCTGCGCTCAGCTGCGCTCAGTTTCTGCTGCAGCGCCGATAAGCTTGCTTCACGGCAGCAGACAGGAAGCTGTGTGCACGGGGCTGATGAGTCAAAGTGTAGTACAGCGAGCAGCAGAGGATACGTCATCTATCTGAAAACAATGCAGTGTCTCCCTCCTGCCTCTGTGAGCTGAGGTCAGGCTGCTGACTGAGCTGCCTGCTATAACCCTGAAATTCCCTGTTGGCTTCCATGGGGAATTCAGCAACTACGGCATCAGAGAGGGGTCAAAAAGATGATGGACAGAGAGACTCTTTAATGAGCTGTAACAATATCAGCTGAAATCCTGGATTTGACTGATTTTAGGAGGGCTGCTGTTCTCACAGATGCTTCTAGGATTTATCCTATTTTCTGTCACATTAGAGAAACTTTCTGTCTCACATGTTGACAAATGCATAGGAGAGATCTGACACATCAGCTTCAAGACGGACAAAATAATCTGCGACAACCAGCAAAAATATGACATGGAAATGTCACCACAGTCAACAAGGACGATCCCACAAATCCTCCTGTCTGACACAGCTGAACAGGTAAGAATACAGTGAAACCACAGTCCAGCACAAATGACCTGAAACAAGTCAAACCCTGAAAAACAGATGCTTCTTTGGACAACTTTGGACTTCAGACATGCAGGTCAAATCGTAACAGAACTGTAAATTCCTGCAGTTTGATGTCAGCAAAGAAAGAAAGATCACTGTATCTGATCACTTTCACCCTAAACACCGACACCTGCGAGGAGGAGGAGGCGGTCTCAAATCCCTCTGTTATAATACTTTCTTTAACTCGTCGCTGTGGCTGCGTCAGAGTTTCTAAAATCTGTCCACAAAACCAGAAAGTGCGTTTAAGAATAGCAAAGTCTGTGTCACAGTGATTGTGTTCAAACCCCCCAAGCACGATCTACTAAGGCTGCACCAGCTGAGCAGAAGTATTGGCCAACATCAGCAGTATTGACAGGCATCAACCATTTGTGAATAATGTGCCATGAACCTGAGCGTCAGTGTCAGTGTCCGGTGTGTCACATCAATTTAACGCCTGAAAGCTGGAAAACCGAACTATTGGTTCAGAGAAGAGGGGTTAGTGGGCTCAGGAAATCACTCCTCAGGCAAACTAGTTTGTTTTCCTGGTCAAATCTAAACTGAAATAAGACGTGTTCTCGAGATTTCGTGAGGAGGGACCATCAGCGAAACTTTGGCTCATTTGGAGAGCAGAGAGAGAGAATTACAAAGAGGTGAAAGAAATCTGTATCAGGCCAGATTTTCACTAAAAAGAGGCAAAACAGACCAAACTTAGCCACACTGAAAGATACTGTAAGAGGACTAGTTGGACACTTTGTACTCCCCCACAGTGAAGGCTAATTAAGATACAATAGAGAACGCTCTGAAGCACAAAACCTGGATGGAGAGAAAGTGAGATTCTAGTCAGAACAGGAAACAAGACAACACAAGGATTTCAGAGTAAATAAGATTAACTTCAACTTCAGGACTAAAGAAAATCAGTGCCAAAGGTTTTCTCTAGAATAAGATGAATATTTGAGTCATGAGACGATCAGATCGGAGCTGGATGAGGCAGAAAAGAACAAGAAACAATCAGACCAATCAGAAGCAGCGTAATCATCCTCGAAGACAAACACATTAGTAGTCTCGGTTTAGTATCCTGGAGTAGAAGCTCGATAGATTCATAGCTAAGACATAAGTCTGACTCTGCAGTCTGCTCTGTGTGTGTGTGTGTGTGTGTGTGTGTGTGTCGTTTGTTTCATGTCAGCACAGCAGCTCCACGGAGATCGAAGCACTTAAAACAACCGGCAGCTCTCCTGAACAGTCATTTTTCTGGGTCAGAGATAAAGTGCAATAAACCAAGGCGGGGTACTTTGCTGATACGTTAACAGACAATAAGTAGGCAGGTAGCCAGGGAGTGTTCCTACCTGACCTGCAGCTGAACTATTCTGCTTTCAGGAGGTGATCGGCAGTTCATCTATCGTTGGATTTCCAACTCTTACAGATGTAAGACGAGGAAGTTTGGAGCTACGGCTGATATTCACATTTGAATATCTACTTTACTTCCCCATCATAATAACCAAAACCAAACTGTGTTACATGTTGCATAATTATCACATTTTCTTGCAGGCCAAATACAAAACCTTTGGTTTGTCTTTGTACGTTAATAAAAGCTGCTTACAGTCAATAAAAGCCTTTCTGTTTGGGTTTGAGGGACTGAAAATATCATTATCTATGTCAAGGTTTGTTACTCATCTCTCATAAGATTAAATGGTTAAAAAGTGAACTGCTTTGGCTCCACTGCAGCCCTGTCTTCCCTCTATGTTGGTAGAAGTAGATCTGATATTCATAAGTATGTTTATGATAAGTTTAAATAGGTGTATAATCACTTAAATATAAACCCTTATTCATTTTTGTTAACTTAGACGAGTCTTCTATCTCTAATCAGGAGTCGTCCCTTTCCAAGAAGGACGCCATCTTGCATTGCCGTGTTTCTACCGCAGCACAAAACAGACAAATAGTAACTTTGGTGTTTGTGTATTTAGTGAGAGGCCATGTGGCGTTTATCAGCTGGCAAGGAAAGAAGAAGAGAGTGCTTACGCAATGTGGGTGAAGGAATTTGTAGAGGTGATAAAAACCAGAGAAAGATACCGATTGATCGGTTTGTTAATGGCATTTTAACGATATCGGCATCAGCCCACAGAAGACCGATATGAGCGAGATCTTTTCTGAATGAAAGCGCATTTTCCCATCTTCACTGACAGACATCACATCTAAGAGAGGCTGGTTGGTGTTTAAAATAAGTTCTGTTATTGTTTTTAGAATAATGCAGTTTAATATCGCTCCAACAAAGGAAAATCAGCTGTTTTAAAATCGGTAACATAACCCTCTGTCTTTGTCTTTTCCATCAGTTCAATAAAAATCTATCTCAAACATGTTCCTACCGAAGATCACCATGTGTATTTGATACTAATAACTTTAATTTGAATTTCTTATTTTATTCGGACCCTTATGTATCACTTGTTGTTCATTCTTGATCATTTTTGATGCATCGACAGACATACTAAAGTCCTAAGAGACAATATTTTACCAAACCAAAATTTGTTAAATTTCCCTCTGGGGATCAATAAAGTTCTCGTAAGAGCCAAAATATATTTTGTTTAGGATATGATTTTTACTTCTGGGGGTCGTCACTGAGGGGTGTGGTTTTGGGATGTTTGGCAGGTTATTTAAATCTCACCGCTGTAGTCAGACAATAGGTTTTGTAAACTCTGATAATTTCCTGTTGGCCGTTTTTCACCGCTCTATTCATCCTGTTTTATCCTCATTTCATCGTATCACTTTTTCATTCGAAGGCAAAAGTTTTGGAGCTGGATCAGCGTGTTTTCTTTTCTTTTTTGAACAATAAACTACTTTTTTTAAACTCAAACTGGACTGATAGTTGAACGAGTCAAAGATGCAAGCGAACCTAAACCCCAGCGGCCTCTTATTGTTGAAGGAAAGCGGTCGCTACAGTTCTTATCCCTCTTCTTTTTAACATCTAAACTTAATTAATGAAAATATTAACGTCAGGTGGCGGCACTGTCGCCTCACGGCAAGAAGGTCCTTGGTTCGAATCTGGCTCAGGGCGTTTCTGTGTGGAGTTTGCATGTTCTCCCTGTGTTTGCGTGGGTTTACTCCGGTGTCCTCCCACTTCCCAAAAACACGCAGAAGTGGGGAAAGGTTACTTGGCCACTTTCAAATTGCCCATAGGTGTGAGTGTGATTGTGAGCGTGGATGGTTGTTCGTCTCTATATGTCAGCCCTGCAATGAACTGGCGACTTGTCCAGGGTGTCCCCTGCTTTTGACGGATGATGCTGGGATAGGCTCCAGCCCCCCCCGCGACCCCGGGGACGGGAATAAGCGGTAGAAAATGGATGGATGGATGGATGGATTAACTTCAGGTCATCTTTTTTCTCATTTGTTAGTATTGTTCAGTTGTTGCATTTAGTTAAATCAAATAAACAAAAACAACACAATGTTGGCTTTCCATATCGGCCATCAGCCAATCTGCTCTCTCATAATCGGTATCATTCATTTGTAAAACTGATATCGGTCATCCACTAGTAAAAACTTGACATATTATCAGATTATTTCAGACACACAGGTGTTTTTTTATCCTCAAAGACCACCAACACTTCACCAACAGGAGGGCTGAGCAAAACACTCACCTTTACTGCTGTTTCCATATCTATCTGCCGAATAAGTAGTAAAACTGTGTACTTTTGTGAATGGCAGGTCCGCATTCTTAATATTGACTTCACATTTTCAATATTGATATTGATGCATATCTATTCGAAGTATAGATTATCAGCCTCACAAACCACGAATAACTAATATCACTATCAGTCAGCGACTCCCCTGATCCTGTGATATTGCTCTGACAAACATGAACAGCATGAACAGACATGCATAGTTGGATAAATTATAATTATAAATGATAGAAATCACGACAAACCTAAGATGTCTGCAAGAATACTGAACCAAACGACTGACTTTCGTTTAAATGGTTTCTAACGCTTGTTTTTAAATTGATATTTAAATATAACCGGTTTTATTGAAATAATAAATCATATTTGATGGTTTTTAAAAGTTTAGTAACCCCCTTTTCTCGTCGTGCAGTCAGTCTGTTAGGGGGCGCTGCTGCTGCAGCTCCTTTAGCTCGGGAGCTAATGCTAACTAGCTAACCTGCTAACCCGAACAATCAAACACACAAACTGAAGAAGAGCTGAAATAAAGGAGCAGAGCAGAGCTGCGGGACTGTCACCAACAGAACACCGCCTTCAGAGTAATAGTAGTGGGTTTTTACCTGTAATTCAGCCCGCTCCACCTCCCATTGTGCTCTCTCTACTTCGAATCGGGCCCATTCGTGCTGCAGGAAGTGCAGAATCCCCGGTATACTGTACTGCGCCCGAGCCGCCTCCCCAACGTCGCCGTCGGGCAGCGGTCCTTTCCCCCCGCCCGGTAAAACGGAGTTATTATTGTTGTTGAAGAACACGCCGGGCCCCGCCTGCTCGTCCATGGCCGGGCTCGGTCTGAAGCTCCGTCCGTTGTCTCGCTGATTCGAGGTGCTCGGTACCGACGGAAGGGCAGAAACGTCTCGGCTGCTCTCTCTCTCTCTCTCTCTCTCTCTCGAATGAACTCACTTTCTGACAGCTAGCTGTCATCCAGTGACGTCAGCGACAGAGGCCACGCCCACAGGAGTCGTTCTGGGGCGCTCGATTCTCTCACCGAGACTCTCCGGGACACAACGCAGCAATTTTCTTTATCTTTATTAATTAAATCAAAGGAAGGAGGAGAACAAAACTTTATAATTAATTAAAAATAAAAAGTGTTTTATTTTTAAATGTGTCCAAAGTGCTGAACATTTGGAGGCGAGGGTGGGAAAAGTTAAAAGGTAATACCTATTTTTCAGCCCCAATAATGAGGTTTTTTTCATGTTTTTGAAATAGACTGCAATTTGTATTTATGCCTTTTTATGTTATCTGAAAGCAAATATACCACTGCTGCAAATAAAAAAGGATGCAAAAAAAAAGAAGCAACAACTGAAGTTACTGATTCAAAAAAAAAGAAAGAAACAGAAGCCCGCTGCAAATAAAATAATAAACGGTGCAGATAAAAAAATAATAATAAAAAAAGCTTTTGTTTTGACTTTTTTTTTATCTGCACTGTTTCTTGTTTTATTTGCAGTGGGCTTCTGTTTCTTTCTTCTTTTTTTGCATTCTGTTTTATTTGCAGCAGTGGCGGTTCTCAGCCACCGTACAAAAAGACCACCAGGTTCAAGACTGACAGTTTTATATTCCAATGAATCTGGTATAGGGGGAAGGTTTCAGCTTAATATCTAAGGAAAAAGTTCAGTTATTCCAATACCAACATTAAAAAACACAAATGGATATGGGAGAGCTTAAATAGATAACTGAAAAAAAATTAAACCCTTTTGTTGCTCATTTCCTTGGGTGAAATACAGATCGCTTCTCAAGTAGTGATTTCCACTACAGAGTCACCTCTGTTTTTAATGCAGTGACACACAGAGAGACTGTTTTCTGATATTGTTGAACTTGATGCTCATGCAGTCTCTCACAGAGCAGTGGACCTCCTTTTCCTCTTTACACTTGAGAGTCAGGCTCTGTGCGGCCCTTTTATACCCGTAACATTTGCTCTCAGCCATGAGTGTGTAACCCAATAAATGCAGCAGCAGCAGCTCAATGAGGTGAAAGAGACTTTATTCACATTTCAAAGAAATGAGCGTGAAATATAACACGGGGCCGATAAAGCACATCTGCAAATCTGATTCATAACGGCAGCTGACGGTCACAGATTAAGACGCTTCAACACATTCATTGGTATGGATCAAAAATCAGTCATAAGCTGATCGATCAATTAATATGATATGTATCATAAATATTATAATGAAGATGTAATCTCCTCCAGTTTCCCAGGACACTGATTAACCGTTTCTGTGGGAATCACGAGCTCTGCCAAAAACAATTCAAGTTTGATGCATTTAATTAATGTGTTTCATCAAAATCTCCATCTGGGCTCGAAATAAAAATGAATGTAGGAATGTTTTCACATAAAATAAGAGGAAAAAACACTTTTAAAAAAGGAGCGGACAAAAAGAACCACCAGTAACAAGACAAACAGGCCAAACTCAGGGTGAATATCCCAATGAAAACAGGAAAACTGTGTCCCTTTACGAAGGTGCAATAAGTCTGGAGATGATACATTCACACACCAAGACTTCCTACTAAATTTAAAGTGAGTTTCTCAAAGCGAACATTCAAATGTTTTTAATATTTACATCATTTCCCTCTAAACTTGTAGAGGAGTTTCATTCATTAAAAAACAAAGCTGTGACGTAGAATAAATAAATACACTTCAAACTGGAAATAAACTGCATCTGATGACGTGTGGTCGCTGAAAGTCGACGTTGAACGAGGCTGTGAGAGTGTGGAGTGTGTTTTCCGAGCGCTCAGAAGAAGCTTGTTTTGAGTTTGATGGTGGGTGCAGCCTGCACCGTCGGCTGAGCTTGTCTGGCTGCAGCTTTAGCTTTGCTGCTGGCCTGGTTGGCCCGTATAGCAGATTCCAGACGGATTTTAAGCTCAGGTGCTGCACCAATCACTATCTTGAAGGCAGCTGGATAGAGGGGGCCGATCCGCATTAGATTCTGGAGAGCAAAATCATGCAGGCTTTTGGAGACCTGTGGCGCTGAGGAGATGGCGTTTTCGTCCAGAAGGTAAGAGATGAGGGTTGGCACGAGGAGAGCCAGTAACTGTACCCCTAAAAAAACACAGAGAAAAAGAAAAACAATGAAACATTTAGAGAGATTAGTACCAACAGACAGATTAATTTCAACGGTTCAGCTGAAAAGGAGCTGAGGTCCTGAATCCAACCTGACAAAAAACACAGAGCGGACAGAAGAGGGAGTTTTCCTTCATACCGTCACGACTGTCGCCATATAAAATAAAAACTAATGACTTAAAATGACTTTAAAATATCACAGATAAGAACATCAATAAAAAGGAGAGGAAAGTTAATCTCAAATATCCTTCAACAAGTAATTAAAAGAACCAAACCTCATGGCCCACTGAGGATTAAAGCTGTCTGAAGGAGTTATTGATGGTTATGAAACAGACTCACATTTCCTGATGGATTCAACTGTGAGTGATTTTTTTATTGACATGAAAACAAAGAAAACTAGACGAACAAAGACACAAACTAAAAGGAGCTTTAACTCTAATAAAGTCCGTACAAAACCTGATATGACACACCTGTTGTGTTTGTGTTAAATCAGGATGTTTCAAAAGCGGCTGATTTCCTAATTCTGACCTACTGACTAACTGACGTGTGTATAAAGGTAAAAAGACACTCGGTAAAAAATCAAGATTAAACACAAGTTAAGCACCGGTTTGCTCAGTGTGGCTAACATTAGCAGAGCTAGCACCACCCGCCTCCAGGTTCATGTCCACATGTCTGTGCTCTGAGTGGTTATATGACAATTAAGCAGAAACAGCCTTTGCACAACTTCATCTCCATTTTCAATCACACTGTTGTATGAGCTGACATCTATCATCTGTGCTTGTTTACACTAAACGTACCAATCCCTAATGTCAGAAAAAACATGTAAAACCTGAGAAAAATGAGTCTTATAACATTATAACCAACAGTTTGATGGTTAAATAGTCATTAAATTAAAGTTTCTGTGCACAGAGTAAAAAAATAACAGATAATAGTTTATTAATTACTGACCTTTTTGAAGTCAAGTGCATATTATCAAAGAAAATAACAAGCAAAGTCATTTAAAAACTAAGATTAGGGTGAGAAATAATCTCTTATCTGCATCTGTTCCAATATCATTAAAATGTGCAATACTGAAAAGCAAAATGCATGTAAAAAAAGCTTATAAAACATCAATGAATGCACAAATCCACTAAAATGCACCTATTGTTACTGCTTCTGTATCCTTATTTTACATGAGCTCTATACGTGGGTGTTAAATCTGTTGATACAACTTGATACTTATTTCTTTGTCCTGCATGTAAAGCAATAAACTTATCGACAAACTTAAATATATATTGAAGTAAATGAAACTGCCAATGAGTTAAATATATTTTTACATGCACGTCAAATAACCTTTTAAAGAAACTGTTTTCACTCCAGATATGAAACAGACGTTTACACAGCACAAACATGATTAAAGCTTTCTGTGAGTGTGCGTGGGGACCTCATGGCTTCGGGAAAATATCTGTAAATAACAAAGAAATGATGATAAAGCACAATGCTGTAACCGAGTTTAAAAGCGTCAGTAATCCTGTGCAGGGACTCTATATTTAGCATGAAGTACTGTACCGCTCTGATCTCTGACGGCTGACATCCAGAGTCTCAGAGCGAAACACTTAAGGAGAGCTGCAGTCATGGAGCCGGACACAAACATGAGACTTCAGTGATGCATTAGTCTGAGGAGGACTTACGGTTCTGCTCTTCCCCCATGCCAACCAGGTTCTCCAGGACCCTGATGCCCTCCTGCACCGCCTGCAGCTCGGCAGCAGTCCCTGGCCGACTGCGCTCCACCGCCTTCAGCTTCTCCACCATGAGCGGAGCCAGAGCGTGGATGTACGGGGTGGAGAGGGCGCGGCTGGAGTGCTGAAACACCGACAACAGGAGCTGGTAACACCGGGCCTGAACCTGGGGGAGAGAGAATCACACACTTACTCCACATGCTTGACCCCGGGACCCAAGAAACTGGGCCTGAAGTGATAAGAGTTTGGGTCAAAGTTATAATTTGGTAATTTAAGCCGAAGGTTTAGGTTTTCATCCTCCTTTTTAACAGTTCACAAGTCCAAACTAAGAAAGAATCGAGGGACCAGATGACTTAACTTTGTCTCTCTGCTCTCTATCTGCAGCGAGGACCTGACAAATCTCAGTGTTTGCTGACCTGTCAATAAGGAGGGTTTGTGGTGTAGCGGAAGAAACAAACGTCTGTGCAGAAGTGTGGACATATTTATACCTTCTTCAGAGTCTAACCGCTGTAAAACCAGCAGACAATCACTTCTTATTTGTTATTTCCACATCTTTGTTTGCTCTCTGGGCGTTTTCTCTCTTCTCTGTAATCCTAGTCACTGGACCACCACTGCACACTCTCTCTCTCTCTCTTTGCAGCAGCAGAAAAAATAACCGGAGATCAACTTTGTCATTAGTTTACGTGCCTCACAATATCATCTAACCCAAAAATAAAGACGATTCTGTTGTTTTAAAGCATTCAGTATAAAAACATCAAAGTATCAAACACTTTGACAAACTTAGGTCCTGCACCTGTCTTTTTTTATCCATGAAAAACTTCAGTAAATCAGCATCAATCATGACTAACATATTTGGATTATGTATGCAATATATGACGCTGACCTGAGATCAGATTACAAGAGTAAAAGTCAAAATAGACTGAGCCAAAGTGTCCGAGAGTCGGAGTCAGAGCAGCAGAGTGAAAATGAAGCGCTGCATTAAACTGTTTGATCTTTCTTATTGTTTGATCGTGTCAGGGAGTTTCTTTGTTTGTCTTTCCTGCTCCACTTACTCTGAAACTCGAGGTGCTGAGTGTAATTTCACGGTAACTTACAACTGCTATTATGAGGATTTTTGAAAGTTTAAAAACGAGCAAAAGAAGGAAAATAACAAATAAAGAGCTAATTTATTCGGATAAAAAAGGAGATAAAAATCAAAAGGAGGTTAAACTATCAACATTTTTTCTCTGTTCCTTCTTCAGGTAAATTGTCGACAAAAACTACAAAAACAGGTCGGCAACTTTTGTTTGTAAAAACTAAATGAGACTTATAAGAACTTGGAACGAATTCCTCGCATCCATCAGCGTCTGAGTTTGATATTTTGAGCGTGCAAAGACATTTATTCAGGAAGGTCTCATGCACCTTAAATTAACCACATCCACAAGTCTGATACTCGTCTGCTGATGAAAACGGTTAACTTTGCAAAAACAGAGAGGAGAAAAGGTTCAAAAAATGTGGTGCGTCTAACTAAAATTACAGATACGAAACATTTAATTTCCACTGATAAAAGCTGTAGATCCTGTAATATCTGTAATTTTCTCCCCTATGAAAGATGGAGTGTGTTCATCGCTGCTTACTGCTGGATCACTGGAGTTGAGGGCGTTCTTGAAGCGCTCCATGCAGCCTTTCTGCAGAACCGTCACTCCGACGAGCTCCGAGCTGGCAGACAGCAGGAAGAGAGTGATCGCTGTCAACATGCTGACCTCATCCATGTCGGGCCGGGACTCGTCTGCAGAGGCACACACACAAGAGAGACACGCTGAGGATAAACACTGATGTCTGCGTGTGTGTGTGTGTGTGTGTGTGTGTGTGTGTGTGTATACAAACCTGGCTGAGAGTGCTCCAGCACAGATGCGAGGCTGCTCCTCACCAGGCCGCTCCACTGAGTCTGGATGCTCTCCACCCGGGCGAGCGGGGAGGTGATGATGGTCGTGATGCCCTGCAGGGCGGCCGACACGGGAGCGGGCACTGAGCCGTCAGGGGTCTTTAACGCTGTTTCCCTCAGGACCCCCGTGATCAGGAAGAGAACTGTCGGCAGGATGGTCATACTCCCTGAGAGGAGAGGAAACACTCATCAGTCATGATGAATATCTGCAGAGAGTCTCAGGATAAACCTGCGTGTTTATTGTTGAGTAGATTCACACATGAGGGGAAGTTCCTGTTGTTGTTTCTGCTTCACTTCAGTGAAAATAGAAATTAAAAATGAAGGACATAAAGTGAACAATAGTGCTGCTGTGTCTGTCACACAAAAAGTAGACTATCATGTTTTCTCTTCTCTGGATTCAAAGTGAAATATTTTAAGTCTTTTTGGTGTTTTAATTTGGATAATTTTGTCTCGAAGCTCATAAAAATCAGGTATTAAGTTTCTCAAATCACTGGAATATTTCCTAAATTTAAGTATTTAAATTACAGAAACATTAGATTTCTTTGGACCACTGAGCAATCGTCCAGTTCTTTCTTCTCAGTCCAGGTGATTCTGGTTCAGGAGTGTCTTGACAGTCCAGGAGATATTGCATCCTTAGTTTCTTAACCCATATATGCCCAGATACTAAATATAGTATGTGAAGGAAAAACCCCACAGATTTTTTTCTGTTCGAGATAGCAACACAAAATTTGCTATGGATACTGTCAAGACATGTGGCGACACACACATACAAAAAAAATCTATTTGACAAATGTATCATGCCTTACTTTGTACACGAAGTTGACTTACTGGCAAAAACACAAAAAATCACAAAAATGGTTTGACCATTGAGTTGACATATTATATAATGGTTTTACTCTGGATGAAAGCACATATTATTAAAATTTACCTTGTTCTGAATCCAACGGCACCAAGTATTTGATATAAGTCCTTGTAGTTTTTGAGATACGGCCATTTCTGTTAATATAGTATGATAAGAAAAACTGGTGCTGTAGCCACGTACTTTGACTGATTTGAAAAATTTCAGTGGATTTGTACTTCCCTCGGCTAGTACTTCTGGTGTACAAAAGGAAATTATAAAATTTAGCTTTGGGCATTAATGGGTTAAACAGAATGGAAAATCTTGAACTTTTTCAGGATATTGTAATTTTTTTTGAGCTGCATTTGTCCTCCTACTGTCAAAACCTGCTCCTTAAAAAGCAGAAAACAAATTTAAGATTATGTTGAATGGAAGCTTGAGCGAAAAGGGCAAAAAGGCTAATAAGCAATAAATAAAACATACAAGCTGGAAGAGAAACTCGCCGTCAATATGTACTTTCATTTTCTTGTGTGTTTGTGTGTCTGTGTGTGTCTGTGTGTGTCTTCGCCTCGGGGCCTCACCAGCAGGAGAGCAGAGCGAGGGCAGCTCTGCCAGGATGGAAACTGTGTTCGCCACCAGGCGGGCGCTCTCCTCAGGCAGCCGCTGAGGCCTGAGCGGCACATGGCTGGGCGACTCCTTCACACGTGTGTTGAGCTGCGGTAAGTGGCGGACCAGGATGAACACGAGCAGCTCCATGGCGGCGAACACGAGAGACTTCCCGGGGACCAGCTCGCCCGTGTCTCCTCCTTCCCCGAGGCCGAGCTGAGGGTCTTTGTCGCCGTCTTCATCTTTGAAAAGTAACAGAATCTGATTTCATCGTTTCTCTTTTACTTTTATTAAATATTTATGATCATTGAATTTCCAGAGGCTTGAGATCGATCAAACAGACACGCGACTGACCTTTGCTGGTTCTCTGTCGCTGCATATGGTCCTGTGCGGCCCTGATGGTCTCCTGAACCACGACAGCGACCTGAAGCTGAACGGCAGGAGGATCCCGGGTCAGCAGCAGCCTGTGCAGAACGTTCAGGAGCTCCACCGCCAACAACTACAACAGAAACAACATTTACGGTTACGCCGCCCAGACTGATCTGATCTGACCCCTGCAAACAAACACAGCAGAGGACGTTTTTCAGGAAAGATAAGAGGAAAGATTTCACTCTCCTCTCCAATAAAAATTAATCACCACTTTTTCCAATTCCAGGAACAGACACTTATGAATACTCTGTACAATCAGCCAAAATCAGGAGTAAAAAAAACATGTTTGGAGGTTCGTGTCTGTAACAGGAGAGTGTAGCTGCAGCAGAGTCGCAGTCTGGATCCTCTGAAGTCCTCACATCCAGATTGGATAAGTTTCCGTTAAAAACAACTTGTTCTTCTCAGGATTTCTACTTTCTTTGTCCCCTCTGACTTCCTCTGTTTTCACTGGATGTTGATAGTTTTTTTTTTAAAGAGCGTCGGTGTGACACCTCTCACCCTGGTAAAGTCTGTAAATATCACATGACCCTGTTGTTTTTAACAGATATTTGCACTGAGGTGGCGACCCGTCACTTGCAAATATATCACTTGAATTGTGTCAGGGGTAAAGAGCAGAGACCTAAAATAACATTCAAATGTTTTACTTTGGTTTATCTTAAGCTTGATTTTAAAGGAGCAATACTTCCCTTCAGTTTATCGACTCTTTGAAGATAAAAACAGTTTTACAGAAAAGTTGTTTCTTCCAAGAAAGACACAAAGATTTCCTGTTTCACACATTTTAGATTCTGAGCTGCATCCAGAGGGTCTGAGTCTTAAAAGGATTGTACAGAGGTGAAAACTGCAGTACCTAAAGTGTCCACTTGAGGCTGGCTGCGAAAGCCCCAGGTGCCACATACACATTCTTATAGAAAAGCATATCTTTGGTGACCATATTCTGAATCCCTGGACATTTGAAAGATTTTATAAACTCCCCGTCACAAGGCCGGACTAATGGTCGCCCTAAGATCTTCATGGCAAAATGTAAACATGTTTACAGCCTGATACAAAAAAGAGTTTTTTAACAGCTCATTTCTTCTGAGGTCACTTCTTCAGGTTCTTGAGGATGCTGATCTCCACAATCAGACATAGATCAGAGAAAACTGCACAGAGCTACAGGTCATTTTGGACACTATTGCTCCAGAATATGAATATATTTACAGAGTTAAGAGAAAAACACCTCAATGTGTTGATATGTTCTTCATCCTTTGATATTTCCTCTCACTCTCAGCACTCCTAACTTTGGACAGATCTTCACTACATCACTGCAATAATATGTGACTCATCACTTCTCCTGATGAAACTACAGACTCTGCAGGACAAAGTCATTCCTGCCTTGTCATAGTCTGGGGGTCTGTCCTCCCACATGATGCGTGTTCAGTGTATCAGGATGTAAATGGAATAAACCGCAGATCCTTCTCTGCACGCACATGACTCGAGGAGAAAACAGGAAGTCAGATGACGACAGTAAAATGTGTCACAGTTTTAAAAACATAAAGAATCAGCTGTTATCATCCTGTGTACTTATTTGAATACTCATGCCTCAGTTCAGTGTCTGGATCTTTTAATTTCCTGTTGCTGGAACATGAATGGATGTTGTCTATTTTATTTGTTGTCCTTTCTTACCACGCATGGTCGGGTGTGGACTGACTTCTATGCTTGAAGGTCCTGATCTCGCGGTTTCTCGTTCGTTGGTCTAAGTCTGGACCCTTTAAAAGCTTTGGAAGTTTATCTGGGATGTGTTTTTCAGGCCTTTCTGTTTTCGTTGTGTTGTGCGTGTTTATTTTTGGTGAATAAAATAAATAAATCCACTTCTTTTAGACTGCTCTTGTGTTTTTGATCAGACAGTAAAAAGCCTGTCTGTGCGAGTTTGAGGTAAAAACTTCACGGGGATTAAACACCAGCGACGCGGCTCAGGATAGCGGTATAAATCCTCCGTTGTTTCTTTCTCTTTTACAAATGTTATCATGACTCTGACCCGTGTCCTCACCTGGTCCTCTGCGATGTGGGTCTTGGCACATGGAGACTCGAGTAAAGTAGAGAGAGCCTGCAGGCAGGACATCACATGTTCGATGGGCTCCTCGGGTCGGGGGAAGCAGAGAAACTCGATACTGACACCTGGGAGACAGAACACAAAAATGCACTTAGAGCGTGTTCGTGTTATTGTCTGTGAGGCGGCTCCAGAGCTGAGTGGAAAAATCTGCAGTTCGACGCACCAAACTGGGATCACGCTGTTCTGTATTTTCACATCGAGGTCTATGACGTGGTTTTCTTTACCTAACAGAAGATGCATCCTGTCTTCCACCGACTCCTCACAGCTCTTCGTGGTCAAAGCGGCTCCCTGAGTGGACGCAGGAGTCTTAGAAACAGCAGAGGGGACTTCTTCGTTCTCCTCTCCGGTTCCGAACCCGGTGCTGCTCAGCCACAAGGTCACAGCGTGGAGGACCGGAGCCCACGAGCTGCGATAGTGGAGCCTGGCTGTGTCTATGGTCTCGGGAGTGTAAAACGCTCCGCCTGAAGACACAAACGACATAACAATGTTAACGTTAACTTAAAAAAGGAGAAGCCTCTGCAGGAAAAAGAGACATTAGCACAAACACTGAGACAAATAAATGTCCCCGTCTTGTAGAGACGCCGTGGGCAAAAGGTGAGGAGTGGAAATCTTCCTCTTAATTGTAGAAAACCCGGTGAGCAGCTAAGACAAGCACAGCCCACTCGTCTTCACCTTTCCACAGAGACCTCGGTTACTTAAGTACTTAATAGGTTTTTTCTCTCCTCCAAGTCCTCAAATCACAGAGCGTGTTTTTGAGAGCTGCTGCACCACAGCACTTCTCAGACTACCTGCTGAGGTGAGGACACACATGAGGATGTTTCCATGATGAGAAGAACCTCCATGGCTGAAGTATCGATAGAGGAAATGAAGGATGAAGAACTGAGCAGCCCCCAAACTGCCAGTCTACAGTGTTTGAACGTTGATGCAAATGGAGAGATCTGATCCAAACTTAAACCCGGTGGAAAAAGAACTTTATCACGTTGTGTGTTTGACAGAATCGGTCTCGTACCGTCGGGCGGCAGCTGGCTGGAGAACTCGGCGGGCAGAGTGAGCAGGGCGTAGTCTCTCAGCATGGCCAACCACAGATGGCTCAGCGAGGGAAGCTCCGGCTGCACCAGAGTGATCAGGCTGTCGGGCGGAAGCACGTCGGCGCTCAGATCGTCCTCATCCTCGTCGTCGTCTCCACTTCGAGCGGGTTTGGCAGGCTTAGACTCCGCCTCTTTCTTAATCTTCATCGCCACCACGTAAACCTGAAAAGAAAGTGTGTGTAGGGTGAGTGAAACACGAAGAGCCGGATGTAGAAAGGAGAACGGAGCTCTGATCGGGGTCCTCGGTCTCACCTCAGCCCACGCCTTCAGCACGGCCAGTTTCTCCATGGTGGTGGCGCTCTCGCTGTACAGCTGACTGGACGAGCCTTTCCCAGCCTGCACTTTGTCCAGAGACGACACAAGGAGGTTGTGGACCCGCCGCAGGTCATTCAAGTCACTGACGACGCCACTACCGATCCACGTACTACACACCTGAAGACACAAGGAAGAGTCGAGGTGATGGACTATAAAATAAGTCGATTTGTCGAAATGAATTCTAGAGAGAAACGTTACAAACGTCAGGGATCGTTTTTATTTTTCCAACATGTTTTTAATTATTAGTTTTTTCCTGAATCGTTTTCCTCTCGTGAAAAGTTTGATCATCAGGAAAATTAAAATTAAGAACTGGTGCAGCGTTTCCAACTTTTACGGCTCGGATCAATTTTCTATTCGCTACTACAGAAAATGACTGTGGTCCAGAAGCTGCGGCTTATTACTGGATTTATGATTAAATGCACTTTCCAGATGTCGGACTCGGATGTTTCTAAATCCACTTGGGCAATGAAGTCCCAAAATTCTTCATAATTAGACTGAGATGTTGTAAATTCTGATACTTTCTTCAATCTCTGTGTGAAGGTCATCAGAGAAAAGCAGGTGACCTACCTGGCAGGCCTTCGCCGTGATGTCAGACGGTGTATCAGGAGAAAATGCAGGTCTGAGAGCAGCTCCCACCTAAATGCAAACACACACATGATTGGTCAGGAGTTAACTTTTTTTATACTGTTTCTTATTTCATGTGGCGGTAAATCTGGCAGTGTTGTGTCAGTCCACTCACGTTGGCCTGGTACTGCTCCAGGATAACGTGGCCCGGAAACTCGGGTTCTGGTACTGACGCAAACTTTTTAATGATGTCCTCTAGAGCCTGGAGGCCGGCCATCCTCAGCTGGTTACTGTGGTCTGTGGCCGCCATGAAAGCCATGCGGATGAGGTCGGACAAATGCAGCACCAACAGGTCTCCTGGGTGAAGAGAGACGGGAGGAGGAGGAGGAAGGACCAGAAAAGAGACAGAGGATATAAAAGCAGAAATATTTGCTTCAGAAAGGCTTCAAAACACCTTTTAGGAGAGCAAAAGGGAACGATATCTGCCTCCTTCAAGGTTTCAGAGCTTTTTTAACACCTTCATAAGATTCAGAACTCTTGCTCTTACTCTGCTCCTTTGGGGTAATAATGTGTATGTTTTTATGTTCAGAGGGTCAGTATGTCTGCTTATGGCTTAATAAATCTCTGTTGACTCCAAATGACTCCTTGACTCCCTGAAATGAAGTCTTAGCCTCAGAGTTCGTAACACCAGCGTCCCAAAATGTGAGACTGAAGACTTTTGGGATGATACTGACCTGTTGTAGAGAAGTTCGGGGTGTAATAATGGGTTTGGTTTTAATGTACTTTTAATTTAATTTAATTTTTTTTATTGAACATATTGTATAATGTTCTGTATTGTGTTTTTTCTACATTGTACGGTGACTTTGAGTGCCTTTAAAGGCGCCTTAACAAATAAAATGCATTGTTATTATTGTTATTTTTGTTGTTATTATTATTATAACCCTTTGCTAACTTAGATTATTTCCCTCTGCACTTTCCTATCTCTGTGCATTACTGGTGTGATGGAGCCGGAAGTGAATGTCTGTGTTTCTGTCTCATTGCACAACCACTAAAAAAGTGTTTAACAGTTTCATTCGCTCTTCTAAATATGAGTTTATGTTCCTGTCACATATATTTGTGCAGGGGTCAACCACGTTAAACAGAAACAATATAAACATAAGGTCCAGATATTATATCAGAGTATAAACTGTATAAACAAAAATAAGTACCTACACCTCAGAGTGAAGTTACACAATCTTTTCCACGCTCTTGTCTCTCTCTGTGTTTCTGTACATTTTCAGCTGGAGTTCACTACTCTGTGCTTTTACAGTCATGTTCCTGGACCGCCTCTCATTTTGGAGAAGTTTGTACAAATATCTGTCATAGTGGGAAACAAAAATAAAAAAACCCTCCCACTTTCTGCTTACTCATCTGCAGCTTTGTTCCGTCTTTACATAAGAGGACATGAATGAGCTATTTTCAGCAGCCTGCATCTGAAACGCCTGCAGGTTGTAGAAACATAAACTGGTCTGTTGGTCCGTGTGCACGGAGGACTCTACCTTTGGGGTTCTTGGCCTTTGCAGAGCGTGCTGTGGCCAGGTCAAAGTGCGCTTTGTCGCTCTCACACAGCAGGATGATGCGGCACAGGCAGTCCGCGGCGAAAACACGAGTGACCCAGCGCGGCGCCACGGAGGGTTTGGACTTGTCGTCCTCGCCGAGGCCCGTGAACATGGTGTCATCGTCCATCTCGTCTTTTTTCTCGGAGTCTTCCTCGTCTCTCTCCACCTCGAACACAACGGCTCCGCCCACATCTGAAGGAGAACAGGGATTTAGAAAAACGCTCAAATCTACAATAATCAGATACAGTTGAGTGTATTTTAAGATGGGAACCCTGAAAGAATCTCCTCTCTTCCAGGATGGAGTCAAATCATTTGTTTTTGTACAGAGTCCTGCCTCTGCACCAACGTCACCCAACCTTCAGACATGTTAGTGAAAAACACAATAATATCCAACTGTTCCGGACATATTTGAACTGCAGGGAAATTTTAGGGAGTTTTTAAGTAAGGGCGTCCAACTCTGATACCTGTTGAAACCAGATTTCCTCAGAAACTGGAAACGCTCGTCTGTGATTCTTTGCTGTTTTGTAAATTTACCTGTAGTTGCTGCCAGGACGTCCTTGCAGAGTTTGAGCCAATGAGAAAGCTTCTCCACAGCGAGAGATGACAGCATGTGTCCCAGCGTGTCGTGGATATCAGAACACAGCTTTCGGTCTGTTTCTCGGTCCAGCATGCCGAACAGAACCCCCTCCAGACCGGTCTCTGTGATGTTCAGATCTGAAGCAGGTGCAGGGTTAAAACTCTGTCTCTACACCGACTGATCAGATTAATCCTGGCAGGTTGTTGTTTGCTGGTTTGTACTCACTGATTGTCGTGTCTTTGCTGTCTCCCGCTCTCTTGGCCAGACTCATGGCGTACTCGCAGACCTCTGCAGCCTCCCTCTGAGCCAGCTGCCTCAGGCAGGCCACAGCAGCTCGCCGCAGCAACAGGTGAGAGCTGCACAGGTGCACCTGCAGGGATGTCACAGCATGGTAAGAAATAAGAATAAAGAACTATGCAAATATGTTTTTAACGCCTGCTGTTTGTCTGATACTCTTCAGTTCTTACACAGAGACACGGCACAAGGCTGGACAGGTTGACGTGGCGTGGGGCGAACATGTGCAGCTGCTGCAAACACGAGATAGCAGCCGCCTGCACGAGGGAGTCCGAGTGATCCTGCATTATCGCACAGCCGACCAGGCAGGACGAGCGGATGGTGGAGATAGTGGCTCCGTTTCCTGGCAAACGCAATGGCATCAATTAGGAGGACGGACTAAAGGACACAGCTGTTAGAGGACGCACTGAAGACGCCGCTGGTACAGCCCGGATTTTCTGATATCACAGTTTTAGTTTATTTTTAACTCCCCTTTATATTTCTCTTATGTCAACTTTACATTAAGAGTTATTTTCAAATAAATGTCATTTCTCATCTTTGCTATTCTGTGTGATTTCATGACCTAAACTAGTCTGATCAGTAAAACTGTGTAAATACATGAATTTTGACTTCATTTATGAACACTAATTTCCTTCTCAGAGAAGCTTTCAGGCGTTGAAACTGTTACAGGTCTTATCAGGAAACAATCTCCTTACATTATGAGCTGGTGTACAGTTTCTTTTTGCTGTAAATTAGACAGAGACACTTGTTTGTTTTGGTATTTTTGGTCATGAAAATATCATGATGTAAATTTTAAGTCATATTACCCTCTCCTTGAACACATAATGTGCAATTTAAACCTATTACTCAACAAAAGCATGACGGTTAATGCCCTTAAATTCATAAACATAGACATCCAGCTGTTTTTGCCATGAATTTTTCCTTCAAACAGGTCCTTTTAAATTAAAAAATGTCCATTGTTGTGGGTGTTAAAATAGGTTATGCTGCCACCTACTTTTCTGATAAAGAAAAACATGAACATAAAAAAGAGATCTGTGAGTTCCTGTAGGGGTTACCCTGTAATTCTGGTCCCACAGTGGTGATGAGAGCTCCCAGACAGCGGCCCAGACACTGGTGCACCTCAGTGTGAGAGGGAGGCACGGTGAGGAGCAGAGTTAGCACCAAGGACAGGGTGGGCTCCACGTAACCTCTGTACATGGGACCGCTAGAATCCACGATCAGAGCCAGAGAGTGCAGAGCCCAGGTCTGATGAAAAATAGACGGACAGCTTATGAATGAGTAAAACAAAGATGATGAAACGACTCCAGACTTCAGTGTTCAAGTTCAGTCCCTCTGAGTCCTTTACCGTACCTGGACCTCATGAGAGGATCCGTCCTGAGCCAGCGCCAACAGGATGCTGACGCTGGTCTTTAAGTGCTGGCCTGAGCCGATCCCTCCGACGTATCGATGCAGGCAGCCGAGAGCGAGGGAGTGGCCTGTCCTCGATACAACATCACGAGCGGACTTCAGTCTGGAGGAAAAAGATCATGAAATTATGAGGATAAACAAAGACAGAAATACTCCGTTTAAGTAAGTGATGTGATAATGTAAAAGTTACTCCCTGTCTGTTTGTTTCTCTCTTTTGGGGGTCCCCAGGGGTCTGTGTTAGGTCCCCTCTTATTCACAGTTTTACATTTTTACATGTTCCAAAATTGTGTTTGAGTTTTTCAAATTTGTAACTATGGTTTTGTTTGGACAGAGTATATCTGAATGGGAGAAATAAAAAGCTACAGATCATTTAAAAAAAAAAAAAATACTCACTTGTCAAAGCTGGTCTGTGCCATCCTGGCGATGAAGGTCGCCTCTCCAACCACCTGAGCCATCCTGCCCAAAGCTTCGCCGGCAGCGCAGCGCAGGATGGGGTTCGGATTGTCCAGCGCTCCCATCACCAGGGCCAGAGCCGACTTTCGCACCTCCTCAGGACCTAAAGTACTTTTGTTTTCTGCCAAACCCTTCAGCCGGGAGTGAAGGAGGATCAACATTCAACAAACACACTTCCTGATATGAAACATTCAAATATGTTTATTTAGACGAAGCAGAAGTCTAATGGATCTGATCAATGTGCGACAAGATTTGATTAGACTGATCTGAGCCTGATTAGGTTTTTATATCTTTCTTTTTTCTGCTTCTCTGCCTCGGACTCACTCAGATTTTCCTCTCTAAGTCTCATAAGCTCATCTAAAGTCATCTTTATCATCATACAAGCACAGTAATTTACAGCATTTATGTTCCTCCTGTTGTTAGTACTGACAGAATGTCTATTCAGGGATTACACACAAAAAGAAACAGACATTAGACTGACATTGTAAGAACTGAATCTGATTTGGACCCTGAGGACCTCTCATAAAAGCACATTTGCTCACCTTTAGGGCGCTCAGCACTGCAGTGAAGATGTTCAGCTGGACTGCCTGCTGCCGAACCCCCTTGGCTTGTTTTATACACTCGGCAAAATGGTCCAACATCTGCAGCCTGACGCATAAAAACAACCGAGGAAGACCGATCAGAAAACTTAAACAAAAAACATATATATGAACTGAAAAAGGTATCTAACCAAGATGACATAAAAACACTTGAGCAGACTGAAAACCTCTTTCAAAGCTTTAACAGAAACTTCTACGCTTCTCACCTGTGTTTGAAGGAGACATGAGGGAAAACGACACCAAACAGAGCGACCGAGGCGTCGATGACCGACACACCCAGGGGGAGAGGCCCGGGGATGGCCTCGCCGACAGGGACACGCAGGTAGATGGAGGAGGGGTCGTGTTCAAGAGCTCCACTGCCGGACGCGCTGTTGGGCTGCAGCTTTTGGAGCAAAATCACACAGATTATTATCATTCACTCGATTAATATTCAATAAAAATCTAGAGGACAGTTTCCTTGAACTGTTTATCTAGTTGTCTGATCGACTCTAGAGATCCTAAATGATCTCAGCTGTCGAGCTTGCTGCCTCTCTGCCTGTTAGTTAATGTTCTGTCTTTGAGCTTTATAACCTCCTGAGCTTCTCAGGAAACAAAAGGTGAAACTGTGTCCATGTTTTATGGACAGTCGATGGGTAAATTATGTGCGTTATAAAATAAAAGCATTGACAGATATGCAGCAGCTTACACGTCCATCCAGAGCATGACTTCTCAATGATCATTTTCACTCTCTTACTCTCTCAAGGTGCAGCAGGTAAACCTTCACGCACTGTCCCACAAAGCTGTCCCACATCAGTACTCCCTCTCATTCATATCATATTAATCAACATCATTTTTGGACATAAATAACACACTTACTGCTGTCTTTGTTGCACTAAAGTTTCACGCAGACGTGAAAAGCCTGTCTGATACCAGGATGATTTCCTCACCTGATCTTCTATTGACTTGTGGTCGGTCTCCTGCAGCCACGAGCCCATGAGCACGCTGTCGTCATAGTGACAGAGAGAGCGCAGCAGCGAGGTGGTCGTATTGGCCGAGTTGTCCGTCAAAGTGAACTCTGCCACCAGCTCCCTCAGGAGGGCGTTGAAGCTTCCTGCACGAGGAGATAACTGTCACTGTCAAATTTCTGAAAACGTGAGATAACCAGAGGACGACGAGTTACCTTCGTAAGTCTTCGGGGGCAGAAGAGCGAGGATGTCGTACAGCCTGAGCCTCACCATCGCCGCGCTTGCTTTGAGGTGAGCGCCGTGGACCTTGATGATAGCAGGGACACTGAAGAAGGAAGAAGAAGAAGAAAAACGTTTATATGATAAATCAGAGAATCGTGGATGAACTCGTGACGCCTCTTCATGGAGACGACACTCACTGAGACATCATGGTCATGGCACATTCGATTGGCGTCATGAGTCTACGGATCACGTCTTCTGTAAGCAGCTCGGGACAGTGGGCCACGAAGCTCCGCATGGCTGCAAAACACAGGAACATGTGAGAGTTAGTCAATCAGAGGACGTGTGTCTGTCAGAACAGGTTTACAAATACTTAGACACAGACGTAAATCTGTCTGCAAAGAAACAAACATTTAGAGGTTTTGTTCAATAATGGAGACAAAGTAATCGGACATTTCTCTGAAGAGCGACGACACAAAGAAATGTCAAACTGTGGAGTTGTTGATGAATGTGAAAGATAAGTTGACTGTAACTCAAAGAGAGTGTGCAACAATATACAAAGATGTAACTTCTGGTGATGCAACACAGTCAGATGGAGATCTTTCTTTACCGCACAGCGCTCCAGCTCGACCCTCCAGCGTGACCTGCCAGGTGAAGGAGTCTCCTCTGGCCTTCTCTGCCTCCAGCTCCTTCTGGGAGCGAGGAAACACGTTCCTCCACAGCAGCAGCATCTTGGGAAGGTGATAGCGTACGAGGGAGGGACCTGGGTAGAGAGTCGACATGAAAGTGAGGCGGGGGGGGACAGGAGTGTTGACAAATAAAGTAAAGAAACTGTGACAAAAGGTCTGCCAGACCCACCCAGAGTCATGAGGGCTCCCAGCAGCAGCCATCCGGCCTGTGTTCGCTGCAGGGACAGTCGACTGTTCTGAGCTGCCGTCCGCAGGAGGTCTTCAGCTATACTCACCACCAGCTGAGAGAAAAAAAACACGTGAAGATGTAACTGTGTGAGTTTTTCAGCTATGTGACTGACAGTATGTGACTAATCATCATCAGGTTTCTGCTGTGTTCTGCCTGCTTCTGCTCTCCATACCGACTGTTTTCTGCAGGCCTGCTAACTACACTAACAGATGAGCAGGTAAGACGCCGCTCTGAGTCTACACACCTTTCCCTTCGAGTGGGGGATACCCAGAGGACACTGGTGAACTCCTCCCAGCAGCGCGGCCATAGCGAAGCTGTACCCGCTCACAGCCTCAGGCGAACTCTTCAGGTTGTTGATTCTCTCTGCGCAGCGATCCAGCAGCGGAGTCAACTGATAGGGCAGCGCCACGGCGACGCAGCGCAGGCACCACGCAGCCGCCAAACGAGCCGCCATGCTCGGGTGAAGCAGCACAGAGGTCACAGTCTCCAGAAGTCCTACAGACGAGAGCGTGGGAATCCCTTCAAACGACTTAAACGGGACATTTGACTCAGTTACAAAAGCTTTAACGTTCGACGACGTCTCACCTATCGAGGGCTCCTGGATGAGCGGTGAAGCGGTCGCGCTCAGACTCTGGACCAGACTGCCGAGCTCTTTCAGGGCGCACACCATGACGTGCTGACTGGCGGAGACGTCGGCGGCCCCGGCTTTGTTCTCCCCGCTCATGTCGTTCACGACCGCCTCTGAAGCAGACAAAGAAACAACCGGACGGGTTTATCGATCAGAAAAAAACGCCAAGTTTTCAAACTGAAAGTGACCAAGTATCCCTGAAAACAAGAACATGTGAGCATCATGGATGGATTAGGTGGCCTGAAGAAGTGACTGACAGCTAAGATTGTTTTTTTGAAAACAGAGGAGGTTTTCTCAGTTTCATCAAACATTAATCATAAAAGTACGGTGTAATAACTTCACTCCACAGCCACATAAGTCCATGTTCTGCTGCCGCACATCATCGAATCATGAGGTGAAGCTACCACAGCTGAAAACGCACCACTGTACCCACAAACACAAGCCTATGAGGATTTACTTCACACAGAAAAGGACATTTTTACTTTACTACAGGATCAATTTGGCCAAAGACAAAAACCAAATTAGAAGATAAAGAGAGTAAATCTGATCATTTCTCCAGACTTTAAATCCTCAGAGCTTAAAAGAGGAAAGAAAAGGAGGAGGAAGAATTCCGTTCAGTGACAAGATATTTTCCACACTGACGTTCTCTCAAAGCGTCACATCTGTTGTAAACCTGGAAAACATTTCTCTTTTCACCTGCTCAACTATCCTGACAGGCAGCATTACATGCAGTTTATACCTGTTAATCAATAATTGTACTCCACTGATCAGATTTGGGCTTTAACAGACATCCATGTGTCAGAATTTTGATCTGCAGGTTAACAAAAAGCAGGAAACACAGACAGATTCACAGACGTGATGCAGCTTCAGCAGCTTGTTCATCTTTTTTTTTTTACAGCTGATTTTCATTCGTGCATCGGTGAATTACACAAGTCACACCATGGGACCCCAGAGAGCATTAAGTATAGACTTCAGATACGTTTAAATTTACAGCTTTTTGAAACATGCAGAACTGGATCCTCCAAATTAAACTTGTTTCCATTTCTTGAACCATTTCTGCTCGAGGAGGTTTGTGTCTGCTCGCCCTCCATAATCTGTCGCTGCTGCACCACTTCCTCAGGCGCTTTAACGGCAGGTCAAAGAAACAGCGGCCTTTAAAAGGATTTGACTTTGACAGCCCTTGTTGTCGTGTATTTTCTGTTTCAACACCGTTAAGGACAAAATAAAGTCTGTCTGACTTTTTGTACACCAGTTTAGAGGTAACAAAGCAAATCAGAGTAAGAATCATCCTTTCTTAATGAGGTGAGGGTGATTTTTAAAAAAATGATTGTGTTCTTTAAGAAGCAGGAAAAAAAAGAAGGTTTAATAATGTCGGATGCTGTGGAGAGGGAGTGTTTTTCAGCGTTATGTGTCTGTAAATTTACGGGCACATGCAGTTCGTCTGCCTGAGTAAGCCGAATGTCAACAGTTAGGATGAGTTATCTGCTCCTTCGGGGTTAAAATGCAATAAGAGACTGTGGATTTGCAGCCAAACAGCCATGACGACAAGACCAGAATAATGCAAGGATGAGTTACCGGAACGCTGAGCTGGTAATAGACAATGTCACAGGCTTTAGGATGAGGCTAACTGTTTTAGAATAATAATAAATTAAAAACATGCACATGCAGAAAGCAGAAATAGAGAAAAGCCACCTCCACACACAAAAGCAGAAAAGCCCTCTCCGAGCACACAAACAAAAACCATGCAGAAGCTGTAGAAACTAAAAGAATGAAAATGATGGATGAGTACTTACTCTGTAATGCTCTGAACCGTGATATTTCCCCCCCATCCTCCTTACCCACAGCCCTCATTTGCTTGCTGATGGCTTGGCAGATTTCTTTGCCGGCTGCGATTTGTGCTTTCTCCCCGAGTAGGCCCCCCAGGGTGGCGCGCAGCATGAAGGAGACACAGCGGCGCGAGTACACAGCCTCGACGTGAGTCTGCGTGGCCCGTGGGTGAGACACCAGGTCCAGAACGTGGGACAGGAATGTGGCAAAGTTGCGCTCCAGCCACTGACCGCCGAGAGTCGTCACAAACACGACGTAGGCCTGAACGAAAAGAGAAAGATGAACGTCCAGCATCTTAAATATAGAAAAAGTGTCCTCTGCATGTTAATATGTCTGCAAATTTGTCTCACCTGTGTCACTCCCACCCGCACCTCCCTGCTGACTGAGCCTCCCCCCTTCAACATCTCCCCTCCGCTCTTCAGGAAGCCAGAACCACCGCGCAGAAAACCTGTGGCCATCAGCTCCAGCACCTCCTCCAGAGTGGCCCGCTTCACGTTCTGACGCATCACTGAGAGAAAAAACCACCAGAAACCGTGAGAAACAGAAACAGTTAGCCGGTCTGCTCCATCATGAAGGTAGAAACGGACTCTCTGACCCACCAGCTGCTTGTTTGGGCATCAGCGCCGTGGCCATGACTGTGCCCAGAAGTTTGGCCACTGCCACCCGGACGCCGTAGTTCGATCCCTCCAGAGCTTTGAAACACAGAGTGGCCACGTTCTCCAGCTCTGTGGTCCACATGAAGACGGCCTCGTTCTGCAGCTCCAACAGACACTGACCAGGAAAGAAGACGTGAGATTAAACCACGTTAGTAACATCCACTAAACTCAGGTACAAGGGCAGGAGTAACAAACTAACATTTATTGTAATGGAATATAAAATAAAATACCTCCATTTACTCTCTCTTCTAAAATTTTCTCAGCATCTGTTTGAACTCATAGTTTCATAGTTTTCAGTTTTTTTACTTCAGCTAAAATATCTTAGTTGAAGTTAAAGTGGGATTTTAAACAAACGGAGGCAACACTGTCCCAAAAACTGGCAAAAATGATGCCTGCACGTGACACAATACACTTGTTTTTCATTTTGCACTTTTCCATTTAAGTGAATTATTAAAATCACAGGAATTTTAAATAATGCATTTGATACAATAAAGTCATTCAGACCTTTTAGTGACTCAGAGATCTGGCGGTAAATCGCTGCATTAGTTGAAATTAGAAAAGAGACGATCTTTCCACTTTAAAACATAAAGCATCTTTTCTGAGCAAAGAACCTTTACAAACATAAATCAAGTTCAACAACAATATGAAGATCTTCTTTTCACCTTCTAACAGCTCACTAATCAGACATTCATCTTGGACCAACCTTCGCCACAGCACAGCGCACAGCCATGGACCTGTCTGTGAGCAGGGAGCGTGCGTTCTTGTAGATATCTCTGTGACATGAAGCTGCAGCTCCACCCAGTCCACTCAGCACCTTCTGCAGGCTGAGGAGGATCTCTCCTCTGCCCTGAGACTGAATCCAAACAGGAAACAAAAGAAAGATTTAAATGAAGGATATGTCCGATTCTGAATGAAAACAATCTTCTAAGTTATCCTTCACAACTTCAGCATTTTAACAAACACTTCCTGCTGCCGTCAGTCCCTTTGTTAAAGTCGTACCTCTGCACTCTTTAGTGCCTTTAACAGATTATTGATGGTGTCTGGAAAGGAGCTCCCCAGCATCCTGCCCATTTTCTCATAAAAAGCTCCAACACAAGCCACCGCAGCACTGCAAGAAAAGATGCTTCATTCATTAGGAGGAAAGTACAGATTCAGTTTTTATTTTAATCAAATAATGAACAATGCAGCGCAGTAATCAGATGAGAACAAATCATAGTTAGAATTTTCTTCATTATTCTCACTTTTACTGTAAAATACCTCCTTTTAAAACATGCCAATGACTTTTATTAAGACCCACTAATGCTCACAGTGTCATAAAACGTTATGAATTAACATTAAAGAGACAAAAAGATTTATGCTACGGGAATGAAAACAGAGTTTTAGGCTAACATTTTGCTACTTTGGCTTTTTGTCATGTGACATAAAAGCAGGTCCCAATTTTTCCTTGACTTGTTTGGCTGTTACAATGACTTCAAAGAAGTGGTCTTGTAAAATTAACCAGCCTAAACTTAATTTAACAAGAACTCTGTTACAAATAAACGCAGGGTCAGGTGTTATCTATGGAACCTTGACCCTCTTGTGTATACACCCCCAACTCTCAGCCTACATGAATCCGTACAGAAACGAAGGGATGATAGTAAAACACTTCATGCTTCTTCACTTGGTGATGGATGCTGTTAATACCAGTGATAAACATGGCATTATATCTGCTCATGTGCTCTTAATCCCACCTTTTAAACATGAAATGTCTTTGTGCGGATTAACATTAGGCTTAACTCTTAATACCCTTGAAGGTGGGCCTACTGTAAACTCTAGTAGCACTGAACACAGCATGGATTTTAATGTAAATGTTATGTGTGATATCCAGCAAAATGGCTTTTGATCATTTTCATCGTCAGCTAATCCAAAAATAACTGTTTCTGAAAGCCCGAAGAGATACATTCAAATATGTCAAAGCAAAACTCCAAATGTTCAAATACAGTCATGACAGACCCTCACACTGAAGAGGCTGAAACCAGGAAATATTTCACATTTATGCTTGAATAATCAGAAGAATAGAGTGTATAAATAGGGATGCTCCCTTGCTCACCCCTTGCATCAATTAAGAGACAGTGGAAGAAGAAGAAGAAGCTCCCGTGATGCATGAGAAGTAAACTCCTCTGTTCGAGTTTTGCCCTTTTGTTTTTTTGTCTTCTAACCAGTGCAATTTTGCAATCACACAATACAAACAAAAACCAGTATGGTACCAGTTTGTCCCTTCTGTGCTGTGGTAGAAACATGCCTGACAAGATAGCGGCAGCCTTCACAGAAAGGGGATTTACTCCAATATAAATACATAAGGTTCGTTTCAAGTCATTAAAAAATTTTTTTCTGTTAAGGGAAGAATAAAAGTAAGCAAATACTGCCCACTGTATCTTTAATTTTCTACCAGGTAATTGTTGAAGCTGTGATTCAAATAAACTGTGCTGTATCTGAAAAGGATCTTACAGTTTAGTCGGCAGGTACGCAGGCGTGTCGTCCTTGCTTTTGATGATTTCATTGCACTTATCCAGAGTCTGGAACACAGTGAAGGTGTCACCGATGCTGTAGAGCGTCGCCAGGTTTTTGGCCAGCAGTTTTCTCGTGGGTGGTCCAGGAGCACTGCTGATTAATCCCGTTAACTGCTCCACCAGCTTCTTCTGCTTCTCCTTCACATCCACCTGCCGTTCAAAGACACAAATGAAGTCATAAAACAGTTCTTATAATGAAATCACACCAAACAAAACGAGAATCTGAGTACTTGCCTTATTTGCTGCAACAAGCACTTTGTCCAAAAACCGCAGCCATTCAAAGATGAAGACCGGCCTCTTCGCCTCGGTGATCTGGGCCAAGGCGTCTTCATTGAGCGTCAGACTGTGAGCCAGCTCCATGATGGCGAGGACCTCTTAACACAGAGCTGTAAACCTGGCCTCTAAAATTAAAAAAAGATCCTCTTTAAGATCCTGTACTGCCCCTCCATCCCTCCATTCTGTCACACATTAAAGGGATATTCCAGCGCAAAATTATGTTAGGGTCAAACCGAGTTACACACCCTGTCGAGAGATGAATGTTGCCAACCGCTTGCTTCTCTAGTTAAACCATAGACTGTAAATAGAATGGACAGAGTCTGCCTCCTCGCTGGGTGAAGCCACTCCGAGAACAGCACCCTCTGGTGACAGGCTGCAGTATAGGTCATAAATCCCACCCTTGCCAGCAAAGCTTATGGAGCTGTGGACCAACTTTAGAAATTTATTACACAAAATTTTAATTTGCTTGTGATGTTGACATGTAGTTACTGTCAGACTGGTTTATGCTCAAGTACACTTTGAGCCGAGCGTCATCACAGCGACTCTCGGCGACTCTCCCGCCGAATGCGCACAACGCTACTGCGCAGCGCTGGTTTCAGGAAATGAAGAGAAATCCGAAAATACCAAGAGGTATTTGGCTTCAAATCCGTATACAGGCGGGAGAACCAAGTTGTCCATAGTATTTACAGTCTATGAGTCATACCAATTTTAGTAACTACTGCACGATAGCAATACAGAGAGTCACGCGCTCAACCAAAACACCACTCTATAGCCACAAATAATGCTCAGAAGGCACCTAACTTCATCAACAGGACATATAGGGTCCTACAAATTGCACTAGCCACCAAACATCTTTTTAACTTTGCCTGATTCCTTTAGCAGAGACTAAACACAACTCACCTACTCTCTAACAGCAGCTGCGTATCTCACCCGAGGGATACGCTGTTTGAGCCAAGCGTCATCACAGCAACTCTCGGCGACTCTCATCAAATCACCATATTAATCATTTTTCACTGCAGATGTGGTAGTTCTTCTGCCTTAATGTCTCGGTCTGATTGTATTTCCATGAAGAAATGATGATAAATGTTCTTCCTTGAGCTGCGGCACCCCGCTGTAGTCCATAATGAACTGGCCCGTTAGGTGCTGTTCTGAGCACTCCTTGTAGTTATAGAGTGGCGTTTTGGTTGAGGTTTGTTTATGGCTCCTCAGACCGCTGTGTATTGCTATCCTGCGGTCGTTACTAAAGTTGGTATAACTAAAGGAAGCGGTCGGCAACATTCATCTCTCGAGGGGGTGTCTAACTCGGTGTTATGGTCTGTTTGACCCTAAATTAATCTTACGCCGGAATATCCCTTTAACAACCATTCAAGATAGAAGTCTAACCATCACAAACAGAGAGCCCCTGACTTCATCAGCTGACTACAGTGAAGTTTAAGGACCAGCTCGACCTGAAACCTTAAAACAGGTTTACTCTATCTGTGGATACCGTCTCTCTCTTTAACCTCTTTAATCTAAACACATCACCTCTCAGGGCTGTTAAAACACTAAAACTGCGTCTTCTTTTTAAATAGAATCTCCTTCAATGATATATATTTGCTGGTTGAGGTAAACTCTCCGCTCCTGTGTTGACAGCTGACATCCTCCAGCTGTTCATAGACGAGCAGGTTAGCAACGGAAGCTAGCTGGTTACTGCGATTAACTTCGACCATTTACTCCAAACTAATCGTGACCACAACTGTATATGAGCTGATAAGAGGTATTTTTAAAGATAATCTTATTTTAAAAAACGCTCATAGAAATCATTTGGTGATATAAACAGTGTAAACGTTAACATCCTACCTGTGTGTCGATAGCCAGGGATGAATGACGACGAGCATCAGCGGTGTCGCATTCAAAGTCGTCCGACCTGAAACAGGGGAACTGTTGTTACGGAAAAAATATTAGTAGAAGTAACCTTTATCAATAATATAGCAGTAATAACGTTTTATCCAAAATCAATCAACTAATGAAAAATAAAATACAAATTATACAAAATTAAATGGAATTAAATAAGATACGGCGTAACGAAACAAAATAAAAAATAAAGATACCATTAAACAAAAAAAAAAAATCCAATAAAATAAAACTGGATCAAGTTAGATTAGAAAAAAAAGTACCTGAAAATTCCAAGTTAATAAGATCATAGAGAAAGAATCAACATAAAACTGTAGGCAGAAGCTTGAGTTTAAAATGTCTAATACCCATTACTTACATACGTATTTGCATGACCTATTCTGTCTGACAGTCTTTTAAGTACTCAGTTTTAATTATACTGGAGGGAAAAGAAGTTTTAAAAATGTCAAAAGCAAAACATTTTGAAGTGTTTTAAACTGAACAAACCAGAAGCAAAATAAGATACAAAAACGAGTTCTAATCCTTGTGAAAATCAAAGCTATTTTATATTATCTTCATTATGTTAAATGCCTTGTATCTAAATATTATAAAGAGCAACATATGAAAAACAAGATTAGAAATCTTATTCAATGGAGAAGTAACCAGATAGCAGTTGGTTGTTAAAATTGTCTTCATCTTTCATATTTTGAAAATATAAGTTGTGATTGGCCTTTTTTCTCTAATGGTATAGGTTTTTATCGTGTGTCTTAAAAAGTCATGTTTTTATTCGGAATAACCTTTATGCTGCTCCGGAAAGACATAGCTGTCATCTACTTTGTTTCTACTCGGACTGTTTCTGTGAAGGAACCAAACAATAGAGCGTATGCAGGGAAGAGAATCCAAACAGACGACCGGTGAAGTTTAGGCTCCCTGCTCCTTTTTTTCAGAGTTTTTAACCTCCAACCGGATAAATAATGTCTGATGAAGAGGAGGACTACATGTCAGATGCCTTCCTCAGTAAAATGTGAGTCTCTTCAGTTTCCTGTTTGTTCTTAAACTTGAAAATTATGAGATAAATCACGTGAGTCTCATGAATTAGAAAAATACTCCTCAGCGAGGCTCCGGATTGAAGAATATTGTTTTATTAACAAACCCGACTTCTTTAGAGCTTCTATGTTGTGAACAATGTTCTGAAAATAAATGTGATGATTTGTAAATTATCTATTATCGTATTTTTTAATGAACACGGTGCAAAGTCAATACATCAAAATAAAAAATCTTACTGTTTCTAAAAGATATATTTTCATTTTGCTTTTCACTTCTTTGCTGACGACCCTGTCATTTATTACTGAGCACATATGATCACTGAAGCTCTCTCAAATCTTCAGCGTGTAATTGTTTCAGATCAGCTTTGTCAACTTTCAGTCATTCATTCTATCTATAACATTAAGAACCGGTACCAGCTGTGATTCTCTCAAGCTTTGTATTCCTGATTCTTTAATTAGCTTCCATTTTGAGTGTATATAAAGCGCTGTGTTTAGTGTGTTTAGTTTCCCCTTGTTCTTCTCTCCATCAGCCAAGATGTGAAACCAGGCGTGAGCATGGTGAGGAGGGTGAAAGAAGCGATGAAGAAGGAGACAAAGCAAAAGGAGATAAACATTAAGAACCGGCAGAAGACCTTCAAGGAGCAGGAGACGGAGAGCAGAGAAACGGCTTTACAAAACTCCATCAGCAACGAGAACAAGGGATTCGCACTTCTCCAGAAAATGGGCTACAAAGCTGGTCAAGGCCTCGGGAAGGAGGGTAAGTTTCCTTTTCTTTATTATTATAAATGTTTATGATTATTTATGTGCACCAATGATTCTCTCTGTTATCACTTCAGGAGCAGGGAGAGTGGATCCGATCCCGCTAAATATCAAAACAGGTAGGAAGTCTAGTTCAACTGTATTTTAGTGTGCAGTCCAGCAGATGGTTCAGAGTTTTTATGGGCTGTTCTCTAAATCAGACAGAGGGGGAATCGGAATGGAAGAAGTGAAGAAGAGAAAAGCTGAGGAAGAACTTGAAAATTATCGACGGAAAGTACGAGCCCAGCAGCAGAACGAGACCAAATCCCTGGAAGACTTTCGGTGAGGTTTTGAGCTGTCTTTGAGATGTGTCACCTCTTGTCTTTTGGGGACAAAATTTTTTTTAAGACTCCGTCTTTAACTCTCTTCTCTTTTATTCCAGATCAAGAGTCCGGACAGAGAGAGAGGAGCGAAAGATCGAAGGAGATCTGAGGAGGAGTCAGCGAGCCTGTGAGCAGCTCGACGCCCAAAAGGTTGGACCAGGTTCACATCACACCAACCAGACATCATGACTGTCGGAGCCAAATCACAGATGCATTAAAAACACAAACTGTAAAATATATAAAATACTGAAAAACACTGAAAAAATTAAAACAGGAATTGAAGCAATTCAGTCACTATTAAACCAATAAGAAAATGCATGAAGCATAATGTCATAAATATATATCAAACATGATATTTCTGTCCTGACCCAGATGATAAAATTGTCTGATCAATGTTACCAAATATTGATATTTCTCTGAAACTATGTGTCTCTCTTGACTTACTGCATCAAAGTTTGTTTTTGTTTGTTTTGAAACCTTCTTTGCCTATTTTGTGTTTTTAGGGCGTCTCTGTCCCCAGAGAGCCCTGGTACTGGCCTAAAGCAGAGTCTGACGATGAGGAAGATGCTGAGAAAGAGGAGGATGAGGAAGAGGAGGAGGAGGAGGAGGTTGTAGAATTAACTGTGAGTATTCATTCACCTTTTTTCTCTTTAGCGGTGTAATGTGTTACCTTGTAATATGAAGCTTAATCAGTTTTTTTGACAAATTATCTGCAAGAGGTCAAGCCTTGATTTACAAGTTTGTTTGGTGTAATATGGTGTAAATGCATCATGTTTAATGTGCTGATTATTCAGAGAGTATTTGATTTGTGTTTCTCATTTACAGTCCTTTGACAAACTACAAATTTTAACATCCTATCTGAGAGGAGTCCATTTTTACTGCATATGGTGTGGGACCACTTATAACGGTGAGTGTGATGACAGCACGGCAGCAGGGTTACTGTCGTCTCTGTCACCTTTACTGATGAACTTATGTCCTTTTCTTTCTGTACAGATGAAGACGACCTGAGCTCCAACTGTCCTGGAGACTCAGCAGCAGACCATGAATGAGCTCAAAAGGGTTCAAATTATCTGCTGTATAATATGTAGAAATGTTTGATGCTAAATCTGCGTTGGTGAATTCAGACAGCATTTTATGATGTAAAAAAGGTATCTTCTTAAATTCTTTGGTTTGTAGGATGCTGTTTTTTTTTCTTACACGGATATGTTTTCATTATTTATAGTTTGGAAAGATATACAAAGTTCCTGTGACATGTTTCAATAATTATTAAACACTTTTTTAGTCGAGGATGTTGTCCTGAAGCTTTTACTTTCTATTTTTTTGTTTTTTAGATTTACAGTGGCATCTCCAATCATCAGTCATGTTGCTGATGGTCTTATCTGCTTTAGGATGTCATGAAAAGGAAACAATATTAATTTTAGTCAATTTTACTGATGTCCAAAAACTCCTCATTGGAGCTTTAATTGCGAAATGCGCAGTAGAAACGCAGTCCAAAGATAAGGTAATTCTATCACAGTCTGCAACTTTTTGCACCAACGCAGAAAAGGATGAATCAATATGTTAAAGTTCAAAATTTTACTCTGTTTATTTCAGTATTCAGTTTCCCTGATATTTTATTACAGAAGTCTGCTCACACTATTCTAAATTTTATAAAATTTACCAAGTTTCTTAATAAAAAGCTATATGTAAGGGAGAGTGGGGTAAGTTGAGCCACCCCTTGTTGCTTTGAAATGGTAAACGAAATTGATCATGTGACCAAATATTTAGGAGATGGGCATCAATTCATGGAGTCTGTGGAGGGTAGAAGCACATGGGTGAAGTGGTTAGACATTAATTAATTAATTTATTAATTTATTTATTTATCTCCTACATCCCTTCTTTGTCCCCAAGCTATCTTTCGTTAACATCTGGAATTTATTTAACCTAGAATTGTGACCTGTGACCTGCAAACGTGCCCCTTCCAGGATACCCCGAGCCAGGTACCATTAAGGAGGCAAAAGAAAAACTCAAGCCCACATTCCACAATTGGTTGCCTCAGACTATAACTGAGAAATACCTCCAGGCATGTTGGTGCGGTACTCCAGATACCACAGTAGTGATCCGAAATATGAAAAATGACCCATCTCTCCCCTTCTATATTTCAGTGCAGAATGGACTATTTTAATCTTGGTTACAGAATACATCATTATTTTCAGACCAGAGTCCGACAGTTGTGATATTTACGAGGACACGTGAACGCATCATGTGCTGTAACGTTGTTCGGGAAAACGAAACCAACGCGAGCCCTCATTGAAACCCGGGTATGGAAGTATGGAGGCGGAATAGACGGAAAATGAGTTTTAGCAATGTTTTAGTCATTTTTAAATTAAATTAATATTGATATTTAAATTGTTGGACTGATAATGGAAGCTGAAAACTACGTCGCTGAACTGAACGGTTACAAACAGAGGACAGGCTCGGAGCTGATATATGAAGACGTCGGATCTGTGGGTCCTGACCACATTAAAACGTGAGTGGACTGGACACATGTCTGTAGTTACATTTTCGATTGATAAAACTATGAAGGGAAGGAGGCGTGAACAGATCCAGGACTTACACATGACGCCCCCCACCCTCCCTTTTAGATTATGTGTGTCGGTTCTGTGTAGGCCTCACAGCATATCAGTTATATTAGTTTATTATGCCCCTGTTAATGTGTAATAAAAGAGGGCCTGAGTGTGCTGGTCTGAACCTAAAGTGGTGACTGAAATATTTCACAGTGAGGTAAATAACCTCACCTGTAGGGTTGTGTTTCCACCTAAAGCACCAGGAACTCTATACCCCTTGTCTCATAAGGTTCCTCCAGACTATAGTTTGTGTTTCCATGCAGGTCTTGAGACCGGGGAAGTTAGTTGTTGTTGTTTTACAGACATCTGCATTGATACATTTTGTTAATCAGGCTCCATGCAGAGGGACGGGGAGATGTGGACTTGCATCTTATGCTACTCCATAGCTTTGGCACGGAAGAGTAAACCAGGACTCAGAGCTACTGCAAAACTTTTCAGTGTAGAATCTATATTAATGGGATATTCCAGCGTAAAATTAAGTTAGGGTTAAACATACAGCAACACCGAGTTAGACACCCCCTTGAGAGATGAATGTTGCCGACTGCTTGCTTCTGTAGTTATACCAACTTGAGTAACAACCACAGGATAGCAATACACAGCGGTCTGAGGAGCCATTAACAAACCTCAACCAAAACGCCACTCTATAGCCACAAATAATACTCAGAACAGCACCTAACTTCATCAACAGGACATACAGGGTCACAGCCATAGTACTAGCCACCAAACATCTTTTTAATTTTGACTCATTTCTTTAACAGAGAGACTAAACACAACTCACCTACTCTCCTCTAGCAGCCGCTTGTTTGTAGCGAGACCTCAGGCCAGTCCATTACAGACTACAGCGGGGTGACGCAGAAATGATCATAATTGTTCTTCCTTGAGCTGTGTCACCCCGCTGTAGTCCGTAATTGACTCGGAACATCTCTCTCTTGGTTTCTCCCTTGTCCTGTGAGATCTTGTTTAACGTCGTTTTTTGATTTTTCTCAGATTCACGGTCAGAGTTGTCCTTAATGGGAAGAAGTATCCTGATGGAGTGGGTAACAACAAGAAGGAAGCCAAAAAGAACGCGGCTAAAAACGCCCTGAAAGCCTTATCTGAGGAGCTGACTGAAACTGTGAGATTGTCACTCGCTTTTGTGGATGTTTGACTCAGATTTTTCAAAGTATGGACTTTTCATACACAGTGTACATGTCCTTGAGTTATATTTGTTGGCATCTCAACAGACGGACAATGCAGCAGAAGCTTCTTTCACGTCTGTGCCTCAATCAAGTAGCAATGCGGTCAACTTCGTATGTTGGCTCAATGAATATGGTCACAAGAACCGACTCGATATAAGAGCCGTGGAGTCAGCAAAAGTGGGAGGAAATACTGCTATGCAGTAAGTCGTGATTGTGTCTGTTTAAGTCATTATTGGGACACTTGTCAAAAACGAATCAAATCTAACTGGTATGATACTTCATTTTGCAGCTTTGTGGTGGGTGATAAGGAGTATCCAGTTGCTACTGGGAGAAATAGGAAGGAAGCTAAGGAGGAAGCAGCTAAGCTTGTTTATAATGAGATATGTGGCAGTCAAACAACAGAGGTGAGTACAAACAATATCTAAAATGTTGAATTAATTTAAAACACATTAAAAAAGTTGAGACAGGGACCAACAAAAACCAAACAAATCTGTAACTCTAATATCAGGACGTAGACACACTCAGGTCTGCTGTGAAGTGTGACGTTTTCATCTTGGGTTCTGTGGGACGCCCTTTTGGAGACTGTCTCTAGAGGCAGCTCAAGGAACTGCAGTTTTGGTACTTCAAGAACGGTGTAATTCTACAAACAGAAGTTTCTCCTGGCTTAACCAAAGCACTAAAAATGTATGCGATGATTTAACACTAGCTGAACCTTCATCAGATGTTACTTTTTATTCAAGACAGGAGATGAGAAAAGCGGCGTCGCACCAAACCAGCAAGAGGGGGAGGCGAGCAGCACCAGGTGAGCACAAACACAAGCAGCTCATTTCCTCTGGCTGACTACGAAGCGTTTAGACGAACTTCTGATTGGTTTTACAGGGATAAGATGACGAGTCCAAGTGTGGTACCTAAAGGCAAAGATATTACAGATACAAATTACACGGCTCTCCTCAACAACTACTGCCAGAAAACAAATCGATTCCTTGATTATGTCTTAGAGAAAAGAACCGGCCCCCCCCATAACCCTCAGTGAGTACAGCCGGTCTGTTACATGATTTATAAAGGAGAATTATTCACACTCTGACCTGAATTTTCTTTTTTGCATTGAAAGGTTTTATTACAAAGTAGTGATCGATAAAAAGGAATACCCCGTAGGTGAGGGTAAGAATGTCAAGGAGGCTAAAAAGATCTCCGCTCAGCTTGCCTGGTCTGCTCTCCAAGAACAGTCGGATTTCGACAGCAAGGTTTGTGATCTTTCTGTTGTTTTTTTCAGACAGATTTATTTATTTATTCACGTGTTTGAATACGTAAATCAATACCATTGTTCCCTTTTCTTGTTGCCTGTGACCTAAAGATAAACATGACCTGAATTTGCCGAAGTTTCTTCAGATTCAGAGGAAGTTTTCTGGGATAAACTTGAGAGAATTTACATGTTTTACTGCTTTTGTGAGAGTCAATAGAGAACTGCTAAACACAGCAACAAACGAACGCTTTACTCCCCCTTTCAGTTATCTCTCGGCTCTGTTGTCTCAGAAGAAGTTGCAGCCCGGCCATCCACGCCATCGAGCACGCCATCGAGCATGTCATCGAGCATGTCATCGAGCATGCCATCGAGCATGCCATCGAGCACGCCGTAAGACATCCTCTGACACATACTCCAGACTATTGGGGAGTTTTGCGTTTTAATAACATGACTTGTTATTATTATTTTTGAAGCTTGAGCTGTGACAAAAAGGCGGGTGTGCCAACACCTTGGAGTGACTCCTGTATCGTTTTCACAGAATCACCAATTCCTTCCAAAGACCAGGTTTGTTTTACCTGTGCGACCTCTCATGCTTCCTTCTGTCCATAACTCCGTCTTCGCAGAAATCATTTTTATGTTGCTTGATTTCATCTTTAGAGTCAAAATCTTTAAAAAATAAAAAACTTTAACATAGCTGTTATACTCTGTTGTAATGTGCAGATGTGTGTTTTCACTGTTTAGTACTCTGCATTTCTCTAAGCCTCAGACTGTGAGTTAATTTACCTGATTATAAAGGATTTTATTTTCTTATTTCTCTTGACAAAGATTCAGAGTCCCGGTGCAAAGTCTAAAATAAAGTAAGACCTCTTTTTCTACCTGCTGTAACGATGAACAACATTTTATTTCTCCTGATCCTGTCGCTGATTGTTTGTCTTAATCTCTCATTAGACTTGCAGCAAATTTCAAAAAACCTGTCGACCAAAGCAAAGAGGTGAAGTCAAGATACTAATCATGCTAATTTTGGTGATTACATTTTGAATCTCTATATCATGACTTTATTTTACTTGTTTAGGATTGCGTCAACTTTAACAAGGGGGACAAAGTCAGTAATCTGAGTGCAAAAGCTGCAAACCCGTCAGTCACCTCCAGGTTTGGAAAACAGACCTTCAGTCAAAACATGATTTTTTTGTTTTTTGCTTGTGTATTTTGTTTCATGCATTTAAAAAAAAACAAAATTTTGGGGGGATGCAACAATTTGGAAATTGCTCAATAGTTTCTGCTGATCTCTGCAGGTTTACGTCAGAGTTTGACTCCATCATGCGTCTCGGCAAGGGAGGCTACGGCCGAGTTTACAAGGCGCGAGAGAAACTGCTGGACAAAGATTGTGCTGTGAAGGTCGTCCGCTGGAGAACGTAGGTCAAGTAAACATCAGTTTCATAAGGATGAGGAGGCTGAGTGAAACATTTTGCAAATCTTCAAACTTTTGTTTCATTAAAAATAGTGAAACTACAACAAGTGAGACTGAAAAACTTGTTTTATGAAACCTTTTACATCAAAAGGTGAGTAACATGACATTCAGAGAGGCGGAGTCTCTCAGAAGTAAAGACAGGAAGAGGTTCACTGCTTTGTGAGAGACTGCGAGGCTTAATAGTTGAATAATTTCAGAATTAAGATAAATAATTCTTAAACCTCATCATCTGAATAATGTTTTTTTTTCCTTGTATGATCAGAAAAGCTCTGAGAGAAGTGGCGGCATTATCAGACCTCAATCACCGCAACATCGTGCGATACTACACGTGCTGGCTGGAGGATACAGAGTACCAATCGGACAGCGCAGCAGACAGTTACAGCAGCTCACCGTCAGTCCCAGAGACTCCTTCAAATCCTTACTGTGCTTTAATATCAAACTCAATGAAGGTTTATCAGGTAACAGTGTCTCTGTTCCTTCTCTGAAAGGTCGACCGGTAACACGGACTTGAAGTTCCTCTACATTCAGATGGAGCTGTGTGACAGCAGAACTCTAAAGGCGTGGATCGATGAGAAGAACATGCAAAATGTCAAGAAATCTATGAAAGATTTCAAAAGAAGAGAGGAGAGCCTTGGTTTATTTCAGGACATAGTCGATGCAGTCAAGTACTTTCACTCTCTGAAGTTCATCCACAGAGACCTGAAGGTGAGACTGAGAGGATAAAATCCTGCATGGTGTGAAATCAGAGTGAAGCTAACATGCTTCTTTGTTTGTTCTCCACCGTTAGCCTGCAAACATCTTGTTCGGGCAAAACGGGGCGGCGAAGATCGGAGACTTCGGTCTGGTCACCGATGAGAGTGATGATGCCGGGAACCTGATGGAGAGGACTGAGCGTAAAGGGACCCCCTCGTACATGGCTCCTGAGCAGGTCAGGTCTAGACTCATGTCAACTTCAGTCTCCCTGCACACTCTAACTGAAAAAGTTGAATTCACATATATTCTAGAGTTTGGTCTTATAAATTTCTTTTTGCTTCTTTCTGACAGAGATGTGGGAAAACGTACGACCGAAAAGTGGACATTTTTGCTTTGGGGTTGATCTATTTTGAGCTCCTCTGGAACTTCTTCACTGGCATGGAAAGGAATGAGGTGAGTTTCTTCTGTTTCATCCTAAATGAGTCTTGGATCATTCTCGGTGTGAACAAGTTCATTTTTATTATTATCATCGTGGAGACGAATGGATTAGCAGCTGGTTTGGTCATGAGATAACTTTGGCTGCGGTTCAGGCTTGTCTGATAAATGATATTTGCAGTCCAAGACAGTGAGTGTCTTACCTCAGGATATTTTATATGAAAAAAGAAGCTTTGGCAACTAATCATGCAAGTTTTGAACCCTAAAAACCCCCTAAAAATTCAGTAGCTCCTGTGTTATTCCACCTTATGTCTTTATGCGCATCTGTCATGAATTGCAGGTTTGGGACGGTGTCAGAGATCAGAAACTTCCTCAAGGATTTTCACATAATTTCCCTCTCGAGGTACACCAAACTTCACTCTTTCTCTTTTGTTTACTGATCATGGATTAACACTGAAGTTATTTTTGATCGGTGAGGCTGCGTAAAAGAGTCACATGACACGTGAGAAGCACCTCAATAGAGAAAATGCCTGCATGCTCTTTGTCTCAGATTTTATTTTGTTTCGTTGCAGAGCCAGATAATAAAGTCCATGCTGTGTGCGAAGCCAGAAGACCGACCTGACGCAATTCAGCTGGAGACGGAGCTGAAGGAGTGCTCTCGTATTCTCATGGCTATCAAGGATTCTCATCTTGACAATAGGACCGTCTGATTCTAACGGGAGGTCCATGTAGATTCTCCTTCATCCAGGTCATGGTTATCTTGAAGACTCCAAAAACAGGCAACTGGACTGTGTAGAGTTGAGAAGACGTTTCGAACTCTACACAGTCCAGTTGCCTGTTTTTGGAGGCTTCAAAATTCTAACGGGAGAGTACGAAAACTACTTGTAGCGATCATTTTATCACCATTTCAGCTAATAAGTCAACATAAAAGCAAACACTCATACCCGGGAAGAAAGATTATGGTTTCCACCTCCTCTCGGTGAACAAAATGACACCAAAATAGTGCAGCCTGTGCAGAAAGGATCCTCTGGAGGAGCTGTTGTGTTGACGTCTGAACTAGACTAGTACTTCTTAAAATGCTTTTCCTTGCACCTTGTTTACCTTTGGCGATTTTCTACGTGCGCCTTATGAAAAAAATTGTACACCCAACATTAATGCACTTCTTATTATCGGACAATGGTTTAACCATGTAGAAAAAAAGACTGACAAAAATCTGTTCTTTAACATTTTAAAGGCCGGTTTCTTGTTTATTAAGCTCCTGGAACATTTCCCTACATACATCAGGGCCTGTGTCCACTGACAACTTTTGTTGACATTGACGATAATCACAAGGCTCCATAAATTAATCATTTTTAAACTGAAATGCAGCAACATACAGCACTGCAGGACTCTGAAGTTGCTGAACTGCATTGGTTTGCACAGAAAATAGGTGCTGCATTCATGAAATTACTGTTAGTGGACACAGGCCCTCGTGTTGCTGATTGAAACTAAAATTATGAAACACTGAATACAAAATATTGATATTGAAATGATTCAGTTTTTCCCTCATACATTGCCTGATCAAAACTGGACCATGAGGCCTCTGTTACTCCATGTCTTTAGTGTAAAATGCACAAAGGGCAGATTTGGAGCTCTTATACATGCAACGCCTAAAAGCTGTGGAAAATAGCACACTGGGACACCAAAATCATGGGGTTCAGATTTCGGCCGCCTCTAAATGAATTTCCCTTTGGGGACCAATAAAGTTAATGTAGATCTGTATGGACCTCTTACAGTGTTGATAACCTTGTGGTCAAATGACTCTAAACAAGTTGCAGATTAATCTACAGGTCGTCTCTCTACAAACTGGCATGTTAGTCCCCCTGAGTTTGAGATCAGATCAGTTATACAGAAATAGCAGACCCTGGGGTGCCGTTATGATTCAGTAATAGTAGCTGACCTTCATTTATCTCCTTTTTCTTATTTTTAGTGCTCCACAGACATATACAGACAACTAAGCAGTGGAATAACTACCTTTATTCACCTGACTGCTTCATAAAACCAAGTACACAATGGATGACAGGAAACCATTCAGTGTAAATCTCTGCAGAAAAGAGAGGAAACCCTTTTAAGAATCTTGGCCTGCACAAACTTTTGAAGATTAATTAATAGGGATGCATAATATTGGATTTTTGTTGATATTTGGTGTGCAAACTCATTGCAGCTGATATAGACACCACTACTCATCCAAGTACATCAGGATGTTTAGAATGACAGGTCCTTGGACATTAAATTAAGGGATTGCTGTTTTACTCCTTCCATCTGTCTGTTCCTGACACTTTAAATAACTCATATACAGCTGAAAACTTCTGTGCATAAGCTGTCATTGCATGCTCATAATGTATATCATCCATATCAGCAAAACTCTGATCTATAGAATATGAACTTTTCAGCTTTAATCTGCTGATACTTGATGTGCCTGTAAAACCCTGCATCCCTTTTAATTAAGGCAAAATGATGATCATTTTAGAGTGCTAAAATTGCAGTGCCATGCAAAAAAAAAACAAAAAAAAAAAAACATAAATGTGGAGTTGCTGCTAATAGTTGTTTCAACTAAAAGAAATGGTCATCAAAATGCCAGTATCTGACAGCCTGACATTGTAACTTCAACCATTTACTAAAAACCTGTCAATGATGTTTTAAATGGCTCTTGTGATGGAATAATGTGTTTAAAGAAAATGGATTTGGATTTTATTTTTTAATTTTCAGAAATATCACGTCCTTAATTACATTGTCAACTGGCCATGAGATATTTTGCTCCATGTTTGAATGTGTTTACATTAATGTCATGTCATAATTGGTTATTTTAATACTGTCTTGATTGCACTATAAAACTTTTGCTGTTTTTTGTTTCATTTTTTTAATTAAAGTCTGTCATTTTAATGACTTTTTTAAACCAAGTTTGTCACTGTTATTCTGATGCCTCTCAATGACCGACTTCCTAAAGTGAGATTTCATCATTTCCTTACCCTCAGTTACAGCCGAACCGGCAATCGAAATTTTGTGTTATTGTCCTTCAGGGCCACCGTAGCTTCATATCATAACAGTGACTGGTTTACTTTCTGCAGAGGGAGTTTGATTCATGAACCCAGGCTGAAAAAAAAGAGCTTTTGGCAGCAGATGAACTGTTCAACTGTTAAAGTCAAACTATCAGTAAAAAAAAAAAAGATGCTGTTTCCGTCAATAGTTACACTTTCAGTTTCAATTATGATACCGCGATGAAACGACATGACTGCGCATGATTCCGTTTCTTTAGAATCGAAACTTACTAGTTTTATATTGAGCAGGATCCAAACAGAGGGCGCAGTGTGGCAGTGGAGAGAGGAGAAGAGGAAACAGACTGATAACCCGAACTTTTCTTCTTAAATTGACAGTTTATGTGAGCTAAACTACAAGAAATCGTCATTAAAAATGGACCGAGGAAACTTCGTCGCCAGACTGAACGAGTTTGCACAAGCCGGACGATTTAAGCTTCACTATGAAGACCTCGGCTGTACTGGACCGGACCACAATAAGACGTGAGTTGGTTTAAGACCAATGCATTCGAGATATAACTTTAGATTATCAGCCTGATATCACCATGTTTGTATTACTATGCAAACTTTAAACTATGGCAAAGTTTTTTGGCTGGCCCTAAAACAGCTTTATATTAATCCTGGTGTTTGAATACTCACTGAAAGGACGAACAAAACCACCCTTAATAAGTTTGAGCAATTTACTAATTAACTTATAATTACTGGGGGAAAAGGAGCTGGATGGTGGCAAGTAATGTGACCAGTATGTCTTCTGTTTTGATTTGTTTCAAGACAAATATTCATGATAAAGAAGATATTTTTCTCTTTGTATGAAAATAAAGTAGAATAAGGATGTGTGTTTGTTTTGTTCTGTCACTGTTACACAACAAAATCCTCCAAGGCGGCCCTGTGTGCAGGGAGAGGCAGTGTTAAAGTGCTTGAACCGGTTAAGGGTGCAAAATATTTAATATGTGGAAACAGCAAACAACATGGATGATTATCACCCCCTGGTGGATCAATATGAAGATATATTGGTGTATGTGGTGCATTCAAACTGCACTTCACTTGAATATGTTTGTTTTTTCCTCAGATTCACCATGCGGGTGGTCTTAGATGATAAATCCTATCCTGATGGTTTCGGGAAAACGAAGAAGGAGGCAAAGCAAAATGCTGCTGAAAATGCCCTTAAAGAGTTAGAAGAGAAAACCTCGGACTCAGTCAGCTCCGTAAGATTCCTCTCTACTTGATTTAAAAAACTGAAAGAAATCAGAGTATCATAAAAAAAAATAATTCTTCTGTTATTTAATTAAAATCCATTTACAGGTGCAGATAAAGAATTCAAAAGTTCATTTTTCCTTAATTAAAAAAGTGAAACTCACACACAAAAAGACATATTTAATGACTTTTCTTGGTTTGAATCTTGATTATTACGGCTTTTAGCTGACAAAATTAAAAACTCCATTATCTCACAACATCAGGAAATCACAAAACACCAACAAAAATGGATTTAAAACACAGAAATGCGGACATAATGGAAAATTACATTCATTTTTGCACCGAGTCTTTGGTCAGGACTCCTTCTGCATGAATAACTGCAGCTCTGTACTTTTGGTTCTGGTGTTTCTCATCTTGACAAATATCCAATAGATTCTTTATGGGGGTCAGCTCAGGCCATTTGACTGGATGATCATTCCCTTATTTTCTTTATGCTGTTTTCGTTTTATTGTACTAACTTTCTTGATTATTTATAAGTTAAATGTCTAGTTCAGTTTGTACGATTTTTGTAATTTTCTTCTAGTTTTTGTAATATTTCATGTTTAATATTTACTGGAGTCAAACTCCTTGTATGTGTACACCAATAAAGATGATTCTGATTTTTGTATATTTCATAAACTGTGCAGATAAATGTGAAATTGTAGATATTGAAAAGTAAAATACTCATCTAACATGACTTTATCCTCACACAGAGAGGAAACCTTCCAGCTGCTCATTCAAAGAGTTCAGTCGACATTAACTACATATGTTGGCTGAATGAACACGGTCAGAAGAACAGGGTTCCTATACAAGCTGTGGAGTCTACAGGAGTGGGGCCAAATTTTGCCTCTTTGTAAGTCACCATGCTGCATCCTTCTTTACTAAAGTTACTGCGTCAGAATTTGAAATAAGTCCGATTTTTTTGTGGAATCAGCTGCTGTTACTACAAGGTTGGCGATAAAGAGTATCCTGAGGCCACTGGGAAGACAAGGAGGGAAGCCAAAGAGAAAGCAGCCAAGATTGTATATGAGGAGAAACATGGCAGGAAGTCCTCACAGGTGAGCGAGATAGATCACTTTTCCTGGCTTAATTATCTGCTTAATTATGTATTATCTCAACATAGTGCCCCACATATGCACAGTATAGGCTGTGAATCTTTCACCCACTGTTGTCCACAGTAGTAGAACAATCAGTTCAGCCACTTTAAGTCAAACAGTCCCCTTCTACTTCTGAGACACAGCTTAGACTCCAGCATTCATCACAGCTAGTTTTTAACCCCTCCTGCCACACATGATCTCTTTCCATCTTTCTCATACAAAAATTTAAGTTCAGCTTCATGTTTTCCTCGTTCTCTGAGATAATAGTTGGAGAAGTGTCCTTCCTGCTGCTTTTGTTTAGCAAACTTGACTGATCTAACAGTATTCAGGGGTCCCTGTGTCCTCCACCACAGTCGTCACTGAATCAGGCGTTTCAATAGAAGTTTTATGGTAAATTCAGTTATCAGTATTAAATCAGTCATTTTCCTGTGTTAGGGTTAATAAGTGACAGTTTTTGCTATATGGTTGTAATTATTTTTGTCGTAATTCCAAACGTCTTTTCTCTCTATTTCAGGATAAATCAACTGTTCCTGAAAATGGAGCATCTCCCAGGTTATCAGCCAGGTAAGTCACATTGTAAGACACCTGTAGTCATGTATAATAATGCAGTAATACTACATAAGCTGTACTCATGTCTTTACTTGTGTTAATTTACTCAGGGGGTCTAATGGACTGTCAGCCCAGAGCTCAACATCCAGCACCAGTGACTCAGTCGTTTTCGCTGGTTTATCAAACCGTCAAGGAAACCAGGTGTGATTCCCCCCCAGTAAAATATCTATCAGACTTTTAAATCTAAAACGGACAGCAGACCAGGCCTGCGTTGGAATCCTAAAACATAGATGTGGTTAAACATCATGAAACATAAAGGATAAGAATTACATTCATGTGATTTACAATATTTTCAACCTCATAAAAGAGTGATTAATTTTTCTGTAACAAAGAAATGTTTTTTTTTATCGTAGATGTTCTCAAGGTCATTAGACGACGGTACATCCAGCAGGTAATTATCACCAGCTTCACTCTTACAGATACACTCATGATTTAAATTAGTACAGGCCTAAAATCAGATTGTTGAGCCTATTTTTCGTTTGTCCTCCTCCTAGAGAGTCTTTGTCATCGTCATCAAGCATGCAGAGAAACAGATCCAGCTCAGGAGTATTCACTAATTCATCCGGCTCTTCCTTGGATGAGGTTTGTAACTCCTGTTCAACATTAAAAATGTATAATCAGCTTACATTAATGAGACATTATTATCATATACCACAAAACCACAGCCAAAGGTATCTCATGACGCCTGACATGAAAAGGTTTGGTTTCACTTTTAAATTTTAGATCGTACATTTGCGGTACATTTCCCCTCCTTAACTAACCACCAACATTAGCTGCGGTGTTCCTCAAGGTTCAGTTCCAGGTCCGATTTCATTTTTAAGTGCTGCCACTTGGCCAAATAAGTCAACTCCAAAATTTAAATTACAGTAACTCTGAGAGCTGTAACAGGCCTATAGTGTCTCATTGGGCTTTTTAAGGTCAGCATGTAGACAGTATCAGGACCGTCTCTGAACGTAAACCTAGAGAAGCTCCTGAATGAAGTGAGTGTATTTTACTGTAATTCATTATGTCCTAACATTTTCTTTCTAGAGCTGATCTTATAAGGGTTATATAAAGGAGTTTTTTTTTTTTAAAGGCCCAAGCCGTGAAAACGTCCTCAGTTGTCGTTCATGTTGACTGTTTCTCGTCATGTTTTGAAAGTTGTTTTGCGATTAATTATGGCGTGCATTACACATCCTCTTTAATTTCGTATGTCTGTTTAAATTCTAGACTTCAGCACAGACAATCAGAGCAGTTTTTTAAAACCATCTTTATATTTTCTCTCTTCATTATCGAAGGTTGGTGTCAAGAGCAAAACAAAGGGAGCTGGTCATGATGAGACAACGCCAAAGTCAAGGTATTAAACTTTCACATGAGACTCAAACTCATTTGATCTGAAATATTTGGGTTTATCATCAGAAACTTGAAGCATTTCTACCTTTTGACAGGTTTACAACAGAGTTTGATTCCATCGAGGTGATCAGCAGTGGATCTTTTGGTTGTGTTCACAAAGCAAGACATAAATTAGAAGACAAGTTCTTTGCGGTGAAGATTGTCCTCAGTGAGGAGTAAGTTTGAAGAAGCTAGGTTTCAATTTTAGCACGTTTCTGGAAATCCTTACTCTGATTTATTCTCTTTTCCCAAATTGATCAGGAAAGCTCTTCGAGAGGCACGAACACTATCAGGCCTGCAGCACAATAACATCATAAGATACTACACAGTCTGGATGGAAGACTCAGGATACCAGTGGGATGACTTGGTCGGCAGCTCCAGCTCTTCACGGTAAGCCTTTTGTCTCTCATGAAGAACAAAGGTGAAATATTTTTTCCTCTGTTTTTAAACCATCTTCTGTCCTCTGTAGATCTAGAAATACCTCACCGGAATCTGCCAAGTATCTCTACATTCAGATGGAGTTATGTCAAACTAAAACCCTCAAAGACTGGATCGAAGAGAAGAACGCTCAGTCTCTGCCGGAGCTCAAGAGAAGAGAGGAAAGTCTGAAGATCGCTCTGCAAATATTCAGAGGAGTCGAGTACATCCACGCTGAGGGTCACATCCACAGGGACCTCAAGGTGAGAGCAGAACTTACCAAGAGCTTGACGTATGTTCATGTATGAGAATTTGAGGAGCAAAGAAGAGCCTTCTCTGAACTTCTTCCACAAAGACCTACATGATAAGAGCTGTTTCATTTTGACTTTTTCTCTCAGCCTGCAAACATCCTTTTTGGTTTGAAAGAAGAGGTGAAGATCGGGGACTTTGGTCTGGTCACCGTAGATGATTCCCTGATGGACAAAACATCGAACACTGGGACTCTAAACTACATGGCTCCTGAACAAGTGAGAACTGAGCCGTTACTCTATGACGGTCAATTAAAGGTTAAAAAAAAGCTGCTTCAGTCGTTCAGTTCAGTTCAGTTCAGTTCAGTTTATTTTTGGTCCCCAAAAATGTGACAAAATTGTCACTGTTATGTCTCCATCACAGTTACTCGGGGGGAACTATAACCGAAAGGTGGACATATTTGCTCTGGGATTGATTTACCTGGAGCTCCTCTGGAAAGTATCCTCTGGCCACGAGCGAGGAAACGTGAGTCTGAAACACAACAAAGAAAAGCGTTTTTGTTCACGTGAATGATGTTCATACTGCTCAAACCTGACTGGCCAAAAAGGAGCTCTGTTAATCCTCTCTGTCTGGACGACTGGACGTTTGTCTCAGTTCAGAGTTTGAGGATAAAATACATTTTCAGAGACAGTCAGTTCATCTTTGGATGATGGAGTCAGTCTCAATCTTCCTGAAATTCTGTTTTAAACCAGTAAATTAAGTTTCAGTGCACTTGTGAAAGCTTTGTTTTAGAAATTAACGTCATGGGATTCAAATACAAATCTCTTTTCTTCTCTTATTGCCGCATGAACTCCAGGTTTTCACAGGAGCCAGACGACAGAGGTTTCCTGAAGGTTTCTCTCACCGATTCTTTGAAGAGGTAGATTCTCATTTTCTTATTTCCTGTCTGTGGTTTTTCTAAAGCAATCACAGAAGCTGCCCTCAGAGCAGCAGGGAGGCTGACACAGAGAGAGAGAGAGAGAGAGAGAGAGAGAGAGAGAGAGAGAGAGAGAGAGAGAGAGAGAGAGAGAGAGAGAGAGAGAGAGAGAGAGAGAGAGAGAGAGAGAGAGAGTGAGAGAGAGAGAGAGAGAGAGAGAGAGAGAGAGAGAGAGAGAGAGAGAGAGAGAGAGAGAGAGAGAGAGAGAGAGAGAGAGGGGGTATCTGTGTCACATTATCGGAGCATTTATCAACATGTGACCAAAGCTTGTATTTTATTTTCTTCTTTTCTCAGATGGAAATCATCAAATCGATGTTGTGTGAGAAGCCAGAGGATCGACCGGAAGCGAAAACACTGAGAAAACAGCTGGAGACCAAAAACCGAAAAACACTCAAAGAGGACCACACTATCTGATTGTCACAGGGGAGGAGTTTTAGGAAGCAATTCTCCTCTTATGTTTGAGGAAATTTAAGATCTTGAGCTGCTTTTCTGTGGTGGAGGGCTGTGCAACTAAAAATGTGTCGTAAGACTTCATAATAAGCCTTAAATTTAAGGGTTTGACACTCAAAAGTAAGAGACTCTTACATTTGGTTCCAGTGTTAAACTTTGACAAGAGGTAAATGACGCTTAGCTTGAATATTTCATTGAATGTTTGAATTTATTAAACATTTAGAAGTGACATTTTATTCTTAAACCACGATAAAGTGATCATCAAATGCACTTGGGCCACTGGAGAGGAATTTTTAGAGGTTTGTTGTAATACAAAGTATTTCAGTCTCTGAATACTACTTCTCTACTACAATGGTACTACAATGGTAACTATGGTAACTTACGACGATCGAAAGAGGGGAGCACTTTGCACAAAAACACCTTAAGAGTAACTCTGACCATCATGTCTGTTTAAAGGAATAAACAAGACTCATTAAAGTCAGATCTATCATGCAGTAATGATGTGAAGTTGATATCAAAAGCCTCATTAGTCTGACGCGGCTCTAGGTGAGCAGAGATGTGTGCAGTCAGTCTAGAAATCTGGTTTAGCTGTGTAAGACCACTTTGGAGGACCTCCTTGGTGACGGTTAGTGGAGCCGGGTGATGAAATGACACTCAGTGTACTGAACCCGCTTCAGAGTACGGCCCCTGGTCTCTCTGAGAATCTCTGACAGGAGACAAACTGTCCTGTTCATCGATAAAAACCTTTAAAAGGGATCATATGCTACAAGATTTAATATCATGAAATGAAAAAAAAGAAATGATTTTTAAATGTGACTTTTTTTCATCATGTCTGTCAAGCTTTCACTAAAATAATCCTGTGCTGGAATGTTTCCATTTCACGGTTGCTGCAACTGGTTGAATGTAAAGATGTTTTTACTGCTTTGTACTGAATATGTTGCAAAATAAAACTCAAGTTTCATGGGGGCAGAAGTGTCGTTCATTAGGGCCTGGTCCCTTTAGTTTTTGCAGCTCGTATTGTTTGAGCGCTGTGGCCTGCACGCTCATTATCAACCATTTTACTCTTACCTGGATGTGTTTATAGAAAAAAAGTGTATATTCTCATGGACATGTCACATCACCATACTTTATTTTTCATACTGTCTTATCCAGCATGACTTTTTTCTTCTATCAGCAGCAGGAGACCTTACTGCACAAAACAGTAAGTATATGGTAAAAAGTAAAAGGACTGTCTTAACTTATTATACATGTGCAAGTGTGAGTATTGAAGGTGCTGGAGAGTTTAAAGGCAGGGGTTTGATTAAGAAAATAAGACATAAAAGTCAAAGGTTTATAAGTAGAGCTATAACACTTGCACAAGTTCATTCCATTCTTTTTTCATAGGGGCAGACAGCTCAGATGTTGGTGCCTCCAGGTTTATGGTTGTCTTTTCTTGTGTGGCCTGCAGGGGGAGCTGTGGCTCTGTGTAGCTGCAGACTCCAGGCCTGCTCAGCCTGTGGGTGACAGAAAAACCCAAAACTGAGGGAGCTGTGCGACATTTAATCAAGCCTCAGGCGAACGCTTGATGATCAGTATCTCTGTGGAAAACAGCAGAAAGGAGTGCGAAATACAGAATCCCACACGGTCACCTGGTCGCACTATCTCTGCATTATCATGGACACAAATGAGCTCTGCATGTCCACCCAAGAACAGGCCCACTGGAAAAATCCACAGACATTAATTAGAGATCTCACTGCAGGTGGACTGACAACTTTCATGTAGATTGAATTTCCAAAGCGTGATTATTTAGAATTATTCAGAGATAATCTGTCTTATTTTGTTCCTTCATAAGAAAGAAATATGGATTTAACCAACTTAATCTAGATGTTTAGAGGTAATCAAGTCTGGATTTCTTAGCTCTATGTAAATAATAATAATAACAATAATAATAAGAAGAAGAAGAATAAAAACAGTGCATCAGATTTCATATAGCGCTCTATCAGAGACCCGCTTTACCTTGGATACATCATTTTTGCTCACACAGTCACACCTTGGAGGGGGTAAACTACCTTAGTAGTCACAGCTGTCCTGGGGCAGAATGACGGAAACATGGCTGCCATTTTGGGGGGGAATCGAACCGCCAACCTTCCACAGGGGGCACCAAAATCATCACAAAATACCCCAAATATCATGACCGGCCAACCGCCGTAAAGGGTCAAAATAATAAGTGAATATAAGTGAACTATACTTTTTTTATCAGGTTTTGTTTCTGAAGTCCAGCCTCTGCTAGGATCAGGATTAGCTTTTGCTTGATCTAATCTGATTTAGCAAAAAGCCTACTCTCTTTCCAGTCAGTCAATAACGTCACAGTCCAGGCAGAGCAGAGTTTTCATTTCAAAAGTACAGAATCGAACCATTCTGTAACCCTTCACCTGTTACTTCAAATGACTCAAATTTGCACCAGTAGTGTCCTGATCCAGACCCTTTTAGTGTTTGTGCAGAGAGGGAGGTTTTTGGTGGGAGGGGCTTACTTACAGACACGTTAACCTGCTTTAGCTAGCAAGTTGTTTTGGGCTCGTTTGAGTACCTGACTTCCCGAGACCGTGAGAGTAACCAGAATGGATTTACATCATAGACCCGAAGCTGTCCTTGTAATGCTTTAGGAACTGAAGCAAGCATATAAAGCTAAAATACTATTACAATACGTAACATTCATTCATCTAACTAAACTAAACTTTAGTTCAGGCTTGACTACTCGTGGTTTTCAGATTCATTTGAAGATGTCATTAAGATTTCAGCTGCATGAGAAAACTTTGAATCATCCCTCCCTTGACATTTTCTCCACCAAAACAATGTGCTCTCTCATTTTAGCAGAATCTAAGATAAGAAGCCTGGTTGGAGTCCAATCTTCCACAGCTGTCGCGCTTGTGCGAGCAGGGTTATTGGATGTATTGAGGTCACTTCCTCTGAGAGCAGTGTGGGCACTGAAGCAGGGCTCCAGTCAGCGGCCTGGACCGTGTAGCCAGGAGGTGAAATGGACTCACCAGTCAGGAGCACAGCAGCGGAGTGTCTCCCCGAAAGTCCCCCGGGTCGAGACGAACGATTACTGTGTGCGCAGCCTCATTGCAGAGGCAGAGTTTGTTCTGCTCTGAGTGTTTCAGGAACCATCGCCCACCGGCAGACATCAAAATCAAACTGACAGCTGAGGATGCACGTGAGTTGTCAGATGGTGTTTTTATCATCCCTGTCTGCGCATACATTTCAGAAGTTTCTGGTAAGTCATAGCCCACTTAACCTCCGCTGAACTTTGGCTAACTGGAGCATGACCACATGCTGTTCCTCGCCGGAGGCCCCGCTTGGCTTTTACTCTGGACTTTCCACTTTCCAGAATCACATCCAGCCGGTGTCCTCCCTGCCAGTTCATTCAAAGAGCCAGACCAGTGATAAAGCATGACTGTATAAAAAAATGGATGACTCATCTAGACCTCCTCCTGCTGTACAAAAACCAAAACATACAGTTCAATAAGAAGAGGACAGGAGACGGCAGAAAATAAGGGTTAACATGAGTGAAAAACCTAATGACTTATTTAGACCGACGCTGAGGTTGTTGGTTTTCTGCTGGATGGGTAAAAGAGGGTTTATTCACTCAAAGTTACAATAACTCATCTTTTATTTCTTTACTCAGACCAACAGGATGATGGAGCTCAGGGACTCCAGGAAAACTTTACTGCTGACGACACACAAACTGATCGAGGATCAAACTATTAACTACTACTAACTACTGGGGTATCGGCCCTGAAAAACCTGGGCCAAAAACCATATCTGATAAGGTGGATATAGAAAGTTATGACACAATATAAACTGCTAACAACAGCTTAGAACGGCTAATGACAACTGACAATTGTTGACAACAGCTACCAACGGCTAACAGTAGGCGCCTATTTTGGTTTTCCGACTCGTTTTCTGGAACGCCGTCAACTCGGGTGTAACATCATTCCCAGCTCCGACATCTGACGTAACTTGAACGCAGGATAATACGGTTTGACACGTTACGATATGATATAACACATAAGGATACAAAAATTTATGACACGATGCATTTTGACGCGGCAGATAGATACATTAAGATACGATCTATCTAGTCTAATTATAATACGATATGTTGCTGTGTAAAATCTACCTGTAACTTTTGCATGGAATAGGCTGAATGTTCATGTTGCTGTCGTCTCGTGGTAGCTAAGAGGTCTTAAATCTGCTGTTTTTAAAGGGTGACGTTTACTTATACCTTTAAAAGTCACGAATAAGTCATTTCAATAAATCCAGGAAATTAGGAAGAACAGACGAGTAACTCTGTGGTATAATAGGTAAACACCTGCTCAGGTGTTCTTCCCCCTGTGTGTCTCTGATAGAAGATGATTAGAAATACGTCTCTGGTTAGCTGCTGTTGTTTTTCAGTGTTGGTTAGATTATAGCAGATACGCATTTTGCATTCCTGTCTAGTTTACCTCAGTGTGTCTGCAGTGAATCTGCAAAGAAATTCTCCTATCACAAGTGAGAGAGCACTATTTGGTGAGAGATAATATCAGTAAGTAAATATGATGATAATTATTAGGAAATAAAAATAAACTGAGGATTAAATTTACTGACCAGGAATTATCCGTTTAAACATTCTGATACCCTACTTTGTAAAAACGTGTCCTGTCTCGTTGTATCGCTGGTTTTGTTGGTGTTTGTGTTTCGTTTTCTGCTTTGGTTCCTGGTTAAAAGCTGGGAATGTGTCGGAGTGTGTGTGCACTCCTCTTGGCTTGCTCTGTGTGGCAGCTGAAGGAGCTGTCAGAGCGACTTGACTTACGCTGCCTCGTGTCACTTTGTGTGGGCTGGTAATTTACTACAAATGATATTGCATTCTCTCTGCTGACAGCCTGCCAGCGCTGTCAGTGGGCAAAGCCAGAAAAGTCGCTTGTCAACTCCTTTGCCCCCTCAAA